TCCTATTATATACACGCCTACCGAAGTGAGTTCTGATCTTGTCTCAAATATTCAAGTGATTGACTGTATTGTAGGCAGAAGCGATCGAAAACTACTCTCATCTTTTTCGTCGCAGCGAGGGGTTATTTCTCACATTCCCAGACCAAGACTCCATGGAGAAAGATTTCCTGGAGCAAACCCGCGGGAAAGATATCGAGTTGATAGTCTGCACAGATGCAGAGGCTATCCTGGGCATCGGCGACCAAGGCGTCGGGGTAGGCGCATTTCTGTTGCTCTGCCTTACATCTCTCACCACTGCCTGACGTCATAGGGAATCGGGGTGAGTATCCGCACATATCTCACGACAGGGAGTTGTTGAACAGTTGTTCCAGATATCATCTGCCAAATCTGCGATATACACGTGCGTTCGCACTGCCCTCAGTTTATTCTTACTTCATGTGGTGACAGGTTATTGGCTGGGATAAACCCAGCGAAAGCGCTCAGTGTGACACTTGATGTCGGCACTGACAATGAAACGCTCTTGAACGATCATCTTTATGTCGTGCGTGCCTTTTAAATCACTGTCATCATTCACTCATCAGACAAATCCAGGGATGGCGTTCGAGAAGGATCCGGGGTGTTGAGTACGATAAATTCATCGACAAGTAAGGTTGACTTACCTCTTGGTTGGTCTCACCTCATGGGCTTGCAATACCCTCATAGGTTTGTCCAGTTGATCCGCAAACACCAGCCTCACTGCTTGCTGCACTTTGAGGACTTTGGAGTTACCAATGCTCAGCGATTTCTTGACTTGTACCGCAATGAGCATTCTGTTTTCAATGATGATATGTATGGTTATGCGTCATCAATATATCAATTAGCACTAACGCACAGTAGCCAAGGAACTGGCGCGGTTACACTGGCCGCTTTGATGGCCGCCATTGGGGTGACCAAGTCGAAGCTGGCAGATCAACGTTATGTCATCTTTGGAGCGGGTTCTGCGGGCCTTGGTATTGCAACACAAGTTCGGGATGCAATCATACTCACAGACGGTGTGTCTCGTGAGGAAGCCAACAAGAAATTCTACCTCGTTGATCGCTTTGGTCTCATCAAGCAGTCTCTTGGTCCTAACAAGATACGCCCTGCGTTGCAAGAATTCGTGCAGCCTGATGAAGAATGGAGCGATGTTCCAACTAATGACAAAGGAGAGGTTGAGCTTCTGGAGGTTGTCAGGAAAGTACGACCGACGGTTTTAATAGGATGTTCGACGAAAGGTGGCGCTTTCACCGAGCGCGTCGTGAGAACAATGAAGGAAGGTTGTGAGAGACCTATCATTTTTCCCCTCAGCAACCCTAGCCATCTGGTGGAAGTTGATCCGAAGGATGCAAATGACTGGACAGAAGGGATGGCTCTACTAGCCACGGGCAGCCCATTCCCACCAGCTAAGATGCCGAACGGCAAAGACTATGTGTACGCTTGTCATATCATGAGTATCATGCACAAGCTGATTTGTGACTTGCAGTATCGCTGAATGCAACAGTGAGTTCATGTAATCCCCCGTTTGTGCATACTGACCGCTGCTACTTTCAGATGCTCTCATCTACCCTGGACTTGGATTTGGTTCCATGCTGTCGCAATCCAGGCAGATGACCGATGGGATGATCATCGCAGGCGCACGACGTCTCGCTGCCCTCTCTCCTGCACTCAAAGACCCAGACAGCGGCCTGTTACCCGACTTCGAAGATGCTCCAGCAGCCAATCTTGAGGTTGCAATAGCAGTAGCACAACAGGCATTTGATGAAGGCATCCAGGGAGTTAGCTGGAGCAAAGAAGAGGTGAGAACTAAGGCAGAAGACAAGCAGTGGAAGCCAGTGTATGGTACGTATGAGTATGATGAGCAGGGCGCAAAGTAGTTGTGGTTTGTTTTGCAACCTCGAGTCACGAGAAGCAAGATTATTTTAATCGAATTTCTGCTATAAAGAAGCCCAGCGCCTTCGATCAACCTTCGATCTAAGATACCTGCAGCGGCCCATCGCGGTATTGTTCCTCATCGATATAAAGTCAGCATGTACATCTGCTCGAGGTTCGTGGAAGGAACCCCAAAAACTTGTCACGGGATCGCGTCTGTCACAAACGTGACAGGACGCGTCCTGGTCCAAGATCAAGCTCGAGATTCTTCCCCCCACTAAGATGTCCTTTTCTAATCTTTGTGGGTCCTCCGCTGTCGATATGGACAGCGACGACGAATTTACAGGGCATATCACCAAGAAAATTAAAATCACCGCCAACAATGGATGGGAACACGTCTTTGCAAGAGGTGGAATCAAATCGCGCTTTACAAAAAATACCGCCGTAGATGCGACAGAATTCCTCAAGAACTATCGTCCCCGAGCACAAAAACAGAGTCTCGAAATACTTATCTCCTTACCTTTGGATATCCTATTCGAGGTAACTCAGGTCCTTTGTCATATGATCATCCGAGATAATCACAATCGGCCCAGATCTTTGGGAGGCTACTTCCGCTTGACTTACTTCATCTCTCACGCACTACGAAGGCTCTGCGCTCTGTGCTGATGCACCGCTCATCTACCACTGTGTGGATGGCTGCGCGCTCCGATGTAAAGGGCATGCCTGCTTGTGCTGATGACATGTCAGAGCCTGCGCATGCGAGCCTCGCGTTTGATATGCATTGTCACGTAAGTGTTCTAATCATAGCACCCGGATGTATTTGACCTTCCTAACTTAGAATTGTCTCAGACCAAATGTGCGCAATGTTGACTGGAACCTCCGAGTCAGGTACTGCCAAAAATGCTTTAAAGAACGGTAAGCTAGGTCTCGCTCGATGATGCATAGGCTTACCGACTAGCACTTCAGTACAGAGGTTGTCGATGATAAGTTCAAAAAAACATATGGATTGAAATTGCACCATTGTCTGTCGTTGAGCATGACGCAGAACCGTTAGTTTTCTGTCCATTCACTGACGCATGTCCTTATTTTAATTCAACTTCAAGGTAATGACGCCCGCTGTCTGATTTCAGACAGGGAATCATTGGTCGACGAGTTGTCGAAGCTCGGGCCGGAAGAAAGATCTGTCCTTCGAGGTTTGAAGAGAGATGCGGTGCTCGCTCGGAAGGAGGTACGTCTCCTGTTTTTCAAAAACTCATCCTTGTTTGTTGAGTATATGCAGCATGCAGTTCGGTGCACAAAATGGATGGAAGGCGAACAACAGAGTAGATGGAAGGAGCTCGATCATCTGAGAAGCTTGCGCCATGACGCGTAAGTCTTGTGTTCAGCTCCTGATGCTCACGGCTCAACATTCACAGTATCCTGGAGAAGTTGATCGAACTTGGCTGGGAGGAAGATGTCAACAAGCTTCCGGATCGGCATACTGCACGAATCTACAAGTTGACCCATTTTGAAGATCATCCACTTGTCAAGCAGCCAAAGCCCTTGACCGATCGCAGTAAGGCTTTTCATCTGCTTTTGTTCGTTCGTGTTTCTTTAACGCTAACTTATTGAGCAGTCTGGCAAAACATCCAACACAAGATGGTCGAATTCATGGGCCAAATGCGCGAATTTCGCATTCTACAAGAAAGAAAGCAACAGATCAGGGAGCGGCAAAGCCTCCTCGCTACGATATACAGTGACTGGCAACGGGAGAAAGGGTATCACAAGTATCTTATGCCTACTGCTGCCGACCTCTTTGGGATGCGACAAGTTCGCGATATCGTGGAGTTGCCTGCCCATCTGACTGTCACCGCGGAAGATTTTCAGCCTGTTTGCGAGGAGTTATTTAAACTAGTCGACACTTGGAAGCGCTGCAATGCTCATGATTTGCGGTCAGACTTGCTATGGCGGCTTGAAATCCACCCACCGTACTGGCTTGACAGACTCTCTGTTCAATGCGAGAGACTTGCTGTTGCTGTCTTTACGTGCACAGGGTGGCTTTGCGACAACATTCCCGAGCCTAATGACTCGCCTCGGTACATGTACTTCCCAGAGTACCTTCACCATAGATGCAATCGGATCCGGCGACGAGCATGGAATGAACTCGACCCTGCTAACACGTTTGCAATGGGCCAAGGGTATCCGGGAAATACTGTGCAACAAGAGTGGTCCACGGACGACCTCGAATTAGATAAGAAGGCCTCCCAAACCGTGAGGAACATCATCGATGCATGCGACTTAGACTGGAGAGAGGTAACAGTGTCGGAGCTCGACAATCTGGATCCTAGGTTGGTCTGCCTAAAGTGCAGCTACGGCAACCGCTGTGATGGAGAGAGACCTATGATGGTCCGTTCGTGGCGAGAATCAGTAAGTTGATCTGTGGGCTGAAGTAAGACAACGTTGACGAGGAATCACAGGTCAAACATTGCGCCAAGAAGCATTGGAGTGACTCCACTGTGAAGTGGCAGAAAATTTCAGATGAGGAGAGTAGAAGTCTTCGCCAAGACCAGGAGGAAGCCGCCGCGAGCACTACGATACCTCCGCGCAAAATTTGGCGGTGCACTCATTGTCACGACAAGCCTGGAGAACCGGAGAAAATGACTGTGCAGGGAATGACGGATCACTTGGAGGATCAGTAAGAGATCCACTATGTATGCGTATCTCTCTCAGCTGATATCGACTCTGCGAAGTCATTCGATAGACCTAATCAACCAAGTTGCCGGAAAGGACTTCGCTGAAGCTCTGGACGTACCTCCTATAACGATTCCTTCTGTGAAGCTGAAGCCGAAAGCCGTGGACCCTTAGCCTTTGAAACTACGCCTAGCACACTAGGAAAAAAGCTTCTGCGATACATTTTCATGAAGTCGCTATTGCGAATCCAAATATGTAGATATTGCGGTCGACTTCACGGGTCCATTCATGTATGGAACTCCAGTTAAACTACAATAATTAGCGTCATATACTTGCGAGCTTGTAGTTACGATTAGATCTAATATTCGGGTCATTTACAGAATTTACATGAGCCAATTCGTAAACCCAGTCTTTACGAAATGATTACTAAGCACTTCCTGTAAGTCTGAGCTCGACGAAGCTCGCACTCATCAAGTCATGGCCACATCACAGGCAGCCCCAGTGGACCCTCACTCTATGCAAGATGTCACACCATCATTAGCAGAAAATGGGACACCTCAACCAGAGGGGGAAGAAGCTGTTTCTGAGACACTTTATATTCAAAACCTCAACGAGAAGGTGAAGATCGACGGTGAGCATCGAAACATACCACAACTTGGCTGTGACTGATTTCTCTTCTTTACATAGTGCTCAAGGCTTCACTAAAAGGCTTGTTCAAATCGTATGGGGAAGTGCTGGATGTTGTAGCGCATAGCAACTTGAGAATGAGGGGTCAAGCATTCGTCTCATTCGCATCCCCAGAGATCGCACAGAAAGCTATGAAGGAAGTCCGTGGTTTCCCTCTCTACTCCAAACCTATGGCACGTATTTCTATGTTATAGGCTCGTTCTCCGCTCATATGATTGTCTCAGCAAATTACGTTTGCGCGGACGCGATCTGACGCTGTCGTCAAACGATTGGATGCTAACAACCTTGAACAACATACGGCCAAGAGAGCTGAACACAAAAGTGGGATTTTCTTGACAAGGTTTGTTACTAAGAGCTAAGAAAAGTTGAATTGTGCAGGGCGTACGCGATATTCGAACCCCTTGAAGCAGAAATTCAAGGCCAAGCGGATGGCTGCAGAAAGTTTGTGTTACAGCCTCATATTCACCAGCTGCACGCTGAATTATATTCATTACAGTTGACGGAGCTGCTGCAGCTCCTGCAGCTAGGCGTCCCAATGTCCAGATGCCAGACGAATACTTGCCTCCCAACAAAATCCTTTTCCTTCAAAATCTACCCGAAAGCGTTACCAAGGACCAGCTTATGGCCCTCTTTTCTCAGTATGTAAACCCCCTCCGCGTTGAGAGGCCGATCTTAACTTTCTCAGGTACCCAAACCTCCACGAGGTTCGGCTTATTCCAACAAAAAAAGACATCGCGTTCGTGGAATACATGGACGAAGGCAGCGCTGGGGTTGCCAAAGATGCTCTTCACAACTACAAGCTTGATGGGGAGAATAAGATCAAGGTCCGTGGATATCTTTTCTTTTCTTTAAGAACCACTCTCACTTCGTTTCAGATTACATTCGCCCGGAAGTGAACTTCTTGTATTGTTATGCTTTGGGATATTGTATCATATTTTAATTGATGCTACTTGAGTTAGAGTGGTCCACCTGTTATCGCGATGACTGCCTCAAGTCCCTAATTTGCCAAATGACTTCAGAAGTTCAAGACCAAGATTTCGAAGATCAGCGAATGTCTGAGCGTGATTTAAAAATTATACTCCGGTCCGGGCAAGCGAGACGAGAGCGCTCTCAGCTCTGACAGAATCTTCTCGCCATCATGATATGTAACCGAGTCTCGGACTCACTCAGGCTACACATCCGCGTTTAGCCAGGAACTTGAAGGAACACCATAGCAAGTCCCAGAAGACGTTCGCGATGCACTCGTGGAGCAATGGAAGCTTTGCTGAACCAATACAAGCCTGGACCTTACGGCACTTCTAAACTTGATTGGCACCCAGATTGTATACCTTTGGTTGGCAGCTGTTGGTAGGGGTTCGGCCTCGCAATTGGAAAGAGTTTATCAAGACCCTGGTTCATCGATATCATTACTCCTTGTTCTAAAATTCCCTCAATTTTTTTCCCAGCATTTTGAATCACGAATAAAAAATGGACCCTAAGACTGTGGTGAGTGCGTTCGTTCAGCGTGCATCGAGATCATCATGGCCTCCCAGGTGGTGTATGAATCGTCGGACGACGGTGAGTACTCAAATGGTTGGGACGATTTCAAGATGCAAGTAGAAGCTTTAGGTACGCGTTGGCAACCCACCTCAACGTGAATTCATTTGATCGTTGCAACTCTACAGAAATCTCGCAGTCTCCAACTCAACCATTAGCAAAAGTCCTTGGAGAAAAGCTTTCTATCTCGCAGAAGATAACACTTCAAGCGCCTAGGGCGGATATGCGTTTACGAAGACGTGTGTCGCGTGATGAGGAGATGCGTGAGATCGATGAAGGTACAGTGTCGAGTTTAAGTTTGCTCAAATGAATATATTATTCACGCCCTCACAGTAGCTCAAAGATGTAGGTGATCTCTCCCTACTAATCTGCGCTTTATTACTTAGTATCATCCAAATCAGTGATGGAGTCGGACAGTGATTCCGGGTCGGCACCGTCGACCGAACAATCTTCACTGTTCTCGAGTCGCACGACCTCGATGTCATCCGTTGGATCCACGGGCCTGAAGCGTGCACCAGACTGCTTGCTGCCTCCTCCACCAGCAGTTAAACGCAAAGTCTCACCATGCGCACCAATTGTAAGTCGTATAATTTTATTCCATCCAATGTGTTCTCAGAATCCTGTAGGTGAATCTGCCACAAGTTGGAAAAAATCGAAAACGCAGGTCTCCCGAGTTCGGTGTCGAATTAGATATCGTCCACATTGCCCACTGCGAGGAGGCTCAGGTAGTCCTTGATCGACATGAACTTGCATGGGGAACGATTTTCGAACTAGCACGAGGTGTCACTCGTGGCGTGTGGACATTCCAAGACATGACGGAGCATCGTCTACGAAAACTCAAAGGTTCAAATGCTCAATCTGCCTGGAAAGTCGCTACCATCATGGCAGACAAAGAACCATCTGCGATGGGAACGCCATCAGAACTTTGGTATTAGCCTTATTCGCCTCACAAATCGCGAGCTAAACTTAATTTAAGGCTCGAATACGATCGGGAGCAGCTCGCGATTGTCGAAAACAAAGGTCGTGGTTTGGGAACTATGGGACAGTGGGAGGGAAAAGACCATTGGTACGGAGGGAAGATACAGCAAGTTGCACGTGTCGTGAAAGCTGGAACGTCTTTCAAATTCGAACTCGAGAAACCAGAGATTCGGAGATCGCATCGCTTTGCTCGGTTCTTGGGGTCTCGGCGCATCCTCCAAGTCCGCGTGCCAGATAACCTTACGTATGATAAAGTCGGCTCGGCACTTCGGGAATTCCTGATATCAAGCAAATTTGTATTGTGTGGCCGCGTCTTCGTACCCTTCCATGCTAAGGAAGGGAGCATGTACCTTATGGAAACGAACCAGAACATTGATCGGCAAACGAACCTCAATGACGGCGACAGTCACAGACTGACACTCTACCAGTTTGTGAAGTGGCACAATCCTCTGGCGTTGAATTCGATGCAGGTGATTACCTTTTATTCCTCATCATGCAGCTCTGACACGCTCCCCGAGTAGCCCATCAGCAAGTGGTCTACACGATGGGCGCTCGGCCTATCAACGTCGGTGCCAACAATTGAATTCTCTCCGGAAAACATAATCTTCATTGCTGACCAACGTAATATTTCCTCAAGCTCATAAAATACGAGGTACTGACTGCTCAAATATCTAGATGCTGTGGACTGTGGCGAGGGAAAGCCCCCAGCTGAAAAAATCATGACCGATGGGTGTGGTTATATCAGCGGCGCGGCCTTGACGGCCATCATGCGAGTAATGAAGTATTCGAGTAGACCGACCGCCGTGCAAGGACGTATTGCTGGTGCCAAGGGAATGTGGGTTCTGCACCCAGATCCCGTGCATCAGATCGCCGATGGACCCCCGAAAATTTGGATACGTGACTCACAGAATAAGATCAATCTTGGCTCGCTACACGACGTCGATAGCGCACATAGGATTTTCGACCTCCTTGCGCCATCTCGGGTAACCGGGCCAAGCCGTTTGTCGAGCCAGACACTCGTCAACTTGGCACATGGTCGTGTTCCCCTTTCTGTTTTGAAGGAGCTCATGGCAGATGGGCTTCACGAGGAGGTCCGTCAGCTGACGGAATGGAGTGGACCGGACAGCATGCTTATGGTCTGGCGAGCTGTGGAGCAAGCCGGCCGTGTTGTAACATCGAGGCTGCGGCGGCGCATTGCTGGCCAGGCACGAGCACTTGGTCTTGGCCAACTCCGACCCAACGAGGAGCCTGCTGCCGGGACTGATGATTGTGACGATGTTGCAGTGAACCCATCGCTGCATGACTCGGTCAATCGGGGACGCAATCCTTACAGCGGTGAACCGCTGACTCTACACGAGACGGTCCTTGAACTACTGCAGGCCGGTTTTCATCCTCTTAAGCTTGACCAACTTTTTTCCAAACTGGAGTACGTGGTGACCCAAGTCCTCGACGAGTACATCGAGAAATTCCACATTCCGGTCAAGGAGTCTTTGGAAGCATATATCATACCGGGCATGTAACTTTTTCCGTAATCATTTTCTTCTAGCTCATCTAGCAGCAGATCCATATGGAGTCCTCGAGGAGGGGCAGATATATTTTCGCTCTTCAGAACTCATCACCGATCCCGAAAGCGGAACCCAGATGGATATCGTGACCGGTTCTGTTCTGGTGAGTACTTCAGTCCATTACAATGAACTGTCCTGAGACGTTGATAAAAAGGTATGGAGGAATCCCACAAGACTGCCCTCTGATATCCAGAAGGTAAGGAAATCAATACCTCGTCGAATAACCTTATCAAATATGGATCAGGTCACTGCCGTCAGCCACCCAAAATTGGCTAATTACTTCGATGTTATCGTGTTCCCTGTGAAGGGGGAGCGCTCATTGGCAAGCTACTTGGGTGGAGGAGGTAGGCACTTACTTTCATCATTTTCCGGTCATCGCCTGACGTGGTCATTCTATAGATTATGATGGAGGTGAGTTTACGTCACTTGTATTTTATCATTTAATAATTCCTTTCAAAGACACGGTCACATTGGTCTGGTCCAAACGTCTTGTTGAAAACTTCAATACCGCCCCGCTGTGTTTGGCACCTGCAGGTTTGACTGACGACTTTGAGCGAGAAGTTGAACACGTTGAGGATTTTGACCGACGAGTAACCAAACTCTCTGCAAAGGAGGCTCAAATCGCATTCCAGAAGGTCCTTCTTCTTGGACTCGCAGAAACAAAAATCGGATTATATTCGAAGTTCCATGATCTCGCTGTGTATGAGCGCGGATATGCAAGTGCTGCTGCCATTCGGTTGGCATACATGTGAGAATTTCAGTCTATTGCTATGGTACTCGCCTCATGTTGTGCGGCGCAGGTTTACTACCTGCCTCGATGCGAGCAAGACTGGGCTGCGGGTTAAACCCCACGTCTTCGAGGCAGATCGCAAGTCTTGTGGTAAACGCAAGCCCTACTATATGGCCGCTCTCGAACAGAACATCGAGGGTCAAGAGGTATCGAAACGCAAGGGCTCGACTCCGTACATCCTGGATGCTCTTGTTGACGAGGGCCGTCGCCTCCGCGACGACTTCCTCAAACATTATTCCGTCCTCCGGAGTTCTTCCACCAATACGGCAGACCGCGACCTCACTTCACCTTACCTTTCTACGTCCCGTAGGGCAACACAAGCTTCGCACAAGGGCTTTCAAATTCTGCAAGACAACTTAAGTGATGTCAAAGTTCATGTCCAGAGAGTACATGGAGAGTGGCAAGTCGCTGTTGCTCTCCAGAAGAAGGCTTCAGAAGGGAGGGGGTCTTCGGATCCCAGGACACGAGCGATCCAAAAGACAGCTCAACACTTTGCGCGGCGGCCAGAGGTTTTATCTTTTTCCGACGAGGAACTCAAAATCATCATGGCATCCTATGCGTACAATCTAAGTGGTGCATTCGGCTTCTCCGTCGCCTTCGCAGATCTCTGCGCTATCAAGGCACGAGTTCAAAGTGGTGTGGTTTTTGCAGATAGATTTTCAGAGGTGATGTGTATACCTAACAATGTCTTACGAGCCCTTTCACAAGCACAGGATGACGCGGATGATTGAAATTTTACATCTTTGTCCGTCATACATACTTCACATCTTACACATGCTCCACCATATAGCACATCCTTATAAATTCTTCATCATACACATCCTTGCACATACTTCACCATATAGCACATCCTTATCTTGATTCTACCATCTCGATTTGTTAGCCACTATCTCTCTGTACTACGTAACGACAATCGACAGACCCGAATTCCCCCAGAGCGACTTGAAAGGATATCAAAACGCAACGATGGGCATTCAATATATTGCTGCGAAGCTGAGACATTCGACATCAATATCTGCATCTCATTTCCGCACGACACCAACCCGCACGAGGTCCGACATCTTCTAGTAGCGTACAACAGAGTGATACAATAGTTTCTGAACTACTGCTGCCTCAGACTTGACTGTTGTGTTATAGATGCCATGGGTCATCATCCATAACTCAAATCAGATAAAGGGGGTGAGTGAAAGGCATTTCATTGCCAATGTAGTGACAGTTATCGAGCATCATGAACCGCGATATGGCCTCATTGCGTAATTCCATTGACCGGCCGCAGACTGATGAGCCGCTGCCAGGCCGCTGTTGATCACTACTCAGGAGTAAAGACTATTAGGAACCAGTGTTGAATGTGCTGGGCGTGTCACCCACGGTTTGACTTAGCTTGTGGGAGTAAATTGATACAACGAAAGCAAACTCGATATTTTGCTTGTCATATTGTTCGTAAAACTACATCGGCGTCGCTAAGTCCCACCTATCTTACTCACTTTCCAACATAAACATAATACAAGCATAACCAAACTGTATATTCTGTAAGGTCCGGGCCAACCTCCGTCTGAATGGGGGAAATGACCCGAATACTAATCTCACCATGCCGAGCCTACAACGCAGCCACATCAGACTGTTACTGTGTTCAAACGAAGAACACGTACCCATGTCACAGTGAGCCGATCCTGTTCCAAGAATATCCTGGAGCCAGCTGTCGGAAATGGCGTACGACAGACCGTTGCGATGTATGCACGATTCGAGAAGATGTCTTCACCAAAGGAGTCAATGATCTGACCCGGCTTGCAAATGTGAAGATCCGGTGAGTCAGGATCATTGACACTTTCCGAGCGAGCAATGACTCGCTTATTGAAGTCCCAGATATGCACATAGAAGTAGTCCTCACTGGAAAGCCTTTCCAGTCTTTGGACAGGATCGGGAATATGATCTTGGGGAAGAGCATAAGCCATTTTACTGCCAAACACGCTGATATGGTAGCTTTCGTGGTGGGGAAAGTAGCACGCATACTGAGGTCCCCAGTCTGACCAAGGAATCTCGATGGGCATATCTGAGTGCAAGGCCATGTCAGAGAAGATGGCCATATCGATTACCAACAATAGGATAGCAGTCTCCGCTTTGGAAAGAAACTCTAAAACCATAATTTGCGACTCCAGGGAGGGCACATAGCTCGGCGTGAGTCCTGGGCGTGCTGCTTTGCCAAGGAGTGATGGGTGGCCATGAATAATGATTTCCGAGTCGTGTAATGATAGATGGGGGATCTTGGGAGGGTGATATATGATTCGGCACTGAGGTGGCCCATCGAGCCCTTGTAACGTGTACAAGTATATCGAGCCTTCTGGGCCAACGATGACGAGCTTCTGTTCATCGACTGGATAGAAACAAACTTCGTCGTAGATATCCGGTTGACATAAAAAATGCTGCTTATGCTGAGCAGCAGAATTGTCACAAAAAGGAGGAACTTACCCTATTTACATATCCCTTCCTCCAATTGATCACTTGTATGAACATGCCGGACACAAGCCAGCCATCTGTGTCCTCTATTTCATAGACAATAAATACGCGATCACCACAGATTACAGGTGGCGACAAAGCAGCATTATAATAGCCAGGTGCATCAAAGGTATGCTTACACTCCAAAGAAGTGCACACAGCGCTCGGATGCGGACGTTGAGATGAAGCCAGTCGAAACTCCACCCGACAGACATGGTGATCTTGTTCCGCATCGGTCACAGTGACACAATCATCAGGCTCAGAACACAAAACCATAAGGTCCTGCAGAGGGTCGAAGGTGTGAAAGCCCCCGGTATCATCGAGAGACCACGGCGTCCGGGACTCGAGTGTGGAATTTGTGCTACAGTCCTGAATGTGAAAGTTGTCCACTTGTGGCAAAGGTAACCACCAAAGCCCACATTTCACAGATTGGATCGGTGGCATGCATTCCCATGGTATCGCACGAAATCCGACAGCAATACTGACCACTGCTTCAAAGGTAGCGGTCGCATGGAAGTCGGATCGCCACAAAGATGCCAATTTCTTGAGCGAACACAGAGTCTTTCTGGAAACACCGGCCGAATTCATGGTAGCGGTCCCAGTACTAATCAAGCCCTGAGCAAAAATTTCAAGCTTGTATTGAATATAAACAGAATTCCGGACCACGAGCCAAAAGATATTGCAGGTCTAGTATGATCAAACATTAGCCCTGGTGGAAATTGTGGAAACTACGGGGAAAGCGAACCAGTGCACAGCGACTAATGTCCCTGGGGTTAAGAAGGATTAGAATGTGACATATGAGCTCCGTAGGAAGCGACAAGAATCCGACCGCCATAGTCATGGTTGTAGAGGACCTTCGAATTTGAAAAATTTAGGAGGCCTCTCCTCTCGGAATCCCGGGCTTAACACGAGTGACTAAAGCCTTAGGGGGACAAAATCGCATCGAAGGTAGGAGCAACAAAATAAATTTCAAATCTGAAAACAGGCGAGCTCGTCGAGCAGCCTGAGTAAGTTAGTACACTCAACGCACAGAATTTCAATTCCGTACCCCCGCGCAATTAGGTAAGCAGCCTCGCATATGGCGGATAGGCTTAGGCTCGTGACCAGCCTGGCCTAATACTACCACGGTTGCACAAGTGGTGTAGTGACCGGCCGCATGATGAGCGCTGAGTCGCCGCCAGGCGATGATCTTCCGCTGTTGATCACTACTGGAGTAAAAACTATTAGGAACTAAGTAGTGTGGAATTTGTTGGACGTGTCAGTGTGTCACCCAAGAAAGTTTGACTTAGCTTGGCTGCTTGTGCGAGTAGATTGATACACGATTACAAAAGCCCACTCGATATTTTGCTTGTCATCAAAACGCATATTGCTCATAAAACTACATCGCCATCGCTAAGTCCTACCTATCTTACTCACTTTCCAATACAAACATAACACAAGCATAACACTGGGCAACCAAACTGTCTATTCTGTAAGGTCCAGGCCAGCCTCCGTCTGAATGGGGGAAACGACCCGAATACTAATCTCATCATGCAGAACCTACAACGCAGCCACATCAGACTGTTACTGTGTTCAAACGAAGAACACGTACCCATGTCACAGTAAGCCGATCCTGTTCCAAGAATATATTGAAGCCAGCTGTCGGAAATGATGTACGACAGACTGTTGCGATGTATGCACGATTCGAGAAGATGTCTTTACCAGAGGAGTCAATGATCTGACCCGGCTTGCAAATGTGAAGATCCGGTGAGTCAGGATCGTTGACACTTTCCGAGAGAGCAATGACTCGCTTATTGAAGTCCCAGATATGCACATAGAAGTAACCCTCATTGGAGAGCTCTTCCAGTCTTTGACCAGGATCGGGAATATGATCTTGGGGAAGAGCATAGGCCATTTTGCTGCCAAACACGCTGATATCGTAGCTTTCGTGGTGTGGAAAGTAGCACGCATACTGAGGTCCCCAATCTGACCAGGGAATCTCGACGAGCATATCTGAGTGCAAGGCCATGTCAGAGAAGATGGCCATATCGATGACTAGGATGGCATCCCCCGCTTCAGAAAGAAACTCTAAAACCATAATTTGCGACTCCAGGGAGGGCACATAGCTCGGCATGAGTCCTGGGCGTGCTGCTTTGCCAAGGAGTGATGGATGGCCGCGAACAACAATGTTCGATTCACTTAATGATAGATGGGGGATCGTGGGAGGGTGATATATGATTCGGCACTGAGGCGGCCCATCGAGCCCTTGTAACGTGTACAAGTATATCGAGCCTTCTGGGCCAATGATGACAAACTTCTGTTCATCGACTGGATAGAAACAATGTTGGTCGTAGATATCCGGTTGACATAAAAAATGCTGCTTATGCTGAGCAGCAGAATTGTCACAAAAAGGAGGAACTTACCCTATTTACATATCCCTTCCTCCAATTGATCACTTGTATGAACGTGCCGGACACAAGCCAGTTATCCATGTCCTCCATTTCATAGACAATAAATACGCGATCGCCACAGATTACAGGCGGTGACAAAGCAGCACGGTAATGGCCAGGTGCATCAAAGGTATGCTTACACTCCAAAGAAGTGCACACAGCGCTCGGATGCGGACGCTGGGATGAAGCCAGTCGAAACTGCACCCGACAGACATGGTGATTTTGTTCCGCATCGGTCACAGTGACACGATCATCAGGCTTAGAACACACAACCATAAGATCCTGCAGAGGGTCGAATGTAGTAAAAAAGCCCTCGACATAACCGATAGACCATGTCCGGGAGAGCATAAGATTCGTGCCACAACCCTGAATGTAGAGTTTGTCTTCTTTCGGCGAGTGTGACCACCAAAGCCCACATTTCACATCTTGGATCGGTAACATGGGTTGCCATGTGGTAGCAGTAGTGACCACTGTTTCAAAGGTAGTTGTCGCATGGAAGTCGGATCGCCACAAAGATGCCAATTTCTTGAGCGAACACAGAGTCTTTCTGGAAATCCCGGTCGAATTCATGGTAGCGGACCCGGTACTAATCAAGCCCTGAGCATAAATTTCAAGCTTGTATTGAATGTAGACAGAATTCCGGACCACAAGCCAAAAGATGTTGCATGTCTAGCATGATCAAACATTAGCCCTGAAGGAAATTGTGGAACTACGGGGGAAAGCGAACCAGTGCACAGCGACTAATGTCCCTGGGGTTAAGAAGGATTAGAATGTGGCATATGAGCTCCGTAGGAAGCGACAAGAATCCGACCGCCATAGTCATGGTTGTAGGATTGAAGAGAGGACTTCGAATTTGAAAATTTTAGGAGGCCTCTCCTCTCGGAATCCCGGACCATCACGCCACTAATACGAGTGACTAAAGCCTTAGGGGGGACAAAATCGCATCGAAGGTAGGAGCAACAAAATGAAACAGGCGAGCTCGTCCAGTTAGCCTGAGTAAGTTACACTCGATATGCAGAATTCCATCAAGCACAATTCCGTACTCCCGCGCAATTAAGTAAGCAACCAGGTCAGGTCGGGATTTGTACGACACTTCTCTAGGACAACTTCCGGTACGTGCTGGCCATACCTCAAGTGGACTACTTAGCCATATCATTACAGCAAGAAACCGTGACTCGACACCAAGTACCCCGCCTTGCCATATTCGACTAGGTCTTCCTCCCCAATATTGCTGACACAACTATCACAGCTCGAAGCTATGTACAAAGCCTCGTGGGGAGTGGTGATCTATTGATCGAGGAAATCCGTGTGGCGGCGATTTTCCAGGTAAACCTTGTGCTTTATCTTGCAAAGGGCACAAATGTTAACGATAAGTAGCTTCCCAGTCATACAATCCTTCGGCGCTGGCTGTACTTTGTTATCTATCCATGTGTTCCAACCCGTCTTCAGCTAACTGCTTCTAGAACTTTCGCGTTCCCTCACCCTGCAGCAATCGAGATCATTTCGACGCAACAACGCCCCAGGCGCAGTTTCTTCGTGGCACTCGTTACTCCAGCGTGCGTTTATTGACGTCGCTTCATCATCATGTTTATGTTGATCGAGGACATGTGCCTTCGTAGCTGATCGCCCACCATAATTCATAGTTATTCGTCATTGTCGAGCTATGACTTATAAATTCCGTGTAATGTTGAATTTTAGTCTCAAATCTATTGTCCATTTCTTCTCGATTCGGTTCCCGTCGGTTCCTACGGAGCTCATCATTTGCATCTTACCCTCAGGGACAATTGTCGTCATGCAATGGTTCTCCATTTTCTGCAGGGACACGCTGCTGATATTTCTTCCGACAGCGTCGACATTCCCGTCAAAAATGTCATAATGAAGGTATGACACTTCAAGTGTACAAATCTATTCGGAGAGCTCCCTCGATCAAATGGCCTACAGTCTTTCCTAACTGGCCCACTGGCAGCTGAGAATCAACGGCCCAGACGAGTTCCCGAACGCAATTTTCTAGAGTACGTCCGGGATTCCTACCGGGCGTCTGCAGTTGTAAATTCGAAGGTTGAGAAGTACCAGTCTTGGTGCATTGTCTGGGACTTCCTCCGCAGAGACTCGCAGCACTGTTCGGGACGCCATGCCCGGGCGACACGTAGCTCAAACAGGAGGACATTGGTGGGCCAAATGACTTCCCGTATAGTAGAACAGTGGGATGACGAAAGGGTAACATCGAACCCGTTGCTTCGGATGTTGTGATAGTCACGACAACTTAAGCCACAGGTTCGAACGTTCCAGTATTCTTGGAGAAACTGAAGTTGGAGTCAGCAACTAGTGTGGAATTTGTTGGACGTGTCACACAAGGTTTGACTTAGCTTGTTGGAGTAGATTGATACACGATTACAGCGGCCTTTCCGCGTCCGACGTGATGGAGGAAAATTGAATAGCGTTGCGCCCATTAGATAAGTACAAATACTGATAGTTGTGATAGTGTGACCAACAGATGTTTTGATCTGTTTTGATGTACACTAGTAGTTACTACAGCTACTACTAGTACTATTAGTAACACACCAGCTGCCAGCAACCCCTGGTTTATCTCTATCAGTGATTGGTTTGTTATCGCGAGTGTGAACTCAATCAGACGGTGAGTTATGGGCTTGCCGTTGCTATTCTTAGAAACTTAACTGGTACACCAGGTGACGATGACTTTTCAGTTTCTCGCTCAATGCTGCACGGTCGACAAACCGCGACATAGTAGCTGATCCAGTTTCGTAGCCTCGAGGAGGGACTGGAGTGTCATCAACTTGCGCACAAAAATTGTCAACTTCGTCAGACCTGGTCACCCAAGTGCTACATAGTTATATCTGGGATTCCACGATGCGATCTTCTCGTCGTTTCAGAAACGCGCGGAGATGGAGCTACGGGATGCAAATATATCCAGCCGCTCTTACATAGCTGTCATGTGCTGTCAAAAACAACATATTACCCGGGAAAGTTAGTTCTACCATCACGTATCGTGCCTATGCAAGAAACTGACAATCGAAGTATATCTTATAGGGACCATTCCTCTAAGAACGGAGCATGGCCCGGAGAGTCTGTCTACTGCGTGTGTTTATGTATGTATGTGCAACCTCCTTTCAACGCCTTGAGCTACTTATAAGCTATACCATAGGGTTGGGTAGCCTACTAGGCGTCTTTCGCCGGTTCTCCCAACGCCCCACTTGTTATCTTTATGACGAATATTGATCTGATTTACGGAGCCATGATGGTCGGTGGCTTGCTGGCCTTCAGGGACGTGATCAACCTTGATGCAAAAATATGATATCTGTCTGATAGATCTCCTCACAGCTTTTCGGGTTGCGTTAACATGCAATTCATCGTGTACTTCCGGGTTTATTTTCATGAGAGTTGGCGTACTAAGTCATTGGTACGTCACGTTGTCTTTCAAGTCTGCGCCTTTTTAATCATCTTGTAAAGGTCATTGTAATATGGTGCGTTCCAGTATCCTGATGCGTGCGAGACGAATGTCAATGGAATTCAGGCTGCTTGATTTGTCCCATTCCGCACTCGTTGCAGTTGCCCTTTGGGATTCCATCATTGCGACCTACGGTGATCTCAGTAAAGTTGACACAATCCCCTGGTATGTGTGATGTCATCGTTTATCATCAACTGGAAAATCGATTGATCATCAGGTGTATTGGTGTGAGCAATCACGTTCTAGACGTTTTGACCTGGCGTTAACGCGGCCCCATAGCCTGCGATTGAGCTTACTGTGCGTTCTTACACGTATGGAACCTCACAATTCTCATTACTGGAATATTTACCAGGCTTTGATTACCTTCCTTGTTCAAAGGTTAGCTAAGCTATACGAGGAAATGCTGTTCTGACTCGAGCTTCAGCTTCTTTGCGTACCGAATCTATAAATGTTTCGTAATTTTTCTTTGGTTTTGCGTTTCCCACACTGATGTCGCTAGAAAGTGCAAAAGAAGAAGCTCACTGTAGCGATTCCAATTGTAGGTCTCATGTTTGCGATTCTGCTACTTGAATGATGAGATTTTCGCTTGTAGGTTGCACTCGCTTTTGCTCGTTTAAGTAAGTGCACTTTGGCAGTGCAATAATGAGAACTTATTTTGATAACTGACTTCAGTAATGGCTAGCAGTAAGTCATGAAGTACCGCACATACGTTCCTTGATGATAATCACGCATTTTCGTCAGTTACGAATACCGAGATGTGAGCCGTGTTTAAAATAGGATTGACAGTCACTGAAACTTGTTTTCCGTAGGCTCAGATTGAAATCATACAGCATATTCTTTCAGCGTAATTCTTCATCTACAGGTGGTGGGCAGCTTCTCAGTATTGACATTCCGATAGAATTTTCTTGGGTCTTCACTTTTGGCCTTTTACTTTCGGCATTCGTGGATATCATGATCACAGCCTTCCTGTGCTACTTCCTTCGCAAAAACCGACCATCTTTTACAGAGTAAGTCATTTTATGGCATTACTGTGCAGCTGGTGTTCACCAGCTTGTAGTACTATGCGTATCATCGACACCCTGACGTTCTGGACAATTCAGAATGGCTCGATAACATGGTATGTTATCCAAGCGCATGCCATAAACCATATGCTAAGGCCACCTTAGCGCTGCAACCATCGCAACATTGGTTTGCGTGAGCATTCCTAATTCTTGTTATGTTTTGATCACTCAAATACTACAGTGGATGACCATGCCTTCAAACCGCATATTTCTAGGTCTTCACTTTGTCGTAGCAAAATGTAAGCCATTTCAAATTATCGTGAACTTACCTCATCTGAACATTATTGGAGTAGTATATGCAAACTCCTTTCTAGCTACGTGAGTCGCATGTTCGATGCAGTATCTGTGGACTGCAGTTCAATCTGGTCCTGTAGTCTCAATGCCAGAAAACAAATATGGAATGGAAATCAATACACTCCTTCAAGCAATCGGCCTATGCCAGTCGTCTTTCTGGGGGAGTCTGAGCATGGACCTGATTCTTCGATCTCGCAACAGGAATCGGCAAGTACCATAGTCCGTCACATGCGAATGATATTGCGTCTTACACAACCACAGCTGCGAATAAAGACTCCTCAATCGAGAGCAGTGCACCATCGGGGGGAACCGGTGCGTACCTTTGCCACGTATAAATATGACCTTTCTGACTGTCACAGATCCAAGTAAATATCGAACAGATTGTGGAGAGCAAGGGTGATGATTGCGATGCGATCGATAGCCCGGTGTGATGTCTTGTAGTTCGACCACCGTACTGATGACAGCCTCATGATCATTCACGACATGTATTTGAAAATAACCCTTACTAACATACATATATTCTCATCGTGTACTACCAATGTTAATATGGAAGCTACTACGTATTTTTTCATCCTCAAGGACATTAAGAAGCCATCATTCTAATTTCCATGTCATGCAAAGTGTCGGATTTCAAAAACTAATGCCATGAATTACATCCAACAATCAGTGCGCATCACGCCGTCTTCTATATGAGACATGCGCAGATAGATTCGGCACGATTCCCTCCCCAAATATGAAGTTTGACGGACGCGACGTCCACTCATCGCCAATTCTAATGTCGTAGACAGATATCATGTACGCAAACATGACTTTCAGCTGATAAGTGAGCAAGAAACGCCCAGGACTGAATATGAACATCGCGATTCATGTAAGCGTCAAGTCGACAGAGATCTCTCACTCACCACGCATGTTTCCCATAGCCAAAAAACAACCACTGGGGCGTGATAGTAGTTATGCTGTGTTCTGGATTGTCCGAAAACCTGAAAGGTCTGAATTCATCGGGGGCCTCGTATGCGGTGCTGTCACGGTGAAATGGCGGTAGAGAGACCGCGATAGTACAACCCTTTGGGAGAAATGTGCCATCAGAGAGCGAGAGATCACGCGTCGCTTGCCTGAAGAATCCCACTGGCAAATGGTTCATAGCTTAATCGGGGGTATGTGAGATGAAAAACGTACGTGATGATACGCCGTTGATCCTGGCGCTTTCCCTCAGGAAACTGTCTATCTTGTTCATCTTTGCGACGGATTGTATATTCCAGCCATCGTGCTGTACGATGGGATCAACTTCATCCCGCAATACCTGTGCAAACTCGGGGTTTGTGGCTAAATGATATAGGGCGTGTGTAAGGGTCTATAGACAAGTTAATGATCGTCCGGCTCCGAAGGATGTCTTACATTTGAGGGCGTCTGGAGTATGATGTCAGAGAGACTATTAGGAAAGGTGTCAACACATACAGATGAAACCGCAATGGTGAAACCAAGGAGACGCGCCGTAAGGTTTCTCAACAAACTATCTTCACCGGTAGATCGCCTTACGAGTCGCGCGAGGAAGTCGAACTGCGGAAAACGCGATTAAAGGATCAGTATGTAGCAGCGAATTTCATACCTTTTGCTCGTTTGGAGTAGCATATTCGTCCACTTCACTCGTGCAAGCCTCCACTGCAGTACCCAACAGAATGGTGGCACGATCAACATTTGCCTCGAGGTTGCTAGTCATTCTCGCAAAGAATCTGGACTTGTTCTGGGTTTTCAGTTTCATTTCCGTTTTTGTGTGACATACGGGAATGTCCATGATGGCACGAGACGTCTGATCACGCTCGAGATCGCCACGTCTTTGTGAATCTTGGCCACCAAGGAGGACCACTCAGAGTTGCGGCCTACAGAACATGGTGAGAATGTCGAACAGGACAGACCGTATTACATACATAGGGGATAGCCGACAAAGAATCGTTGCCATGTCTGTACCATTATTCGACTTACGGTGCTCAAAGCGGGAATCGAGGTCCAATCTGCTTGATGTTATTCGTCACTTGGTCAACTGTCAAATTGCATCCTCACCATCACTCTCATTTCCTAGAACGTTTTCGAGAGAGGTGAGCAACTCGTCTTGAACTTCAGCACATATTTTGGTTGCATTTCTAGCAATATGACTCTTGAGTAGTTCGGCGAGAAGATCATGATCTGGACTGCCGACGTTGATCTTTAATGCATCGTCGACGCCCATGATCTCCAGAGCGGTATCAATGGTTGTTGGCTAAAGAGACGACAAGGGTCTTACATCTTTCATAGCCTCACGGAACGAAAGGTCTTCTTCCGCAGCATCCGCAATTTCCACCATATGCTGGGGATCAGTGAGAACCACTGTCCAGCGTAGCATGGTTGCGACCTTAAACGGTCTATTACCATACTAGCATTGTGCGTCATTTACAAGCCGAGATGAATGAGAATCAGATATACCTTTTCGTATCCCTCCTTGAGGACACCTGGTGCGTCTACGAGAAATCTGGATGCGCCCACGTAAAAGTTGCTGAAACAACGAAATGGGCCGAAGGAGCAGCCAACAGTCGGGAAATCGTCCAACTGCACGAACAACATCAGCTTAGCGACTTCAGTAGAATAGATTGCCTGCATTTTGGGCCCTGCGTCTTTTAGAAAAGAACACGAGAACAGGGATGACTCCTGAAGTCAATAGAAGGATAATCCTGGGTGCCCACATGAAGGGAGATTGGGACATTATTCGTTCAGGACCGATAGCCTAGTGGAAACAATCATCGCAAGGGAGATAGTTTTGATCTCCTTTAGAAGGGGAAGAGCTCCAAATATCGATCGGATATCGGACGCGAACAGACTTTGCTCCATTCTGATGCGCGCATTTGACTGTCTTGGATACGAACTTGTTGTTGATTACGGCTGGAGGGTGCTGCGAGGAAGTCATACGATAGCTTCAACTTGGACGCAAGAGCCGGGTATCGGTACTAATACGCAGAATTCTTTAACACTCCGCGTTCTAGACGCGTTGGTTGGATACAGCTATCGGTATATTCCGGTTCCTGACCCGACCCTCCTTTTATCTTCATTACTGTTCTTCATTGACTCCACTCTCGTCGCTGCTAAGTCCATTTGACGACACGGCACTATGGCGCCCAGTAACCAAGTGATTACTACTCAGACGATATTGGGGGAGCATGACATACTTTCCCAGTAAAGTGGGTCTCGGGGATCTCAAGCTACCCAAGTGATACCAATCTGCACACAGTATGGAGTCGTTACCCCGATCGGTTTACAATTTAGGCAACATCTATTATCAATTTGAAATATGACACGGCCTGCGATCAGCACGGGATCAATTATCAGAGGACCCATCGCTGCATGTACCATTCACGCCTGAAGATTATTCATAGTGTGGCAAATGGCAAGACTCGTCGGTTTGTTGCGTCAAGTAAGACATGAGAAGTAATAAATCCGAACGAGTAGTACCGTAATATACAATGCATGGTCCTGGCTATTAACACGAGCCAATTATTAATCGAGGTTAGCCTACGCAATTGCCGCGAGAAAAGGAAATGAGAAAGCCAATAAAGCATCGTGGAAAGCAATGATCGTAACCCTATGTCCAGTAACTATCGTAAATTGTCAGCGTTCGAAAGTCCCATATCAGACGTTAACCAAAACCCATCCTGTCGCAGCGCCAAACGCGCCCACAGCTAGAGCACTCATCATCCCAACGAGACTGCCACTCCACAACTTGACGGGGGTAGCACCATTAAAGTTGATATACGTCGGCGTCGGCGTACTACCAGAACCGTCGAATCCATCTCCACCAGTTCCACCACCAGTCAAGTTGGCACCGTTGGGCTAAAAGATGGTTAGAGCGAACTGTATGACTTTAGGCTGCGACTTACCCCAATAGGTCGTGAGTTATCCGTAAACGCGCAAGCCGAGGACTGACACAAGCACGACCCGGCAATAGGATCCCAGAAAGGTGTCGAGCAGTTCGAAGGCACTACGGAACATCTTCAGTCCAGGGTAATAGAAAACAGTAGTAATAGTCACATCTGTATCTTATCTGTTGACCCGCTGGGACTTGCTGCGGTGGGTTCGGGTTTGAAGGGGACACCTCTACTTGCGGGCAACCATACTAATTCACCAATTAAGTCTAAATGAGTACCGCACTAGCCACAAACAACTTACGCAAGTGAAGAAAGGGAAGTCGGGGAAGTCACACTCCTCCAGGAGACCAGCTTCGTTCTGAGGAATACCATTGCAAATTTTCAAAGACGAGTCAACCTGGGGAGTCGAACACTTCAAAGGCGCAAAGGAATCGAGCTCTGAGACAGGTACAGGGTTCCGGACCCAAGCAAGAAGCTGCTCGTTCGAAACAATCCAGACATCCTGTTGCATTTGAACCCAATCCAGGAAATCATTGATCATCTGGATCGTGCTGTTCGGGGGGTCGACACCGGGATAAGTGGTCTAAAGTATAACATTAGCCAATATCGAAATGTTGTAGAACGGAAATAACTGACCGAAAGATGAATAGGATGAGTGTATAGACCAATCGGTTGCCTATTCCCAGTGTAATGAGCCGTGAACGTATTCTTCATGTACTCAAACGTGGCAGTGTCATTGACCGAACTGGCTCCGTTTGCAGTATCCAACCAAGGGTCCATCAAGTGCGGTCCATCAATCCCGAGCTCATCAAAGAACGCATACATAGGAATCTCCCAAAGACCAGGGATTTTAGGTAGGCCTTTGCATATACCCTCGACAGTCAGACAGTCGTTTGCGAGACCGTTGTCCAGCGTGTAAGGCCAGTACGCATCAGTACCTGGGTCTGTAACAGGAATCGAAGCGGCGGAGGAAGAATCATAAGTGAAGTCAACGTTCGCGAGGAGCTGCAAAGTCTGAGCGGTGTAGTTCAAGTAAGGTGCGCGGAAACCTTGGATGGCATCGAGCGGGATACCAGCAAGTGCGTTGAGAGCAATGATGTTTCCGTTGATCTCGTCCGCAGGAGGTGAACCAACATGGGTCATCCTAAAGCCAATGATCAAAAGCACGAAGGACTAGGATGAAATACATACGTATGATCAGCTATTTCGTTTCCAGCAACGTACCAATCAGTGACAAGGGTATAGTTGGTATAGTTGAGAGAGGTGAAGTAAGTCATCTTGATAGGACAACCATTCGGATTCTGCCGTTGAGCAAGGAACTGATTGACAGAGTCAATAGTATAGGACTGAATAGCATCGTCGGCAGTGAAGACAACGAACTGCGGTACGTCCGACTATAAAACCACGCGTCAGAAGTGATGCATGGTAAAAGACAGTTTAAAACATACAGGAGAAAGACCACCCGGGGGACTCGTGCTAGCACAATTGCAGTTGGGCAACTGGCATTGGCTAGGGTCGCATGAGTACCCAGCAGCAGACGAACTGCTGGTTGGACCAGATATGGAGCCGTCTTGAGCGGTCACCACTGACACCTGCAGTGCTATACCAAGCACCGACAGCAGCGCAGAAATCCACATCTCTCTGAACAAAAAAAAGATGACCAACAGTGGTGTGGTCAACGAATGAAAGAGAAAAGAGCGAAAATGCTAGGCAACGCACTAGTGGTGAAGAAACCCTATATAAGTTCGGCGGGGAGGCGAAAAAGAATTCAATTAGATGACAAATATTTCGTTAACGCTACTATATTACCTTTTACCATTTGGCCTAGTGACCAGCGACGTAAAGAACGACTCGGAGTGCCCATACTCACTGTTACACTTGCAGGTCATCATCGATGTTTGACGTGAAGAGATGATCCGTTCCCGAGCTGTTCATCTTTCAACAAAGCTTATTATAGCACACGGAGGTAATAAGTCCCTGCTAGCGCTTAAACATGAAAGTCACTCACTGTGCCTGCGGTTTTTAGTAAAAAGCTCAGACTTACGTTGAATACACCGACTCGGGCCGTGACCCGAGCAAGTCGTCCTCGGGCAGCTAGTCAGTCGCCGACTCGCTGAGTCACTACTATTATGTAAGCGGTTAAGCATCCTCGACTCTCGAGTTGTCCGCACTCAAGTCAAGTTGCAAACCTACACAATCACGCTGGACTGGGCCTATGTATGTAAACGTAGGACGGACACGAACGCTTGCATCAGTGCTTGTGCTTTTTTTCTCTTGCTTTCTCTAGGAGTTGAAAACAGGCTGGTGGTTCGTACAGATATCTTTTCCTTGTAACAACTACACGCATAATATCGTCAGCAATGTATGTATCGTTGGAAAGCAATCAAACAAGAATCTGACAAAGAAGTATGATGGGGAACGGGAACATACACCAGGATATTGATTCCAAGTGTGATCCTAGTCTTTAGGCACCGCTGCTAAATTTACAAAAAGAGACGCACGGAGCACTTGAGTTCAACGATCTTGTCAAATGAGTCGATCAGCACGTTCTTATGTGTCTGTACGTGCACGGTGCGAGGTTGTAGCCTCTTCATCTCATACACTTCGACCGAGACTGGTTGTCATTGGACTCCCGAACATCGAGTTTGAAAGTCTGACAAAACAGGAATACCAAACCACCTGCGACATATCAGGATGATGTTTGAGGGTGTCTGATGAAATTAGTGTCCGCTACGTGCTGTCAGGAATCAGCAGCAAGTCTGTTTTCAGTGCATCATTCAGTCGGACAACCATAAATTCAGGATCGGTGCTAGGTATAAAATAGGCAAGGAAATGGTACACTCGATATTGCAGCAACGAAATCATCGTTACGTGGAGCTGGAGGGTTTGATGTTAGCGACTGCAAGGACAGATGGTAGACTAAGAACTCACGCATCTCGGCAACTTGACCAGCGCGTCCCATGTGCCATGCAGCTCAGATCAAGCTCAGGATATCCTCTGGGTATCACCAGTGACGTCCAAGGAGTATAAAACGCGTGTCGGGAAGCGGGAGGTACCCAGAAAAGGAGCTCATGTCTGGGTCCCATGATCCACCCATCAGGCTGCAGCGAGAAAGGGGTTGAATCATCAGAGGCGGGTTCGAGCAAGTCAGCGGGGTTGGGTAGGGCATGTTTTAGGCAGGGTGAGAAGGAAATGGGGGGATGGTTACAAGTGTTGGCTGGCGTGAAACGATGTTCTTGAGTGGGAGGTGCGGTGTTTTGATGTAGTGGAGATGCAGAGGGATCCGGCTCTGCGGAATCAAGGGATGGCAGCACTTTCATAAGCCGCACAGTCTTATCCTCCGAACCAGACGCGATGCGAGTACCATCCGGTGAGAACGAGACTGACAAAACCGCTCCTGTGTGCCCCTTCAAGGGCTCACCCAATGGCTCTCCCGTTGCTGCATTCCACAGCCGCACAGTGTTATCATATGAACCAGACGCGATGCGAGTACCATCCGGTGAGAACGAGACTGAGCAAACGGCGTGAGTGTGCCCCTTCAAGGGCTCACCCAATGGCTGTCCTGTCGCTGCATTCCACAGCCGCACAGTTTCATCCTCTGAACCAGACGCAATGCGAGTACCATCTGGTGAGAACGAGACTGAGTGAACTGCGCGAGTGTGCCCCTTCAAGGGCTCACCCAATGGCTCTCCCGTCGCTGCATTCCACAGCCGCACAATGTTATCCCATGAACCAGAGGCGATGCGAGTACCATCCGGTGAGAACGAGACTGAGCAAACGGCGTGAGTGTGCCCCTTCAAGGGCTCACCCAATGGCTGTCCCGTCGCTGCATTCCACAGCCGCACAGTCTTATCCAATGAACCAGACGCGATGCGAGTACCATCCGGTGAGAACGAGACTGACAAAATCCCACAAGTGTGCCCCCTCAAGGGTTCACCCAATAGCTGTCCAGTTGCTGCATTCCACAGCCGCACAGTGTTATCATATGAACCAGACGCGATGCGAGTACCATCCGGTGAGAACGAGACTGACCGAACCGCGTCAGTGTGCCCCTTCAAGGGCTCACCCAATGGCTCTCCCGTCGCTGCATTCCACAGCCGCACAATGTTATCCCATGAACCAGACGCGATGCGAGTACCATCCGGTGAGAACGAGACTGAGCAAACGGCGTGAGTGTGCCCCTTCAAGGGCTCACCCAATGGCTGTCCCGTCGCCGCATTCCACAGCCGCACAGTGTTATCATATGAACCAGACGCGATGCGAGTACCATCCGGTGAGAATGAGACTGAACGAACCCACCAAGTGTGCCCCTCCAAGGGCTCACCCAATGGCTGTCCTGTTGCTGCATTCCACAGGCGCACAGTGTTATCGAATGAACCAGACGCGATGCGAGTACCATCCGGTGAGAACGAGACTGACAAAATCCCACAAGTGTGCCCCTTGAAGGGCTCACCCAATGGCTGTCCCGTCGCTGCATTCCACAGCCGCACAGTGTTATCTTGCGAACCAGACGCTATGCGAGTACCATCCGGTGAGAACGAGACTGAGAAAACCTTGTTAGTGTGCCCCTTGAAGGGCTCACCCAATGGCTCTCCCGTCGCTGCATTCCACAGCCGCACAGTCTTATCCGATGAACCAGATGCAATGCGAGTACCATCCGGTGAGAATGAGACTGAGTAAACCGGGCCAGTGTGCCCCCGGAAGGGCTCACCCAATGGCTCTCCGGTCGCTGCACTCCACAGCCGCACAGTGTTATCCTCCGAACCAGAGGCGATGCGAGTACCATCCGGTGAGAACGAGACTGAGTGAACCTCATTAGTGTGCCCCTTCAAGGGCTCACCCAATGGCTGTCCCGTCGCTGCATTCCACAGCCGCACAGTCTTATCCGATGAACCAGACGCAATGCGAGTACCATCCGGTGAGAATGAGACTGAGTAAACCGGGCCAGTGTGCCCCCGGAAGGGCTCACCCAATGGCTCTCCGGTCGCTGCACTCCACAGCCGCACAGTGTTATCCTCCGAACCAGAGGCGATGCGAGTACCATCCGGTGAGAACGAGACTGAGTGAACCTCATTAGTGTGCCCCTTCAAGGGCTCACCCAATGGCTGTCCCGTCGCTGCATTCCACAGCCGCACAGTCTTATCCGATGAACCAGACGCGATGCGAGTACCATCCGGTGAGAACGAGAGTGACCGAACTTCGCCAGTGTGCCCCCTCATTATAGCCTCAACCACCGTCCAGTTCAAATCCCGGCCGGATGCCAGACGAAGGACATTCGGAAACCTAGCTGTGAATTTGGTAGCAATGGTAGAGTTGACCGGCGAGAACGGGAGTGCTGATAGATACAGATGGGGTGTGCTATGCAAAATCATCCCGCCAAACACTTGCATGAATCTTTGTACATCCATCGTGGCGGACCGCAAATCTTCATATCCAGAATGGCCCTGTATTTGTGTATGAGCTATTCGTCCGACTCTGCCTCATAGGCATGTGCTCACCTTCAGCCACTTGGCAACGAGTGGAAGCACGGTAATTGCGCCGCTGATTGCATTAAGAAGTCCGAGTGCTTCGATCCAGAACATCAGTCGTTCGTCGTCGAAGAGTGATCTTATTTCCTTTGCGAGCTCATCGTCAAAGTCCGTTGTCTGGACATGCGTAGCCCAATATCGACAGGAATAGGATAGATGTGGGGGAATGGATGTTCTGACTCGTCCAGACAGCCCTGTGTCTTGGGAATTAGGGAGGTATGACGACTTCAAATCACAAATATTGAAGCCAAGGCCATCTTTCATCACTCGTAATGATGTGAATGCGAGCTCGCGTTGTTGCCCCTTCGTTCTCTCGACGAAGAAGTCTCCGCTGGATGATTCGTCCGTCAGGAATTCTTGGAATGTAGCATGAAGGGGTCGGATGGGGGTATTTGAGTCGGTGGTGCCGCTGAGGAGGGCGCCCATGCGTTTTATTACTACATCTACTTTGTAGTCGGCCCCCTCTGGAAAATGGGCCCGCATAGCATTCAGTGAATCTAAAGGGAGAGGTTCGGCTGTGGCAAGTATTTGTCCCATCACGGAACGGAATCTCGCCATCGCTTGCTTGTGGGCTGTTGTATTTTTATCCTTTGGCATGATTTCCGTCAAGATGAGCCGATACATATCATACAACAAGTTTCTCCGCTCCCCCGGACTGTGGGCCACGACATCATTGAAGCAGTTCATTGAAGATGAACCGAACTCGGGTTCCTTGATGTATCTGCATGCGAGACGCGCCCACTCGAAGAGTCCGTCGGATCCCGCAGCGAGCGTTGCAAGATGGTCGTCCTGAAATTCTGATAGCTCTTTCAGCTCCTCCGATACGAAGGCGTGAATGTCGCGCTTCGCGACTTCTGGTGCAATACTGTCCATGGAGAACTGCAGAATATGATTGGCACCTTCAAACCACTTTTCAATATCTGGAAGCGGGCGAGAGGTGACGAGAATCCGAAAGTTGGAAGGAAGTTCCGTGATTTGGGGAACCTTTTTGTTTTGAAGTTTACCCGCAAGTATGCGAAGAAGGTGCTCCCGCGTCTCTACTCCGCCGCTCTCGTCCAGCGCATCAATCACGATCAAGACAGGCCCCACGCTTGACGCAGGGAACTTCTTCAACGGTGCCATGAGAAGCTCGCGCCACTGCTGCATAATGTCCGTCGTATTCTTGAGCGAGGTATCATTCCTGACTGCATCCGCTAACGCTCGTCTCATCCTCGGATCACGATCAGCAAGATCGCGCGCGATGGTGGAGAAAATCTTTTCGTGGCGACGATCTCCTCTGTGCCGATCGAAACAAAAGCATGAACCGAGGCCTCCCGTTTCTTTGAACCAGTTGGCAATCGTGTGCGCGATGGCTGATTTGCCCTTGCCTGCAGGGCCGGATAACCACATTACACGTGGAGCGGAATCTTCGCTGTTGTTGATCCACTTGGTGATTTGGGAGAGAACGTCCGTGCGAGTGCCTGACAGACATTCCTTCGTAGTATCTACTCCTGCGCCCCCTGCATAAACCATATCGCTGAGATCGAGTGTTTCACCTTTAGGGTATGAGTCAATGCAAAGACAAAAGCGTGTCAGACTCCTTACCCGTACGTTGGACGAAGACCGCCACGTCTCGATCGACTTGGTCCCGGAATTGCTGCATAAGGTCATCCAAAGTGTCACTGTACTGTTTGATGATGTCGTCAGTTTCCGACAGAACGTTTTTCCCGAGTCTCTTCCCTATGACAGCAGTATAAGATTCATTCACGAAGTCCGATAGCTTGGTGACCCACAAAAGCTCTTTGTTTCTGAGTAGTCCCTGATAAAACGGGCGCACTCATGAGTCTGCTGAACGATCTTTCCAACGACACCGCGCATCGATTCAATTTTGCCAAGATTGTCATCTAGAGTCATGAAGCGATAGACTTCAGCCAATTTCTCAAGAAGACTATGAATCGATTTGTCGCGCTCTGCTTGAGCGATTATAATCTACAGAGTTATGACTTCTAAGCAGGAGACTGCACTCCGGGAGAAATCAAACATACTTTGGATGCAGCAGACAGCACACCCAGCGCTATCTTTGCGTAAGGATGTACCTATACAACTTGATTAGTCCGCTTCCAATAGACAAGAATAGCCCATACATCCGCGATCTTCTCGAGGACACCATCAATAATTTTTAGGGGTTGGAGATACTTCGTCTCAAAATTATCCGCGGCAGCGAGACCCGCTGGGGCATGGTCGACGGCGGATGCCGCAGAAGTCGCATGTTTCCCGAGTAATCCCATGTTTTGTGTGCTATCACAAGCACCCTGAAGTTCAGCGTCAACTAATTGAGTATCAAGATTTTCCTCCTCGCCAGAAGGAGCGGCCTGAACCTGCGGTATCGCCAAAATTAGGGAGGAAAGTCAAAGCATGTGACGAAAATACCTGAGAAGCAGGCTCTCCGGACAGCCCTTGGTTCACAGAGTCACTGGGAATCTCAGATGTGGTGGGATGCTTGTCGTCGTTGGATGACTAGAAGCGCCTCTAAGAAAACCGAAGGACTAGAATAGTAAGTTCGAGCACTTACGTCGACTTTCTGACTTGATGAAGACCCTTCCATTTCGACGTTCTGAACGACAGTGGTTGAAGCATCTTGAAGGTCTACGCTCTGGTTCGCAGGAATGCGGTTGCGGAAAAACTTGAAGGGTTTCTGCACAATGTCAGCCATATTCAGAATCAGGCGACCTAGCAGCCTACTCACAGCAAGTTTCTTGGCGACGCCTTTCGCAAATTTCCAAATAATCTGCTTGACTCGAGTACGGAGTCGGCTCTGGACGAAGAAAGCGTTACAGCAGCGATGAATTCCATGAGCGCTCATCCACGTCAAGTAAGCCCTTGAGACGACATACCGAATTTTCACGAACGGGTGCCTCGCAGGTTTCTGGAGGATCTGGCCTATGGTCTTTAGTCATCGCGAGTAGTGGATTGCTGTAAGTGAGGCCAGGGTGCAAGAAGTAGGTGGGAGAAAAGAGAGAACCTCTGGCATGAGCTAAATACCCTTGATCAAAGCATGGCCAACACGTTGACTGGCTTCTTGAGGCGCTAATCATGATTATCGGCCATAGGCCCATTGCCGAAGGAAGCAGAAAGCCTTGAAGGGGCAGTGCCATGTAGACAAACCTATCACAGAAACGACGGGATCATGTTGGTCGAAATGAATGGCATAACAATAGTGCACAATTGATTCACGAGCACAGTACCACGAGGTAAGTACATGTAGAGGCAAGATTCTTGTTCGGTCTATGTTCAGAATGTTAGCAGATGAGTAGCTAGTACTACTTACATCGATTATTAGAGTCTTTTGTCATAAGTGACCGATGATCGATGCATCGATGAACGTTCGACATGACACTCCGAGTCCGCGTTCTAGACGTTTCATTGGTTTGATGCGGACTTTAAATTTCAGCGCGCACACATCACATGATGTACTACGACTCAGTACGAGGCAAGCAGTCGCGTCTTAGACCGGCGACTAGCCGGTCTATCAAAATAGACGAGCTGCTCACTAGTCTATTAGATGTCATCTCATAAAATTGGAAGAAAAAAACGCAAATTTTATTTATGAAAAGCAAAGAGGACTATGCGTTTATACTCATGTGCTTACATAGTAACGCCTGGTGCACTACCGGATAAATTCCGCCAAGCAAAGCAAGTATGACTGCTCACGAAACAAACAAGTCTCTCCTCTCCAAAGCAGTGACACACCATCCGACGGTAGCACACCTACGACTCCATCGCATCCCCCATAACCGCATCCTCTTGACCCGTCTCCTCAAACACCAAGCTGCCTTGTTGCTCCTTCAGCCACTGCACACTCCGCTTTTCATCCATAAAATATGTGTATGCTCGACGGAGATCCTCGACGTCCACTGCGTCCGACTTCCGCTTCCGTGCGATTACTTGTGCGCAAGAGATCAGGTTGAGGGCGTACCGCAGAGTCGTGGATGTTGCCATCGAAGTGAGAACGCTTTGTGCTTCTGGGGTTAGGGTCACATCCTCTTCATCGCAGCTGCGTTCATGGTTTAGTGACTAGAAATATATAGCGTGGCAAATAGGACTCACCGGATTTGAATGATCTGCTGGATGTCTTCTTCGGCGTAAGGCTTCGTGCTGACGATGAGGACACGATCGAGCAGGTCAACGGGCAGTCCGTGCGGGCTTCTGAACTTCGTTCCTCGTATACGCGACATTCCTCGATTTGAAGCCATGATCACCAAAGGAGACAGCTCGTTCTCAAGCGCACGGTTCAAGAATGAAAAGCACTCGATATCAAGCATGTGTACTTCATCGATGAAAAGGACCTATATCAGCGTTAGTCCCGGAGCTCTATCATCAAGAGGTGACTTACACCAGGTACGATTTCTGCTTTGCCTTCTTCCCTCCATTCAGCAACCTTGGAGTTGATTTGGTCACGAAGCTCAGGTTTAATCTCGCCTGTATCTCCTGCGAAGAGGGCAAGGAAGCCTTGCGTCCGACTGTTGATCACGTCGATCTCGTGTAATGATACTGTGTGCACGACTTCTTTTCGTTTCTGTATTTCGCCCTCGGGACATTGCACGAATTTTGTCTGCAATTTCGATTAGCACCGCTTGGTTCTGACTGCAAAAAAGTTGTGAACGCACGTCTGCACCCATGGCGTCATAATCTCTTGAACGCGCATACGAGCGACCAAGCTTTGTGACCCTCCCCGACGTCTTGTCGATCACTACCACATCGCCTGCAAGAACCTTTTCTTTAGAAAGCGCATCTATCATCTTGGTACCCAGGTCGTAAATAGTTTCCATGTCTGTCGTTTTTATCGTGAGTTTGCCGGTTTTAGTGGCCTGCGGAAGGTAGTCAGTGCCCGCAACTTTGATGACTGAGATATGGTACACATACGCCAGTTAGACTGCGGTCGATCTGGATTTCGACGACCTCTCCTTCAATTATCTCACTTTCTTCTTTGATGCGCACGCCGATACTCCGCCGTATGGCTTGTGTCAGTGCTTCAGTCTTAGACATCGACAATGAAAACACCTCGCTGCCAGCGATCATTGTAAACGGTACATCCGAGCCTAGGGTCTGTGCCATGCCTGCAGAGTGTCATTCATCTGTTGTAAGCCGATCATAATTATCAACCTGCCTAGTGCGATCGCTGTCTTCCCCGTCGAAGGTGGTCCAGCGAACAATATAGCGCGTCCCGCTATCCGTCCTTCTTGTACCATCTTGATGACCATGCCCGCAGCTTTCCGTGCTTTGGCCTGTCCTACCATACCCTGCGAATTGGCTCGCGGTTCAAGACGGTCGTCAAGCCCAAGACCTCGGATATGCGAGTGTGCGCCTAGCAGTCATTAGTTACTAATTACTCTCAACGCATATGAGTCCTTCGCGCACCTATGCGCTCCATTTTAGTTATCTCCCGCAACTCGGACATTCCTGTGGATATTTGAGCAGCCTGATGATTAGCATCAGCATTTTTCGTATGGCAAACAAGCTTGGATCTAGGAGTTCTCCTACCATTGTTTGAATGATGAACGAGCAGAGAGCGCGTCTGTTTGTTCGGAACAAACAACCTTCCTCTTCGACCTTCTAAAAATAATTCCTGCATTTTCCATTTCAGCATACTTACTTGGAGGCGCTGTTCCGTCGACAGACCGCGGGATGTTGTGCGTTCGTGCACTGCGCACTTTTGCGTCATTGGGCGCTCCATCAAGCTCTCGAGCATTGACACACGTGTTCCGAACGACCAATGCAACCAACTCCATAGCTCGCACTTACGCTACACATTTTGCATCAGGTTCAAAAAATGAGCCTAAAGCTACATCTCTAGATGTCGACACCAACGTCTTCAAGACCTACAAACCCGTTTCTCCCGGTATTCGTCACCTTCGTCGACCCATAAATGACCACCTCTACCAAGGGAAGCCCGTTCGTCTGCTAACGGCTTGCCTCCGCAAACATGGTGGTCGTAACTCTCACGGGCGCATCACCGTCCGCTTTCGCGGTGGTGGTCACAAGCGTCGTGTACGTCTCATCGACTTTATGCGCACCGAGCCTGGAGAGTACGATGTCATCCGTATCGAATACGATCCTGGACGCTCAGCACATATTGCTCTTATCAAAGCACGAGACGCCAATGTGGAGGGGAAGGCGAAGTGGAAATACATACTCGCTACTGAGGGAATGAGGCCGGGGGATGTTGTGCAGAGCTATAGGATGGGTATGCCTGAAACCACGGGTATGCTCCGTACTAGGACGGTTAGGCCTGGCAATGTTCTTCCTATTCGGTTCATTCCTACTGGCACGGTCATTCACTGTGTTGCGCTTTTACCTACGGGCAGGGCGTTGCTCGTGCGCTCTGCTGGCTCCTTCGCTCAGGTCGTGCACCATGATGAGTCTGGACGGTACAGTCATGTGCGCCTTCAGAGCGGTGAAATCCGCCAAGTCCTACAAGATTGTTGCGCTACCATCGGACGCGTAAGCAACCTCAATTGGAAAGGGAGGAAGATAGGAAAGGCGGGGAGAAATCGGTGGTTGGGGTGGAGACCACGAGTCCGAGGTGTTGCCATGAATGCGTCAGTATTTTTCTATCAATCAATTGCGTGCATTATATTTAGTCACGCTTTTGCATTCGGAATTTTAGCAAGGATCACCCTCATGGTGGTGGACGTGGTAAATCCAAGTCCAATAAGCATCCTGTCTCTGTTTGGGGCTGGGCCACGAAAGGCAAACGTACGCGTAAACCTGGACCCAAGGGCCCTAAGAACAGTAATAAGATGGTCATTCGGGAACGCCCTAGGGGCAAGGAGAAGCGCGCGGGTGGTTCTTAAGCTAATTCTGTTTTGCCATATCCATCCTAGTGATTTGACCTTGTTTTACTGAGATATGGGAGGCTTGCGTTCATTAATGCATGCTCGGGATTGTAATACCCTTTATATTTACCGTGCGTGGACTGATAGACCTTGATAGGGATACATATGATGTGATCATTACTAGTCTAGGGTTAATGTGAGAAGTTGACGCTGATCTCAAGTTACCGTCGGTTATGGAGAATTCGTAACTACCGAATTACGATCAATTGGGCGTGAAAGGACATTCGACAACGTAGAAAAGCATTGACTGGACAAGTTAACGTTGTAACAGTCAATCTATTGACCAGTATAGCGGTGGTTCGATGGGGATAAATCACACCGAACACGGTCACGTGGAAGGCGCGTATTTGATCTCCGCTACCGCGTTTCTTGTTTGCTGCAGGCGGCGTGTCACTGGCATGTAGTCACCTTAAATACGCGCACACCCGATTTCCCGTCCTTCTTCCCAACATCCTTCGTCAATTATCAATCATGGAATCAGCTACACTCTCCAGGACGTCCTCGTTGGCCAGCATATCTTCCACAGATGATACTGCGCGTCGTACGCGCAAACGCTTTTCCACTGTTCAGCTTATGATGCTGGAACAGCTTTTCCATCGGACATCCCACCCTACGCGAGAGGAGCGCGAAGCCGTTGCGAACACAGCAGGAATGTATGTCATTTCCGGGACAGATGTCACTTGCTCCATATCTGACCGTCGTCCGCAGGGAAATAAAGTCTGTCACCATATGGTTCCAAAACAAACGACAGACGGAGCGCAAAGTGGCCCTCCACAATGCGACAAACGTATCCAATGATGACGACCCTTCCTCTCCATTATTCGCGCATGGACATGCTTCTTCGTCACGTCACGTCCATTCCCGATCAGTTTCTTTTTCAAGCTTGCATACTCCACGGAGACGGATAACGCCTCCTCGCCCGCGTCCCTCCCTTGATCGTGTCGCGGCACGTTCCGAATCACGTCTCCAACCACCCCGCACACCTACGAAGCCTCATAATCCACACGCATCACTATGGGACAATATGCCCTCATCTCCACTGGCACCTGCCAGCCCTCCTACGCGCGACTTGATAGACTTCATGGGCAGCGGGCGCACCCTTGAATGGGCGTGTGCTGCGGCACGCCTATCCGGAAGACGTAAAGAAGACGAAGCAGGTGCTGAAACGGAAGACGAAGAAATGGAAGCTGTTACGCCGGAAGGGAGCTTAGGAGCTGGAGATGACGCCTGGAATAAGAAAACTGCATTTCCCGTCCAGAAGCGCGGGCACGTGGCTCGGAACCTGAAGTTTGCGCCCGTGGTAGTAAACGGAAGAAAAAGTGCGATCCAGGACGACGATATGATGCGAGCTGCGCTGGTCTTGTGTGGACTGGGAAAGCGCAGCTGAGGGATCGTTAATAATTATCAGGCGGTGACATTAGACTTTTTGCACGCACAGCACTAACCTTATTATCTGCACATACCCTACATTTCCAAAATTGCATCTTCACATTTGTTATCATGTTGTATATATCATATTTTGTACGTTCTTCGGGAGGACTCCGTTATCTGTGTGAATTTTGAAATGAAGGATTCGGAAGAAACAAACGACCCGACAAACGATTGAGCCAACGCTGATGATTTCTGCCAAAGAAAAAGTCAACGTAAATCGTATACTCGATTGACTCGAAAAGGTCGAGATACCATGGCGAGTCCTAGTCATCGATCAATCAAATCAGGGGGAAGGCATGTTGTTGGACTCTACCCTCCTGATTTGATTGTGCAAATCATCTGAAGGGCCATTTCAGATATCTCATGCGTGCATGGAACGGCTACAAAGACACCTTGACGCGCTCCAAAGTTGCGGGATGTTTAGGAGAAGTAATTAAGTGAAGCAACATGTACAGGGGAACGATAGTGATGAATCGTGTTTGTGCTCGTTAGTGGCGCTATGTCGGCATCGTCCGAACCGTCATCGAACACTATAAACAGATCAGACCTTGGTTCAGGCGTGCATGGGAGCCCGAGGCGGCTCTCCTTGATTCCCTTGAGTATTTGTATCCATTAAGCTGTTCTGAAAAACATAGTCAGGCTCCTTGTCATCTTCGTCATGCCAAATCCTGTCGTCGTCATCACAGGCGCATCCAGGTTAATCCTAGTCCCTATATCTGAGAACCTTGTGCTGATCATCTAATGTTCAGAGGTATCGGTCTTGCAGTCACTCGTTCCTTACTCAAGGAGCACAATGCTCGCGTCGTTACCATATCGCGGACTCGAACACCGGAGCTCAGCCAACTGATTCAGGAACACGAGCAATCATTGTTGACTCTCGAGTGCGACATGTGAGTACCAAACCTTCAACCTGAGTTCATATTACATAGAACTCATGGTCTTACAATCACAGCACAGATGAACCCGCGCTCAAAAGTGCTATAACCCGCGGCAAAGACCACTTTGGACAGATAGACGGCCTAATCCTCAATGCTGCTACTCTAGACCCCATAGCACGCATCGACAATGCCGACATCACCCTCGATGACTGGAAAAGCTATTTCGACATCAATTTTTTCTCGCTTGTTACTGCTATCAGGGCATCTTTGCCTGGCTTGCGAGAATCGAAGGGTAGGATCATTTTTGTAAGTTCAGGAGCGGCTACCGGAAACATATATGGATGGGGCGCATACAATGCTAGTAAAGCGGCTATGAATAGCTTGAGCAGGTGATCAGTACTGGGTCGTGTGAGGAGGCTTTGAACTGATTCTATGAAATGTATAGAACGCTCGCGAACGAAGAACCTTCGATCGTGTCATTGGCACTTGCACCTGGAAGGGTCGACACTGCGGTAGGTCTGGACTGTATCATGTCGAACATAGATCTCAAATACCGCACAGATGCAGGCTATACTGCGGGATGCAGGGGTGCAGCACATGAAGGCGACGGATCATAAGGATTTTGTCGATGCCTACAATGAAGGAGCCCTAGTCAATCCACACGACGTTGGATATGTAATCGCTGCTCTCTCGTTACGCGCTCCTCTTGCACTTACTGGGCAGTTTGTGAAGTGGGATAATGAGGAGTGTAGAGAATTCCGGAGGAAATGACCTAGTAATATATTAGGTTGTGTCTATACTGATGTGCGCCGTTCATGTACTGGCATGATGCACAAAATACTCACCAAAGTAAATGCGTATCAACGGATATTCTCTTGCTCAGGGCGACTTACAAAAGTAATGCACTGTTCCCGCAGTTCGGTTCTGAGCCTAGGGTCGACCTAGAACTTTTTCTGGTTAAATCGTACTTAGTTTGACAGCGGGTCCAAACTCGGCTGGTGCACACTCCGCGTCTTGTGCAAATAGGGGATGGTCGCGACAAAGGATTCCTTTGTACAAGTGACGATATGTTGATTTAGGTCCATCTTTACGTGGCTAGAAATGGACGCTGAGTCGATCACCGCACTTGCAGGAAGTGATACCGAGATTGTTCGTTTGCAGAACTTATATTAGTATAGTGCCAGACTCTGTCAGTATCCGGAATGGAACCTTAGGTAAATAACAGTCTCTGCCGCAACCGGAATGGAGCTTTAGGTGAAACATGACACCAGCCGGACGCGAAAAGAGGCTGACCATTCAACCTGCCAGTGTCGACTCGTTCTGTCACGTAGAAGCGAAGCGAATAGGATGGACAGTGCAAGCAACGTACCAAGGAAAAGCATAAATACCCGGGCTGCAAACAAGTCTTCAGTACTGAACAACCCGCCTCGAGACCCTCGCAACTGACTCTCATATCCACCATGCGTTTTTTGACACTTCTCGCTATTTTTGTCGCTCTTGCCGTGTCTGTTAGCGCAGATGGCACTAATGAGTGCAACGAGGGCTTTGATGAATGTGGGCCTGACTCTATATGTCAGGTAAATACCGTTTCTTTTGCCATGGCGAACACAGTGGACGCAGCTGACTTGCCTGTTGCAGGCTGGGAAATGCAAGAAACGTAACTGACAATGCAGCCACGAGATGCTGTACAGCTGTCAGTAGAACACAGGTTAGACATCACCCCACTGGCTAGAGCTATAGGTTGACTCTCGCTGATAGATCGTCTGAAATACCCGTTATTATTGAGATCGTTGAGGTGGACAAATGAATGTCTGTATCACGTACTGGTCTATTCAGATGTCTTGGGAAATATGTTCATTGAAGCCATAAAACACTAGTGTCCATGGACGTCTGAGTGTAAGGGCGACGAATGCGATCGAACATAGGTAGTTGGTCCTATAAAGTGCCCGCTCAGAGACCCTTGACGATGAGAGGAATGAGAGTGCCTCGAAGTTGGTGTATTAATGAGAAGTTGTCGCAATTAGCAAGGAGAGAAAGTAGCACGGGCGAGAGCTGTCCAGCCTTTCAAGAAGGAGACTCGAAATTCAACGGTTGAAGAGGTGAATGCTGAGCGCTGAGCACTGGTGTCAACAGGATACAGAAATTCTTCTGTCTCTAAATGCTAACGTAAGAAGCGCATTAGTAACCTGTGATCTTCCTGTCTAGACTTGTCTTCGACTTATTCGTGGTTTTCTATATCTGCTATATATCTGCTGGCAACGTTTCATGCAGAGAAGGAGCCGTTAGCACTGTACGATAATCACCGTGGTCAGTGGTCGTCTTAGTTACTCGACACCACGCTACGCGCAACTTTCAGGAGAACAAACAACGACATAGACATGCCTTCTCATAGAGATAATGAGCGCCGTTCACGTCATGACCGTTCACGCTCCAGAGACAGAAGAGAACGTTCGCCTACCCCAGAAAGTGGCTACGACCTTCCGCAAGGCGTCTCACCCATATCGGAGTCGGACTACTTTTTGAAAAATACGGAGTTTAGACTATGGCTAAAGGAGGAGAAGCACAAGGTCTGTCCTGCGCTGCGCTTTCCTGAATCGAAGAAATAATGCTAAGGTGTTCATCTGGTAGTACTTTGATGAGCTCTCGAGTGAGAAAGCTAGGAGGTGAGTTTTATCATCAAGATGTTTCCTTGAAAAGTTGCTCAAGAGGAATGGCAGCTACTTCCGAAAGTTTGTAAAGGTAAGAAGATGCACGAGCTATAAAAATGTCTGCTGAGTATGTGATACAAGGCATGGAACAGAGCGAAACTACCGAGTGAGCCTCCTTCAGTATCTCACAGTGGCCAATTCTGACGGATCCTAACCGACGTCCAGAGTCCCTATACTCCGAGGCCGGCTCCTATATATCATCAGCAGCAAACCAAACGGCTTACAAATGGTCTTTCGCATCTAAGGGCTCAAATGTAGACGCAGGAACCTTGAAGGCCGTTCGAGAAGAGGTTGATTCCGCGACGTACCGGCGTGCTACTAGTTCATCCGATACCGGTGGAAGTCGAAGCCGCGTACACGGCCCAACTCTCCCTTCAGCGTCTGATCGAGTCCTTGCCCGGGAAGCTGCGTCGGAGTATCAAGCAGCAGAACATAGCATGAAGCGTAAACGAGATCGCGCAGAAGCGAAAGAGCGCGTCGAGGACATGGTGGGGCCGAAAGAGGTCGGTAGAGAGGGCATGCTGGAGAAGAAGCGTGCCCGGAGAGAGGACGACCGTGCATTTAGGGAGAAAGGTGATGACGGCTTTGAAGCCGACGAGTCGACCCTCCTCGGTGGTGGGGATAGTTTCAGGGACCAGTATGTCACGTGCCCCTTCGCTTTCCTTTGAATGCTGACATCGTATTAGCATTGCTCGGCGAGATGCAGCACGGAAACGATTCGAGGAGAAGCGTTCTGCAGGGAAAGAAGATAAAACTGCTGGTGTACGCGAACGTGCTGCGGCCTTGCGAGAGAAGGACAAGGCTACGATGGACATGTTTCAACAGCTGGCAAAGCAGAGATTCGGCTAATCACGACACTTGTCCTTTGCTTGATGAATTGGTGAGTATCTTACAACATGTTTTCATGCGTGGTTATACATGGGAGTCTCAAAATGAGAATATGATTGACAAGCTGCTCGAATCTACGCCGTACTGCTCTCCTTGAAGAAAATATAACTAGCACTATTCCCTCGAGGCTCTCACATTCTTGCTTGAGCGGGGGCTGTCCCACGCCCTTTCATCTGCATCTAACATTTGAGCCTTTGTTGTATTATCAGATGTAGACGTTTCGTGTTCGCGGTCGGATGTTTCCTACGATAATCATCAAGGTTTACCCCTTCGAATGGGACGCCAGAATTCTGCCTTACCAGCGAACGACCGTCCCTCGATGAAAAATCAACCTAATGAGATAACGCATTACCATCAGCAGCCATTAGTAAAACAAGACATACGAACCAAAGTGCTCATCTCGGAATTACACTGTAACGTGCACCCCACTTCTACATAGGATGCCCAATGTACCAGTTCGGTGGTCTGCACCAGTCCATCTGCCCTGTGTTTTGTCCTGTCCTGGTTTTCCCAGTTGTTGAAAAACATCTCTCGTGTCAGTCATGACAACACCAATGCACGAGGGACTGTCCGTTGGACGTACCATAGTAGATGGTAATTGAAGAGTTCAGGATTAACAGGACAAAGGGAGACAGGTGTATTTTATACTATCTCAACTCGGGCAAATTCTTCTTGTAAGCCGGCATATCACGAAGGCATGACGGTCCATTTGGCGAGAGGAACCTACCAGTAAGTGTATAAAGGAGCTAGATAACAGCACTGAACATCCATGCTACCATGACGTGGTGCATGAAACCAAGAATGTGTTTGCATCGTGAGTAAATGCAGTCTAGGATTGGATGGTCACTAGGCTGTGTGTAATGCGAACGCATTGATTGGTTTCGCACCACTCGTTCAAGGTAAATCCCTAATGGACTTGCAGCAACAAATAGTCGATGACAGCCCGAGTCCAGTCTTCGTGGCCATTGCATACTATCTGTTATCGCAAGAGGTTCTGTCAATAGACCCCTAGACTCCAGTCGTAGTCATGCGGGTGTGCAGGAAGAGGGGCGGGCGGGAAACACAGGAAGGAGGCGGATGAGAAAGATGGGCGGAAGGACAGCGAGCATGGCGTGACCAAGAGGTAGATTTGGGGCGAAGCATGAAAATTCCAAGGCAGCTATATGCAGCGGCGGGGATGCGGGAGGTGCTCATCAGTGCTTGAAGTCAGCAATGAGCTGGCAACTCGAGGGACACGTCACAATAGTGAGCCATATCTCTGCTTTTGCTTTGGCATCATGGCTGATGGTGCAATACCTAGTTCGAAGCCATCAGTACAGTTGCTTTCGGACAAATTTCGTACCGCTCGAGCAATATGAATGTCTGAATTTATCTGATCCACTGAGTAATCAACTTCTAAACTTTGTCGCTGCGCTGGCAGGGTCGCCGCATGTTCAAATGAAGAAGTGATGCGTGAGAGATTGAGTTTTCATACCAAGGTCGTAACCACTTGAATAGGTTCTTGCAGCTTCTGTCTAAATTTGTGCCATTTGACAGCAATAACAATTCTTCCAAATAGATCAGAATTGTGCCAATGCATGATATAAAAGCTGGCCGTTGTCCTATAGTAGTCCCCCATCCTTAGTGATATCATTCGAGAACCCCCTCAGAAGATTCTACATCACTTCACATAGAAAATGAAAATGCATTTCTTCCTCCTCACCATCGTTGTCACTTTGACAGCATCCATGTCTGTCAATGCAGCAACTCCATGTGTGCCTCACAACGATCCCGAAGCGACTTGCCAGACAAATAGCGATTGCTGCGATGGCTATATTTGTTTCTATCGTAGTGTGAGTATGAGCAGGTCACTGTGCTTCCATGGCTCACCTGTGCACCATAGGAGCCGGGATCAGGCAAGATCTGCCAGTAGTAGTCGATTGAGGATCGAGCCAGCAGCCCGAGAGACACGTCGCGACAGTGAGTCATGTTTCTGTTTTCGCGTTGGTATTATCAGGGTTGATGGTACAACATCTAGTTCGGAGCCAATCAGTAAAGTTGCTTGTATATATATATATATGTTTGAGAGTGGCTCGATGACCAAAAATGAGCATAGGTGAACTGAAAAACGAGGCAGTCAGAGACATAGGAATGGGCGTGAGGGTGAAAGGGCAAGTCAAATACAAAGGAATATTGATGACGAAAATGTGAAATGTTAAAAGGAAAAAGCTGAGTACGTACCAAAAAAAAGAGATCATATCAAACAATGGATCCGATATTGCATATTTTTTTGGATACAAGAATAGAAGCCCCCGCACCGCGAATAAGTATTTGAAACGGTGAGCAGACGATGACCAGTTACCAAGTCCGCAGCATACCATTCTTGAGTTCCATCAGCTCACGAGTCGAGGGCTCCAAACAATGATTGATTTGCTGGATGTTCGGCTCCTTTGGTCCCGGCATGATTGCTGCGCATATAACATTGACCTGCAGAAAACGTTAATCTCGTGGAAGGTCGTTGATAGCATAATAGATAGGTCCGCTAGAGTGGGGCCGATTTTCAAGTATTCCCATCCTACGTGATATCGCATTAAGCACCCAGTGAGTGCAATGGCAACCTGTCATTGGACCCACTTGGTGCTTAATGCGATACTGAACGACCACTTGAATTAAACTCACCAGTCAATGTTAAAAGTCAGATGAAAGCCATAACGGTGTTCCGTGAGCTTCGTTGCTGTCGGTCTGTTGTCCTGAGGACGGTCGCGGACAGTACCTAACTCCCCAATCTCATGCACAGTGTTCGTCTCGAGTTCATGCCATAGTGTGCGATCGTGAAAACGTTTGATCCCACAGAACCAATTCGCGTGACTCTCCTGTCTGTGCTCCACCTTAGCTCGAGCTGAGCTCCAGTCTTTGGCCAGGATCGGGAATATGATCTTGGGGAAGGGCATAGGCCATTTTGCTGCCAAACACGCTGATATGGTAGCTTTCGTGGTGCGGAAAGTAGGACGCATACTGAGGTCCCCAATCTGACCAGGGAATGTCGACGAGCATATCTGAGCGCAGGGCCATGTCAGAGAAGATGGCCATATCGATGACTAGGATAGATTTCCCCGCTTTGGGAAGAAACTCTAAAACTATAATTTGCGACTCCAGGGAGGGCACATAGCTCGGCATGAGTCCTGGGCGTGCTGCTTTGCCAAGGAGTGATGGATGGCCATGAACAACGATTTCCGATTCGCGTAATGATAGATGGGGGATCGTGGGAGGGTGATATATGATTCGGCACTGAGGCGACCCATCGAGCTCTTGTAACGTGTACAAGTATATCGAGCCTTCTGGGCCAATGATGACGAACTTCTGTTCATCGACTGGATAGAAACAAACTTCGTCGTAGATATCCGGTTGACATAAAAAATGCTGCTTATGCTGAGCAGCAGAATTGTCACAAAAAGGAGGAACTTACCCTATTTACATATCCCTTCCTCCAATTGATCACTTGTATGAATATGCCGCACACTAGACATTCATCTATGTCCTCTATGCCATAGACCACAAATACGCGATCGCCACAGATTACAGGCGGTGACAAAGCTGCAGCACGGTAATAGCCAGGTGCATCAAAGGTATGCTTACACTCCAAAGAACTGCACACAGCGCTCGGATGCAGACGCTGGGATGAAGCCAGTCGAAACTGCACCCGACAGACATGGTGATTTTGTTCCGCATCGGTCACAGTGACACAATCATCAGGCTTAGAACACACAACCATAAGATCCTGCAGAAGGTCGAATGTAGTAAAAAAGCCCTCGACATAACCGATAGACCATGTCCGGGAGAGCGTAGGATTCGTGCCACAACCCTGAATGTAGAGTTTGTCTTCTTTCAGCAAGTGTGACCACCAAAACCCACATTTCACATCTTGGATCGGCAACATGGGTTGCCATGTGGCAGCAGTAGTGACCACTGTTTCAAAGGTAGTGGTCGCATAGAAGTCAGATCGCCACAAAAATGCCAATTTCTTGAGCGAACACAGAGTCTTTTTGGAAACGCCGGTCGAATTCATGGTAGCGGTCCCAGCACTAATCAAGCCCTGAGCATAAATTTCAAGCTTGTATTGAATGTAGACAGAATTCCGGACCACAAGCCAAAAGATATTGCATGTCTAGCATGATCAAACATTAGCCCTGAAGGAAATTGTGGCACTATGGGGGGAATCGCCTCGCCCTTGGTGGTTCTAAGGGGGGCAGGATTCTCCATGAACTTAGTATCATGATCACGGCGGGCCCGAGTCTCCCTTTATCACTCCATTTATCACGTTATACTGAAAGAAAAAACCATATATGGGTCGAGTATATGGAACAACACACGAAGAAAAGAACCGATGATGCTTGATCTATGCCTCAGTCAACTCCCGCAGACGACGAACAGTGCTAAGTAGACAGTCAGACTTGATGCCCAACACTGTGAATGGGGATGACTCACCTCCGTACGGTAGCAGCCGCAGTCGTCGATACTGTCCATGCCCCGCCAGCGATCGTCTTTTTGCAGGAGCTGCAGTGCCAGATACCGACGGCGGTACGCTTCACGGAGTCCTGTGACGGGATGAGATTGCGCACATGGGAATATTAGACTGTGCTCACCTTGCCGCAGAAGGTGCAGGTATACCGGGCGTGCTGTGTTATTTCCATCTGAAAAACGTTAGTCTCAATACATCGTGTGATCATCATAGAGCAAAGAGGCTCACCTTTTTTACTTGCTTACGAAGCGAAGCACCGTAGCGCTAGATGAAGATGTCAAGTCCATTGTCCTGTAAGAGGACACATAACATACGGTACCGTATTTTCCCGTCACACCCACTTTGCGTGTACGTTTGGTCTGTAATTAAGGTCGTGGTTAGATAAAAACATGGTTCGGGTGATAGTACCCACCATGTTGAGGAGCAGAGGTCTTGAAGAGGGGAGTACTAGACGCGGCACTGCGAGTACAAACGGTAATAAGCTGTGGGAAATAATTAGATAAACTGTATAAGCAACAAGCCACACGGCTTGATCGGGTGCCGTTGATTTCAAGCTCCGCTATGTGACCGTCTCAAACGTTCCGATCATTAATATTGGGTTTAGGATGACGCATGTCGGTTCACCTCCGGCCGGCGGACGAGATCAACGGAAATATCATTGCACTCAACGCACTTGCTGGTATCCCGCTCGATGCCATCCAAAGTTTCCGTGCTCCTTACTTGAACTATACCGCTCAGACTTTGTAGGCGAAAGTTGATTTCACTTATGATTCTTCCTCCGCCTCCGTCACTGATACTGGCCTTACACTGGTCTTGCAAACGATGAGATACTTGAGCATGAAACTTTCAAACGCTGACACTTTACGATAGTTACTGGACATGTAGGGTTACGATCATGTTGATAGCTAGGACCATGCATAGTACTCGTTCGGCTTTTTTTACTTCTCATGTGTGTCTTACTTGACATCACAGATTATATGGAAATCTACCAGTCCTTGGCTATAGCCTTCCCCTCAATCAGGCGCACCTTCGGCGTCATTTGATTCCGTGCAGTTGATACCAAGTTAACTTTACAACAAGTTCACCGTAGAATCCCAAATAAATATAATTTTCAATCAACGACGAATACTGCAGTACTGCTCAACTGAACCAAGCACCACGAAAAAAACGACCTCGAAAGCAGGAAATGCAAAATTGAAGCCAAAGATACAAGTGCTGGTAGAGTCCAGTATAATGAAATGTAAGCAGCGAGCCCGAATATACAATAGGTTAGGGGATGTGTATACGCCGTACGAGTAAGTGCGAGATGTACGCGTAGGATACACGTCAAAGGAGTTAGTCAGAACGAGCGAGTGTAATGTGCAAGGAGCGTGGTGGAGCTATTAGCTATACTATACTACAGGAAGGCAAAACTGAGAGCAGCGCAGTTCGATATATCGCGCCATACAATATCAGTCATATTCCCATTGTGGCTGGGCCTGCCGAGTGAGGAGCCTGAGGATTGGGGCTCATGGATTGGAGACAGGAAGCATGGGTTAATGTAGAAACTCCTTACTGTCCTTCTCTGTTCCGCATGCGGTGTCACAGCCTTTGGATTCGATGTCTACCATGTCGTAGTCATCGCAGGGCTCATCAATGACAGACACGACCGTGGTCTCCACATTGACGTTCAGGTGTGCCTAGATGTTATCATTAGCGCGTTTTATCAGGCAAACGGTGACATATACGTACGCTCTTATTAGGTGAGAAAGGACCCAAGATACGTTGCTGTAACCCACGAGAAGAGTGAGTGTCACCGCATGATAAATGAATATGGCACACGGACCGATGATTTGTGAATGTTCATCGAGGCAGGGTACACATCAGCCTCGCGCTGACTCGAGAAGGTATGGTCTGAACGCAAGCGCTTCCGTGTGTTTAGTCTAACAAATATTAGTTGGCCAGTAGAAGGACATGCAGGATTGGACTCACGTTGCGAGAAGGGAATTGGCATACACTGGTCACAGTCATTAGTCACTTGCAGGGTAAAACTATGAATTCACACGTACGCTTCGAGATAGCGAAGTGCATTCCGAGGAAGATCAAGTTATGTCGCATAACCATCCACTGGTTTGTGCATCAGAAGACATTCCTCTGAAAATAGATGCCTCTTACGCAAATGAGGGATGCAATTGTGACAGCGCTAAGGAAATATTAACGACATCCTGAATGATGGCCGTGAGCACTTACCAAGTAAAACTTCCAGTCTCGAGTGTATACAAGATTAATGAGTTGATGATGTGGTTCATGCTAATGACTCATCAGATGAGATAGATACGAAGTGAGAAACGGTCCTACGTTGCGAAACCAGTGCGACTCCGTCCGAGGAATGTGACCATGACCACGGTTATGATGAATTCCACAGATGCAGATAGGGTGACACCGACAGTGAACACCCACTACATTACGGAGTGAGCTTTTGAACGATGTCCTTGGCGTTTCCGCCCACTTACTGATGGGAATGGCTTGATGAATAGCGAGAAGTGGCGAAGTCGCAAGCTACGATAGACTCACGTAAGGAAACAAATTATTGTGAACTCTGTGAAACTCACATTTCGGTTGTCGAAACTTGTAAGAACCCGTTAGTAATATATATAAAAACAATTTGCCGAGGGTAACGTACCACATGCAGCGACTGCGGTTTTATGATGAGCATAAAGAATTGAAAAATGAAAAATAAAGAAACTCACGAAGACGCAAAAATGCCAAGAAGACCTGATCATCGAACATTAGATTTAATGACGGTAAATTGGTTTGGCTGAACCACGTACAAGGGGTGCAGCGAAATACCACCTCTTTGTCACTGAAAGAAGCTCAGCTAGGTACACGGTAACCAGTTTCAATTACTGACGTTTACGAACTCTGTTCGCGAAGAAACTGCACAGGAAAAAATCTAAATCACCGTCATGCCAATTCAGTGTAGAAAGCAACAAACCAGTGGACGAGGAAGGTAACCGCGGCAGTTATGGCTACAGAGAGCTATATGAAGCATTGTTAGACCGGTTAGTTGACCCCAATAGAGAACACGAACACCTAAGGACCTAAAGTGCAGTTGTACCATAAATTATGGTGCAAACAAAAGCATTTCAGCTGACTCACCTGGGGATGACATCCATCATTTCTGGTTTATTGAAATTAACGATGACGGACTCCCAGACGGAGACGATGATGAGGATTGTGTGCATCATGTCCAGTGCCCTGCACGACAGTAAGAAATATTTCCAACCATGTCGAACTTGTACACCCACCAGACGATCAAGACCTTGAGTAAGTATCAAGTTAGAAAATGATCTTGGGGAGCAACGTATAACCAAACTCACCAAAATTTTATTTTGAGTGCAATCCGAGGGGTAAAATTTGAAATACAAGACGGTTTGAACGAACACAATGCCAGTGAGGCTTGATACAACGTGTCACAGAGGCATCCCGATAACAGACGAAGCATTACTCACCCGCAGCCAATGCAGGTGCCCAGAAGGATGGCACCGTATACCGTCGCAACGGTGGCTACATCGCCCGATAACATGTTTTGAGGTGGAACTTGAGAGGTCCAGGGGGAGTAAAGACAGGTAGTGGAAGTAAAGAAAAACAACCACAAAAAAAAAGGTTAGACACACCGCTGCACCTTTATGTAGGTACGTGATGATTAAAATTAATATCGGAAAGCTGGTCGAGATCCAGGCATGCTTTCACTGATCTCGTCATCGCGAGCAATAGAATTCTCTGATTCTAGTTCGAAGAATTCGGTATACGGTAGCGGCACAGCCACATAAGCAGGGTCAGCTTCCCGTACGTTACAGGCTAAATCCGCATTGAACCTGATAATTCGGATCTTCCTTCAAACCTGAATTCTATATAGGCAAATGAACAAGGCATATATGTGAAGTTTGACAACCTTGGTCAATATGAACGTGGATAGAGCTGGTTTGCTCTGTGGAAAGTGGACCAGCGCCCACTCCTTTAAACGAATTCCCACCTTCATCATTCTCTAAACACCGCCTCAGCGCGCCTGCACACTAACGTTTCCTCGGCACCTAATAAAGCTCGCAAAGTCTCCCACAAACGATCAGAAACCTTGCTGTGCAGTGTTGATTGTGCGGGAGTGTACATGGATGAGTGTGTCTGGCACCGCCGCTCATGGTTAGAAAAAAACTATTGCTGAGTTGCGAGCGCAATAAATCTATGCCGTACGTTTATTGCGCCGTCTCCTTCGGACTGTGGGGGCGAACAACACTTCCAGGATGGAGTAGCACTCAGGCTGGGGAATCTATTGTTTGACCCGTCACAGTCAAGTTCTTTACTAGTACTTGTAGTTCGCTGAGGTTTACCAAAGTCCAGTTCTAGCTAGTAGCAGCATACACGTGGCTATACTAGTACTAGCTAGAGTTCAGTTAACAATCAGAAGGCCAACCTTGAAGAAAAGTTGAGCCTGATAACAGAATTGAGGTGAAAAAGTCCGACCGGGGATGACGTAACACGGATAATCCTGGCCTGGCGGCAAGCGAGCGCCACTGCAATACTACTAGTACTTCGGGCCCGCGCCAAACAACATACTCTAGTACCTAATACACCACCCGCACCCTCCAACACACGTCTCTTTACGTCTCTGCTACGACCTGCAAATCCTTTGTTTCATTCTCCTCGGACTGCGAGCCTTGTAGGCGGTGTTAGTGGTGCACAATAATACGACCCGAGGCGCTACATAGTAGGGTAGGCTAATGTTTTTTTTGTTGGCTCGGCTAACTTTAGGACATATGGAAATGCTTCCCTCATCGTTGACTCTGCCGTCATTCAAGCCTCTCATAGCCACGATGAGATGATATTGGGCGCTGATACTAGTTTCGTTGGAATCACTTTGTTGGTGAGTTGTTATGTTTAAAAACAATTTTCTTTCATAACTGTGGGCGTCGGGCATACGCTAGATGACGGCAAGTTTGAGCAGGATTCGTTCCACCGTTCTGGAGGCGATCCCTGAACTGTCCGGCGGAGTGGAGTTCCCGGACTCCAGGAATACTGAAACGCTGGCAATTGAGTATTGAACTTTATCAAGGCTCTACGCCACTTTTGACCATTATCCAGCCAGTACGATTGGCTACCCGATTAGCTCTTCATTAATCATTCTTATCGCCGAATGACAGTACTAGTCTATGGTAGTGGTCTCGGACGAGGTATCCATTCTGAGACGCGAGCCTCGGATGCTTCGATCTCCATTCTTTGGTTTTTCTTCCATTTTATTTCTCCATTTACAAGCTGTCACTCGACAGTAATCTGTGCCTTTGGCAAGCACATATTATAATATAAAATACAAATCTATCACAAATAATATAATGTGGATAGGATCTACTTTTATGACGAAAAAGGTTAGTTACCGGAGTCGAGCTGGCAGCTGGACCTCATTCGATCGAGACCCGGAATCCTCGACTATACAGAAATATCGGGGTTGGCACTGCACCCCGCGCCGGTTGCAGTTATACGATATGAATTTGAAAATGTTAGAACCAGGCTATAGCTCAAGGCCTAGGACAATTGGGCCGCAGTTGTTTAGAATCAAGAAGGAACAAGCGTCTTCTATGGCCTGACTAGGGGAGACTAATACATTGGGAGAGGTCTAGACCACGCAGCAACTATCACAATGCTAAAAGTGAGTACTGTCAGGGGACCAGGTCGTCGATTAGTCAGCAGATAGCTCTGGCGCACTGGCCCAAAAACGGATACAAACCAACCGCCACAGTCGAAGGGACATCTTGAGACAGACGAAATCAACTCAAATGTACGTGCCATTAATGCACAGACGAGTCTCGTGTCTGACTGCAGTTGCCATACAAGACTATATATGTATCGTGACTACTGGCAACCAGCCGGTCGAGACTTGCCCTTCTCTGTGTTCTACTCCACTCAGCGAGCATATTAGAATGACACAAGTGTTTGTTCCCCTCAGCTCTTCGCGAATCAAATATTTCTATCAGAAGTTTATATCCTGTTTCATTTGCCAACGATCACTGCCTGGATTCGAGAGCTCGACCAGTCCTGCGGTCCATAATCAGTGCAGCGGCGGCGATCAATTCCAGGAACATTCGCCAGGCGAAAACAGAAATTCTAAGATGTCACGCTCATATCAAGTCGGAAATGATCATGGGCGAGTACTCGAGTAGTAATCCCTATACGCCTCGGCCTTACTAAATCGGTTTGATAGGTTTATGTGTTTTTGACTCACTGTCCGTAATACGCACTTTTCCGGGAGAAGATTACCTACCAGTTCAGCACTGCAGTGTTAGTCGAACCAGACGGTGTCTTAGCCGAGAAGTGAGTTCATCAATCTTATTCTCGCTCTTCGTGTGAAAAGGTACAAGTACCACCCTTGCACCCTGTCCTTCTTTGACAGGTGGAGCGTACGCGTAAGGGTTGAGCTGTTCTTGTGGTATTGATTGATTTCGCGAGTCGGGACGTACGCTATCATGATCATGTGGGACGCGCTGCGGCCAGAACATATGTCGACACGGATGTGGTCCGGTACTTTCTTCGCACGATGAAGTAGCCGTCTTGAAGTCAGCTGGATGTTATCTCAGTATCTGCGTGCACGGAGTGGTATAAGTTTGAACGCCCCACTTCCACGCACTCACTCTGATAAGCATCCTCTCCTTTGCTATCTAATTCTCGCAGTAGGTTTTGTCGCATTATCTGGTTTGATATCATTTCTCATTAGATTAGTATGCCTGGAACCACTCTCCCCCCTTTCCCGGATGATGTTCGAACACATCCGCTTTTGATTGTTGATTTTGAGCTTATCAAGGCTGGAGATAGGGAGGAAATTGATCGATTGTGGGAGGCTGCGACGACGCTCGGATTCTGGTAGTACGTCATAAGAGTTGGATCATGAGTCGGACCTACTAGATTCTTCGGACAGTTTAAAGAACCATGGCGCAGATCAAGAAGTCAACGACATGTTTGATGTCGGTGCAGAGACGCTGGCTTTGCCCCTCGAAGAACGTTTGAAGTTCGAGCAAGGGGACAACGGTCAATCTTTCGGGTCTGTCATTGATATGGCTCACATTGGCAAGCGTGCCTTATCTTATCTGTATTTTTGATCAGATACAAGAAAGCGGGGGCTCAAGCGATCGATGGAACGGGCACGTACTTCTAGACCACATCACTAGCAATAAACTGACATAAACCCAGGCAAATTCTTGGACAACATGGAATTCATGAATGTCTCTAAAGACGATGCGCTCGCATATCCACGGGTCGTTCACCTCACTTATCCATCGACCATAAACGCTCGCATGGAAAACACCGTTGCGCCATTTGTCCGCAAGTCTCTTGATGTGACATATGTCGTGTTCAATATATTTAATGATAAGCTTGGATTGCCGAAAGGCACTTTGGAGAGTATGCATGCTATGGATGAGCACAGTGCTTGCGAGGTTAGGTGCACTCGCAGCCCCCCTGTGCAGGACAAGGAAGCGATGGAAAGAGCTATGCTAGCTGCCCATACTGATTTTGGCAGTCTGGTGGGTCGCTTGATACATGCGGGTATTGTGGTGACGGAAATATTTGTTTCTCCAGACCTTCCTGCACAATCGGCTTGGTGGACTCCAAGTGATGCCCCCTGGTCATGACGAGTGGTCCTACGTCAGAGTAAGCATTTCTCTTAGGTGGCCGCAACAGACGCTCACCAACGCGTAGCCCATCCCTGGACATGCTATTTGCAATATTGCGGATGCGCTATCTATTTTCAGCGGAGGCATCCTGCAGTCCAACATCCACCGCGTTGTGTATGTACATACCAGCGAGGACCTGCTTGTGCAAACTTGCTAATTTTTCAAATCATCACGGACAGTCCGCCTCCTGGTGCACAGGCAGCATACGAGCGGTGGTCCCTGGTTTTCTTCACCCGTCCGACCAGCTCGAAAGTTCTTCGGGCCCTTGTCGAATCCAGTCCCATTATCGCAGACGCTGTGAAGAAGCAACCTGACAAGAACTTCGAGAGCGGTTCTACTGCTGCCGAGTGGCTCGCAAGAAGAGTCAGGAATCGGAGAATTAATAACAGAAGGGTGAGAATTCCAGTTGTGGTGGATAGGACAATTGATGCTGACATGGTACAGGGACCAGACACATGGGCTGCGGGCCGTGGCACTGAGCACACTCCAACGGCAGCTTAGGTTATTTGTCTGCACTATTCAACAACCAGGTTTGAGTCAGTGCGAAGGTTCTTTCTACGGTTCTGGTTCTTAATTAAAGCGAGAACACAATTTACTTACTACAAACTTGGAGAACTTGTTCTTTGCATCAGTTCTGAGCGATTATGAATTCTGCGATGTGCAGAGGAGTTGACGAGATCCGAGATGGCTTCGAGCTCGACTCGGTCTTCCCCGAGGTGCGTCACCCTCTGACGAGCGAAAGATGGTAACCAGTCCACGAGGAAGCTCCCCGCATTTGAGAAGACGAGAACTGACTAGCTGAATGATTGCGTAAAGTGGAGCCGGGTAAACTTCGTAGAATTCAGCTCTTACGGGGCAACGATTTAGGCATGCGGGAATGAATGTTGCATGAACTATGTGGTCATGTTGCAATCTAAGGCGCGAGACCGCACGAATGGACGGTACTCGCGACAGATGGACAGCAAGAAAGTCGTGGGTCTCATATCGATAGACCAGATTTTGAAACATCCCACTCGACATGGAGCTCCATGTCTCCTGAAGCCGATTGGTGATGTGTTGTCTAACTCGCGGGAGGGCCCCCACTCTGCCATGTTCGATCTCGGCATTTCAAGAAGAGACGTGCGACATGTCTTTGTTTGTCCTTGGAGCGGCTGCCAAAGAAACTTTGGTGTTGAGTGGTATCGTAACTTGCTCTATCACAGCCGCCGCACGCTCAGTGGAAACAATCGGTGTTGACAAAACACAACTATAGGCAGAATAGAGGAAATCCAACTGGCTCGTGAACAATGGTAAATCTGTGATGGTGGTCACGAGGTATGGTCAGTCATTGCACAAACAGGGACACTGCATACATCACACGACACCACCAGACTAGATTGGGGCGGGTACCCGACTTGCATGAACCTGGGTTTGTTTCGTCGAGGGTCTGTGCTGCGTGATGGAGTGACCTGAGAGGATCATCCTGGCTGTGTTTCAAACCAAATATTGATACTGGCATGTCAAGCGTGGTGTTGATCAATGAGGTATAACAATCTGAGGTATTTGGAACTAAGCAGCAGATCAAGAGTTAGTAGGCTATTCATGATGTGGCACACCTAGGCCCAGCATCAGGACGTCGAGTTGTCGCAAGAATGAAGGGTGTAAACTCGCTCGTGAGATTTGCATCTATGGTGATTTGCTGAACCACTGGTTTTCAGATAAGTCTATAGGCACATAGTGAGAACAATGACAACTTTGAGTGAGCAAGCCTAGCACAGATATTTGCAAATCGGTCGACCGCGAGCGTGACCAGCGTGACGTGACATAACGAGTCCTTCGTCTCATTAATATTGTTTACCAAGTTAACTGACGTTTATCATTAGGGTCTACTGACGGGGATTTTCATCCTACACACATGGATCCATCTGAAATATCACCCGAATACGAGCTCACAGTCCGCAACCACATTCGCCAGACCTTTCTTCCTTACGTTAGGAAGTACATTACCAGAGACCATGTCGCATATACCGAGTCTAAGCTCGAGCAGGTCCGTTGCAATGCTCTCCGACCAAGAATACATAATATGACATAAGATGTGGCGAAGATCTTCACAGAATCCTTAGATTTTGTCCCATTAGCGGACCCGCACGTGCTCGTGCTACCCCCAGATCCACTCGATACGCTCGTCAGGTCTCTGAAAGATCTTGACTTCTCCTTTGATGAGCGCTTGACGACAGATGGAGATACCGTGCGCAAGATCAAATCATCACTCAAGACTATTGTGGGTGAAGGCAGGGAACTCCGCAGCGAGGCATGCTGGCGGGAGGAGGATTACATGTGTCAGTTGTATTCCCTTTCATCGCTCTCACTATCTTGAGGTAACGTGTTGTAGATACATGCATTGCAGAGATATACAGACCTATGACACCCATACTTACCAACCGCGCGCGAAAGCAGACCCCGAAAGCAGGTTCCAATGTTCTCCGTGCATCTCTCCCTCGCACACAGCCTGCGCTATTCGAGCACATCGGTGTCAAGTCTGTAGTGGTAGCACAAATCGAGGATTCGGATGTACCTAACTTGGAGGAGGTTTTGTGCGCGATTTTTCTCTTGCTCTTAAATTACCACTTACAAATTTGGAACAGGAATGTTCGTCCCACGATGGAATCCACCACTCGCACTTATATCCTTTCGCTATTTAAATCGGCAAATCCACCTGCACAATTAACCGAGACAAACGTACATGTCGCTTCTTTCCTACGTGCCGATTCACCACCGTTTCAGATTCAACGTCCACTTTCTCCCCCCCTCTTTTCCCGATCTCAAGCCAGTCCGGGTTCGTTATGGACAGGTATTGCGAATGCAAAGGACATCGTGGGTAGGCTGAATGCTGCTCCTGTTCCCGTTCAAGAAGAGCTAGAGGACAATGTAGACAGCGTCAACATGTCGATTGTTGATGGATGGGGTACGTGCGTCGTTCCTAGTTCTTCATTCTTAGTATGTGGGGGAAAGGCTGACTACTAAATGCTTAGCTGTCCTCCCAATCTCTTCTCCCCCTTCCGCTTCGCCTCTCTCCTCACAAGGCACAGAAATCGACGAACTATGGGAGGCATCACCGACTCCGCCTGGCACGCCTGCTACAAGCCTTTTCAGTGCTAGAATGGGTGAGCATATATTCATATATGCAATACATTTCTCTGACTTTGCCCTCCGATCATGCTTTTTTGGCTTTTCGTTATGGGCTGGTAGACGAAGTAGAGATCCCGCGTATTCACAAACCCGGACACATACTCCCACACTCGCTGAAACCAAGGGGTTCTAACAGGTGCGTGCTGCAGTCCATACACGAGCGCTCACTCACTCGCTTTCTTCAGTCTCAAGTCACTTATCGAGCACCTGAAGCCTGCGGCTACGGCGAAGTCAAAAGAAGGCCATACTACAGCACCGACGAATCAGAATACTAATATTTCGCTATTTATTTCTTCCCCAAGCGCAGAGGATGGGAGGATTCTTGATGCAGAAGACTCTATGCTCGGGCAGCCACCTTCTGTTTGTACTGCTTCACCTCTGCCTGCGCATGCGGGAAGAGACAGAAGAAAGAAGTCAGATCAAGATCAGGCCTTGGAAGACATTGATGTGGAACAGGGTCTCGACATGGCTCTCAGGCATATATACCAAGCGGTGCAGCAGGAGAACATCGAGGGGTGTGTATTGCAGGAGAGGTTGGATGAAAAGGATGTTGCACTGATGGATGGTGCGTTCGTTTCTGCTATTTTTTGGGGGTTGATGACAGTCTTTGTAACTTCGTTCTTGTTGATATACTTTCTCGATGTTTTCTTTCGAATGTCTTTCGGATTTCTTACACCACCGTCACCCGGCAGTGCCACACCTTCCCTCGCCTACCGTGCACCTGGGGCCATCTCTACAACCTACAAGCATGAGGGCCCTCATCCATAGAGGCAAGATGAATACAAACGTCCAGCGGCACACTACACTGGAACCTGTAAAAGGCATCAAGCCACTTAACCTCGAGTTATCTTGGAGGTACGTAATCCGCACTCCCAGCCCAATTTGAATACGAGCGCCCTGTGGTCGTCGTCTCGAAACTGCTCTCATATATATCGGCACACGCAGACCCTTCAAATTCGCGGCCCCGATTCCAACCGACGAAAGCGTTTCCCTTGTCGCTGAATCTACTCTGGATGACCTCGTGAAATTGGGCTATGCTGATAAAGCAAGCGAAACGAAGATCCATGGACTGCTCGCAGACCTCGAAACTACCTCCTGTCATTCCGCCAACGTGGCAGAATCCAAGAAATTAAAAGACAAACGCGGCACAGGGAGTCTTGGTCTTTCACCTCCCCGCCCCCCTAAGTCCTCTATGCTAGGAGAGGGATTCGAGCTGGTCCTGACGAAAAGAGAACGAAGACTTCACGCCGGCCTTCCTGAATTCGAGGATTTTCATGAACATCGTGCTAAATATGGTGAAAATTGTCATAAACGACAAGATAAAGTCAAAGGCGGAGATGAAACCTCACTTGAAACGGACAATGAAGATCAGCCTGCGAAGCCCCCTCGCTTTGTCTTTCACGATTCTGGCATTTTGGATAGTATTCCCAACGTTGTCGACGACTCCGATGTTGCAGATAATAGCCTTTCTGGGCCTACGGTCGGCGATCCAGAAATTGCGTTCGATTATTCTGGTGTTGCATTCCCCAACCTCCACGACAATGAGACGCGTTATCGAGATCAAGACGATCCGAGTCCCTTGGAAGCTGTCTACTCACTCGATGGTGCTGATTACTCTGACAAGGACGAGGAGGATAACCCCCGCTATGTGTGCCAACATCAAGGTCAGGGGCAAGATAGGGATCAAGGCCACGAAGGACTATCTTCATCTTTCCCGTTACTGGCACGGCACCGGTACGGCCCAAGTCCATATCCGGCCAGCCCTCCTCTCCGAGGACTTGACCAAGATTATGCAATGGCTAACTACTCCCAAGACAAATATATGGAATCCGCTTTTTTCCCGCTTTCATTTGGATCCCAAGGCGAGCGGGTGTCAAGATGTCCGGCTGATCTAGTTGCAATTTCGGGTGGTGATGAGGAACGAAGTGTGTTACCGGATACCGACAGCCCAAAGAAAACTGCAGGCATCTCGGACAACGACCAACCGGCGAACATAACGTCATTCTTACGATATTTTGGGCCGGAAATGGATCCTAGTACCGCTTTCCCTGCATTCAAACGCAGACGACTGGATGATCCCATGGCCGCCGCCGTCGTCACGCGAGGGTTTTTAGATGACTACTTGGCACTGCGCAATAAGAACGGGATGCGTGACCCGCCTCCGTCGGTAACTCCCACGATCATCTCCTCTGAACCCCAAGGTTTGCAACTCGGCAGCATTTCGCCACCCCGTGCTGCACCTGTAGAAATCCTCGACACCTACACCATGCTTCTCCCCGATGTATGGAACGCACCAACTGCGAACCATTGCTATCTTGCAAGTATGGCTCTCATTCAGAAACGTGCGCTCGTCCGGGCCTTGCAGGCCCCTGAGTGCCGGGTACATCTCGTAGAGAGGTATGTGTTAGGTGGGGTGGACATCGCGATGGATCCAGACACAGCCGTGCTAGTTGCGCCGCTGCTGGCGCTCCCCTCTCAGGTTGAAGGACTCGTCGATCGCATCTCGCAGGCGTCCTGGCGGTATACACGTATCCTTATCATTCTCGAAGCGTTCCCAAGCGCAAATGCATTTACGGCAGAAATAAGTACGAACAACGTCAAACTAATGCCCTATGCCTTCTCGCCTCCCATTCTCAAAGCAGTTAAGAAGCTCCGCCGGCTCTTGACCATCGCCGAGGGTTGTGGGACGAAGAATGCAGAGTGTAAGATTCAATGGGCGTTTGCCAATGATGTGGGCGAGGTGGCCTTATTCGTGAGGATTTTTGGGAACTTAGCTCAGGAATGGGCTTTCAATGGAGGTGGGAATGCACTTTGGGAAGATAGGGCGTGGCTACAGGTCGAAGAGCACGAGGTGTGTTCACTCCGTGCTTCTCATTCAATGCTGTAGTGTGTACATTTTATCGCCCATCTTCTTTTCAGGATGAAGCGGATCTTGCCAGTGTGGAGGGCATGAACCCTTTCGCAGCCTTCGTCATGCTGCATCAGGGAGCGCTGCAAGAAATCCTCGATATGACCCCTGAAAGTCGTGTGGCAGAATTTTCTTATCTGGTAGGAAGCCAGCGGATTGTAAGATGTTCTATATGTTCCGGTGTTCGCAAATTCATTGCGGACTTTTCTAGGCTTCTCTAAACGCCATCATCAAGGAGCGCACACAGGAGATGGTTGTAGATGCGGCTAGTGAATATGGTCTGGAGGTGGACGTGCCGCATGTATGATTTCATTTTGCTGTAAATATACTATCTCAACCGAATTTCATCTTGACCTTCCTGTGTTGGTCTCTGATGAGTCAAGTTGTTTGATAAGCGAACCATGTCGGGAACATCCATCCGGTGTGGGTGGGGGGGTTGGTAATCGCGTGTGGTACGGAATAACAATCACTGTGGTGGTCGGAAATTACAGCGGTTGAAGGGGTGAGAGAACAGGCAGTATGGTTTGAGAAAGGAGGACGTTCATACAGTGCACGCAGGTCATACGGGTGGTGGGACAGCCACCTTTTATCACCACGTTTTCTTTGCTTAATCTCATGAAGTCCCGATGCAGTGCAGTTGGAGCAGCCACGAGGACGATGTCAACCACTTGGCGAGATGAACTTTGACAGGCGCTAACAAGCGCTGACAAGCGCTGAGGACTGAGTGCCGTAGGCCTAATTCCGACGGCCGCGGTGCTACCATGGTATTGTTGTGAGACGGTGTAAGGAGTATTGACAGTCAGTAAGGTCGAACGGAATCGGATGAAAGGCCACTCCGGTAGGGGCTAGACGCGTCAACTGCGGGATGCCCACAGGGCGCTTGAGTGGAGCATGTATGAGAAGATATTAACCATGTAATAATTGCTACTTCCTGTGTTTTACATCAAAGTTGTCACAAAACGGTTCACATGAAGTGGCCAGTATCGAGGTTCCATTCTGTACCTTCGCCGCTGCCGGTACTGGGGTGAAGATATAAAGCCATGGAATGGGAACCTTCCGTCCTCAGAACTAGCATCTTCAATACCCGGAACTCGATAAGCTATGGACAACCAGAGACCATCACAAGGGTCGCAAAACAGGTCCGACTTGCAACGGGACTATCGCGAGAGGGAGCGGCTCGCCTTTCGCAGGCTGTTGGGGGCCCTGAATGAAGTCGACCGCACTAATCCTCGTTCCCGACGCGAGATTTTGAGACAAGGTGAGTATCTCGAAGTCTACATTTTGCAACGCTGACGAGACAAAAGCGGCCGAGTGTCTCCGACGTTTGGGACAAGAACAAATTGACCTGCAACGACAGCTCGTGTTCCCAAACAATGTTGTGGGTACTGCGAGTCAGCCAGAAGGTAAGGTTATTTGCGGTCGCATGTACTCCGGACTGAGTAGGCGCATGCAACTACCAGATGAAGATTTCGAGTTGTTGTTACAAGATTATTTGGCTCAGTTGGAACAGCAGGGGGGAACGGGAGGGCTGCCATAGTGGGGAGTACAGCATGGGTTAGCGTGAAGATTAGCTCAGGGGTCAGAACGATGCAGGCATAGATATCAGGAGTACGCGCAGAAGTTGACATCTTGGTGTTCGGGGTCCTGGAGTATACGCAATGTTGTAATAGATAGGCAACACCAACGCACACTAGCACATTCCCTCCCCTTCGGAGAGCTAGGCCGGCGTATTCACGTATGCAGTGGGGAGCCTAAGTGGAAGTGTATACAGTCACCCTTGAAAGATGAATTGGAGCCAATGCTCGCGTAGCAACATCGGAAGAAAAGTGGATACCGATGATTAGAGTTGTTTTTTTTTTTTTTGTATCCTTGTTTATTGTCCGGTGGGGCTGGGCCCTATGCTGGACAATACCTACAGAGTATGTACTTTTGTCTAATGTATTGTATGTGCGGGGTTTCTATATGTTACTAAAATACTGGTCCAGGCATGCGCGAGGACGATAGGCGCCTGGTCAGGCGTGGAGAGGGTGTGTGCGGCTGTTACGAATGGACTTATTTCGGGAGGGAGACGTCCCCGAATGTGCTGGCGAAACGGCGAGTGCTAGCAATGAATTTGAAGAGGGGCTTTGTACATTTGGCGTCGTTTAGCAGGTGTTTCAGTTGATGTGCTTTGGAACCGAGTTCCGCTCTCAATGCGCTTCTCTGTCTTGCGTACGTCGGACATGATTAGAGTTGTGACACCCGTGCTTCATAAGCGTAGTTCCGGATACACTGTAGCCAATCAATATGGACAGGAAACACGTACGACGTACGGGTAAATCCATCTCGTGTTACAGAAGAACGAGGTGGGCTAGGTCAACGTAAAATAAGCTGTATGTAGCCTTAACATCGGGCACCAGATCAGCGAGCCCTGAATGATTCACTGTCTTGAGTGGTTCTGGTGCCTCCTCCATCGAGTCATTTTTTTGGTGGAAGGGTATCAACGAAGGGCAAATGACCAAGTCAGCCCCCAGCGACGCGGCCTCCATTGACTCGTTATCTTGAGCATTTCTGATACCTCCTCCATCGGATTTTGGACCTATTGGATCGGCCAGGCATTATTGACGGAAAAGCCTTTGTTTTGCTACGTGTCCATGGCGTTCCGCGGATATAGTTATAGCTGTATTCAAAAAGTTTAAAATCACGAGGCCTGCGAGTGGGTCAGCGAAAAGGGCGAGAAGGAGACCCGTATGCTATCGGCACTCCTCTCATCCTAAACAAAAAATGTCTGTCCTCTTAGTAGCCAACGAACTAGCTGCGGGGCAGCATGGCTGGGGACATAATTGGCGGTGTCCCCGATTATTAGGCGCATAGCGCCAGTCATGTCATGAGGTGAAAGTACTGTACCCCATGTCAAAGTCACATGCACTATAGATGTACAATAATAGAAAAAGCCGTTCAGTGGGTTCTGTCAAAGCCGAGCCCCCTAAATATATTAGCGCTTGAATGATAAACCAAAAAGCCAAGTGCAGCATGAGATTTGATGCAGCGCCAGAAGGTCTCCGAGACCAGATCTGCAGACCTGGGCGTAATCCTATAACTGGAATTGAGCCAGTTGTTTTTAGAGATGAGGACATCGTCTCGTACAACGATCGGCTCTCGGGCCTACTAGAAGAAGTCGAAGTTTTCATATCCCGGATTTCCCGCAGGTTACATTCATTTCAGCAGTCAATTGCCGAAAACGTGGGGTACACATGTGTCCGGGCTGATGGAGAGACCAAATGCTGTGCACAATCTGATAAGCAACATTGCGCGCGACATCATTGGACCAAGTTCGCAAATTGGGAACGCAAACCAACATGTAACAAGCTGTCTGCCTACCACGCCGCAGAACTCCGGCAACGTATGGGAAGAGTATTTCGTTGAGCCGCCTCTACTGTACGTAGGGAATTATCGCATGCGCCGAACACGGCGTCCCAAGTGAACTGTTCCGTTCATGACGGGAAAAAGTCGAAACTAGCCGTATGAGAACAAATCGGGGTCTCATGAGGTTCGCTGTAATCCTTCCGATCTTCTTGGTGATCTCTATCGCCAAGTTGCTGGGGATGAACATCACCTTCAAGAAAACTTCATTTCGGCCCGAAACTATCGTTGTAATAATGAACTTACCACAAATACTGTTGTTCTTGTTGTACTACTTACCCTGAATGACTGGGTGTTCAATCGGTCAACGTGGTACGGAAGTGCCTATAAGATGCGCACTTCTCAAACGCTAACCCCAGTCGATCACCACATCAACTTGAAGCCTTCGCCTTCCACGCCAGGTGAACCTTTTCTTCGACATGAGCAGCTTCAACTCTCCTATACCACAAAGCCCGCAGAGTCCGCAACCTGCGAGGGACAACAGATCTGCTGCTCAACGACGATACAGGAAGAAGGAAGAGGATGGGTTTTTGCAGCTCCGAGAGGCCCTGAGGGAGGTGGCCAAGGATGATCCACGAACCAGACAGGAAATCTTGAGGAGAGGTCTGTTCACCTCTTTATGTAGTCTTTCTTAATCTGACGGCACATTGAAGCTTCCTGTGAGCTTAGACGCCTGGCGGATGAAAACCATCTGTTATTGCAACAGAAGGCAGTGATTGAGTCTCACAGAGGAAATCACAAATATGAACATTCTCGATCACCATCATGTAAGGCAAAACTTGGCAATATCATAGAGACGAACTAAATTGGCGACTTTGTGTAGGTGACAGTGTGATTTACGAGGATCCTGCGGAGTGGTCACATAATATGGCAGAAGTCACGTGTCAACGGACTGACAGGGCACGTGCACTAGACACTGCAATGTCATCAAACGCGACCCATACGCTTACAGCACAAGACTATGAATGGTTCACCCAGCTGTACGATGCAAATATGGCACAAGACAGTAGTCAGTCAAACTATCCATGGGCATCACAGAGCAGAGATTTCGCCAGACGGCCGCATAGTGGAAGCGATTATTATGCGAGGTGTGTCAACTGTCAGCATGGAGAATAACTGTACTATACTAGTAGGGGTCAATCCAAGTACTAGGGGTCATACTACGCATCGAGGGGCGGGTCCTCCATATACTACTAGTCCGGCGGTCCACATTGGATCTTCAATAAATATGTACTTTTATCATTGTAAACGTCGCGCAATAATATGAAGTAGTAGTGGTAGTAGTAGGGTTCCGTAACAGATAGTTACTGAACCAGGTTGTTTTGTTCATGAAGGAGAGAAGTTGTGAAATGAGACCACTTGGGCTTGAGCCGCTGAGTTTGAAATATGACCTGGCGATAACCCGAAAGATTATCGTTTCGGACGCTGAGCGCAAAGATCGCTTTATCGCCAAGGCACCAGTACTGCTTTGTCAGTAGTCCCTGTTCTGTGCCCTGCAAACACAGCACTGCGTGCACCACTTGAGGCATCGCAAGCAACTAGACTTCCCATCATCCTAACTTTATACTGTGATCACCATGCCCGAGGTTAAGAACAAGGTCTGTCTGATGTGAGTAGCGCAGTGCCAGCACCTGAATGTAAAGGCATTGCTTCATTGACGATCATCACTACAGCGTTCACGATGGGTGGGGAATCGCTCCAGAGAAAGGCATGAAAGGTGATGCTATCGATGCAGCAGACACCACTAACATGGATACCATTGCCCAAAAACATTCCTATCGCACCCTTTTTGCGCACGGAAATGCGGTCGGTTTGAACGATGGGCTCATGGGAAACTCTGAAGTTGGGTGTGTACAATATGCGTTTCCGATGTATCCCATCTAACCAAGATTGATCTATATCCATATCTCAGCCACCTCAACATCGGGGCAGGCCGCATCGTGTGGCAAGATATCGTCAAGATCGATGTGTCCATTGCCAAACGGCAATTTCACAAAAATGAGACGATCCTGGCAAGCATGAAGCGTGCGAAGGACGGAAATGGCCGTCTTCACCTCCTTGGTCTGGTCAGTATGTTACGATGACGGCCCTGCATTGCATCACGCTAAATTCGCTCCATAGGTTTCAGATGGTGGTGTGCATTCCCACATTAGACATCTCAAGGCACTTTTGGAGACTGCGAAGGAATCTGGCGTTCCTCACACTTACGTTCACTTTTTCGGCGATGGCCGTGACACTGCACCTCGTTCGGCTAAGGGTTACGCACAAGAACTGGTGGACTTTATGAAAGAGATTGAGTATGGTACGCTTGCCACGGTTGTTGGCAGATACTACGCGATGGACCGTGACAAGCGTTGGGAGCGCATCAAGATCGCTGTTGATGGCCTCGTTCGCGGCGAGGGCGAAGAAGGTGAAAATATTCTCGAAAAAATAGAGGAAAAGTACAACAAAGATGAGACCGATGAGTTCCTGAAGCCCATCATCGTAAATGGAGACGAGGGACGCATTAAAGAGGGAGATACCCTCTTTTTCTTCAACTATCGCTCAGATCGTATGCGAGAGATCGCGTCCGTCATCGGACTTCCGGACAAGCCCATCGAAATAGATATCCCTAAAGACCTGGTAAGTCCGTATATCTGCCGAACATTTTATTTCAAACTAATTGCATAGTGTAGCATATCACCACCATGTCCCGTTACAACGCTGAGTTCCCATTCCCGGTAGCCTTCCCTCCCCAAGCCATGACCAACGTTTTGGCTGAGTGGCTTTCTAAACAAGGCGTCTCCCAAGCGCATATCGCAGAAACAGAGAAATATGCTCATGTTACATTCTTCTTCAACGGCGGGCTCGAGAAGCAATTCCCTGCAGAGGAACGCTATATGATCGCATCTCCCAAGGTCGCTACATACGACAAGCAGCCAGAGATGAGCGCCCAAGGTGTCGCAGACAAGGTCGCTGAGGTGGTGAAGAGCAAGAAGCACGAGTTCGTCATGTGCAATTTTGCCCCGCCCGACATGGTCGGCCACACGGGTGTATATGAGGCTGCGATAGAGGCTATCACTGCTACTGACAAGGCGGTCGGAACGGTCTACGATGCATGCGTTGAGGCTGGATACGTTTTGCTCATTACTGCAGACCACGGAAATGCGGAGCAAATGATCAACTTGGAGACTGGTGCCCCTCATACTGCACACACTACCAACCAGGTGCCTTTCATCATGACAGCCCAGGGTCTTGAGTTTGCGAGCGACGAGGAAGACGGCGAAGGAGAGGGGGGTGCACTTGCTGATGTTGCACCCACTATTTTGGCAATTATGGGCTTGACTCAGCCAGAAGGTAAGACTTGTATGCAGTTGGGATTGATGCCTTATTGATGAATCAATTCCATTAGAAATGACTGGGCGCTCGTTACTGAAGAAATAGATAGGGTAGATGGCGGATGTCAATGTGACGCAGACGAAGATCATAGAACATTGTAGAAGATACCGTTATTGTGGAAGTAGAGAATACTATGTAAGGCTAAGCAGGAGTCACAAGAATATTGCGATTAAAAAGATACACGCATCGATGTTGCCAACGGATCCATTGAATGAATGAATTTTATATATTTGGCCATCTAACCTCATATGAGCTCAAGTACTGCATTTGATTGTAACCTCCAGGCGCGCCGTAGATAACCGAACAAACAATTCAAGGACTAAATTATACCTTGAACATGTGCACGAACTGTTTTGATATGCTGATCAGGAGCTAAGTTATATCGGCCAAGCCGCCGTCGGGGCGAAGAACGGAGTTTAAGGTGCCGGTCGTGCCGGTCGAAGACTAACTTGAAGTAGTCAACTTTTGTTCCCACGCAGATACCATTTGTTCCATATCATCCTTCACCATTGCAGTACGCTCCGCTTGAATGTTTAGCATGGACTTTCGCAAGCTCAGCGTCGAGTAAGCGAAAAGGAAAGTTTATCTCCTTGCTGGAAATATCCGCGGTCGCGGTATGCAAATGATGGTCATACTGCATACTATCTCAGAAAAGCTTTGCATAGCCACTTTGAGTGATGGATTTTTTCTTACTCTGGTGTAACAAGCAGGTTACGAAAACCTCCTGTGTCCTCAGGATGATCGATGATCAGGAAAATGCCGCTTAACAGGCAACACTCTCATGTACACTTCAGCCTGAGAGTGCTTGACGTGGGGCCCGCGAGGGTTGTGATCGAATGGAACCCATCCATATTCCTCGAATTCTTTGACGTGTAATCCAGAAGTCCAGATTTCACGCAATGAGAGTGATATTCAGCGTACGTTATCATTCTGAAGCAATTTTAGAGGTATGATAACTGTTGATATCAATCTTGTCAGGGGAGATAAACAAATGCAGCGTATCTTTCCGGTGTCTATTGCAGCTCGAAGGATGTCTTCCTGTAAGCAATGATATGTGAGCCTTAACTTCGGATGCTTTGTTCCTTTCGAGACAAGATCAAGCTTTGAACACTTGGTGGGACCGATATGAACATGCACAGTGAGTGTTTCGCCTGCCACGCCACTCCGACCCTATGATGACAGCCGGGCGGCTTTCTTCAAAGTCCGTGCTTCCTCTGGCACTAGTCTGATTACCCCTCAAACACACGTCATTCTCTAACTAAACCCACCAATTGCACTGCGAATTCGTCATGCAAGACCGCGGACTCGATCAATCTTCCCAAAGGAAGTTAAGAATTGCGTCTCTGAATGGGTTTACTACTTTATTATAGTCTCTCAAGGTACGTCCGCTATAGCGACAGAATATTTATGATGCGCCTGTGATACATAGGTGTGCATCCTACATAACATATGTCTGATATGTCTAACAATTGAGAGTACCAGTCTCTGTACATTCGAGGCCTACTCAAATATTGTACGAGGACGTACTTTAGCCTTCACGGCATCATGCACAGATTCGGACAGAGATAGATGAGTCGTTGTCCGACTCGTTTGGGATCCGAGCATCGCTGCACCGCTCAAAAATGGAACGAATTAGTCATTGCTAGCATTGCTACAAGGTGGTTTAGATAACGGCTAGCTCAAGGCTAGCTGGGCTCTAAGGTTAGGAACATGAATCCTGAGGTTTAGGACATGTAACGGCTCCTAGCTGTCAACCTCTTACGCCCCATAATGATGCTGCAGATCATCAATCATCATGATCAGCTGGTTGTCAACTGTGGCAATAATACTCCTCAGAGTCCGTGGCGTCATGTTATCGGGTATCAAAAAGGGCTGAACTAGACCACGCTGAGAATGGTTAGACAGTTACAGCAGTGAGTAATTTCGATGCTCGGTCTTACGGTATATGCTAAATAGAATTCTTCGAATACTTAGGCTTTGCAGCCCAGACACCTATTATGAGTCTTTTTTGCAGCACAACTCCGCACTGCGATTTATCTAGAAGGCGACTACCTGCGTTTATTCGTGCTCGAAAAAACTTGCCTTGGTCGTATCTCCTGTCTAAATCTGACACGATTGGTCCAGTGACTCCAGTCACATTACTTCATTCATAATGGGCATACCTCTGGACAAAGCTTCATTTTTAGCTTTGTTCCTCGAGACTTTGTTTTACGGTGCGTTACTGACCATCGGAATAGTTGAACTCGATGTCATGATATCATCTCAAAAATTTAACAGGCGTGTTCTTTACTTTATACTGGTTGACGCTATTCGTCTTGTTCAAGAAAACTGGCATTCAACAACAACTTCTTGTCCCTGTGGCAACCTTGCTGCTCTGTATTGCAACAGCTGTGAGTGTATTAATAAAACCTCTTAGGAGAATTGCTCAACACAGTCGCCTTCAGCATCTCATAATCGATTTTGTTCGAGCACTAGAAGCCTTCGTATTCAAGGTGGATACGATTGGTGCAAATGCCTACTATTCAAATCTTGCTTCGCCATTGGATCTCGCATCAAAGGCACTTTACATTACGCAAACCACTCTTGCTGATGGTGTAGTTGTAAGTTTCTCCACTTGAATGTTTGATCTCCCTTTGAGTAGAGCAGGTTTGGCGATGTCATGTGCTTAACCATAAAAGCCGCTTTGTTGCTATTCCTGGTTGTATCGTGCTAATAGTCAATGCGGGTAAGGGTTTCGAAGGGTATCATTCAATCAACGTCTTATCTTGTCGTTTTGCAGCTACCGGGTACTATGTCGTCTGGTCCCTCTCTCGGGCATATGCGCTGTCCACAGTTTCCACCGCTACTTCAGGGTGTATCACTACATTCTATACATTGACCATGTTTGTCAGCGTTGTCTGTACCAGTACGTCTATTGCACATGCTCTGCTGGCTACTGATGACCAAAATAATACAGTTTCAATTGCATGGCGAATTTATCACACTCGCCGTTCTATGCCAGGAGGCCTTGCCAATCTTTTACCCGTTTTCATCGTCGTCATTGAGAGCGGCGCTTTATATGCCACGAGTGTGCTTGCACTCCTAATATCATTCTTGGTCGGATCCAATGGCGAATACATCATGCTGGGCGTCATCCCTCCAATTGTAGTAAGTGCAATGAATCGGTTTGTACACGTGTTCGAGTTGTTCATGAAAATTTCCAGGGAATTACATTCTGCCTCATCATTCTCCAAGTACACTTCCACATCGGTGGCAGCTCCTCGACTGAACAGTCCTCTGATGTAGGTGGAATCCTCACCAACCTTTTTCGAGGGCGAAGTACGCGGGACCATCACTTCAGCATGCAACGGGTGGCTGTGCACATCACTGAGGAGGAGATCGTTCAGTCTGATAATATGAGCGGGAAGAATAGCCAACCGGTATCGGGGAGCGTCTTTCAACTGTAGATTGTATTTCCCCTCAACTATAATCGGATACGTTAATGTTGTTTAAACGGAAACTTGACATTGGACTACGGATGGTGAGCAGTTTGTTCAAAATTATTGTACCACATGTTCCGTCGACATCCTACATAGTTTCTCTTATTATCGATCGCACGCTTAGCGATGTTCTACATTCACTCAGTTCACTATCAGTATACAACTGTCGATACTCGTAACCAGTCTTTACTACGTCTGAGATGTTAAGTGTTTGACCTCGGAGAAGGCAAAGCACGGAGTTTTAATTTCAGCAGGTGCCGGTGATACTCATCATGTAGTTGGAGAGGCATACAGTAAGTACTTTGTAGTACGATGGGAATGAAGGACTTGTGTTGTCGACGCTGCACAAAAATTTGAATCGTTACCTAAAGCGGCACCACCGGCACCTGCTAAAATTAAAGCTCCGTGCTTCGCCTGCCAAATTTCGACCAGCCTGGCTTCGCCACTCGACTTGTCCCTGGTAATACAAGCCTACTATACAGGCTTGCTACATTGTAGTAAGTAGCCCGAATCATGAAAGTAAACCACACCACCCGTAACCACTTGCACTGCAGGCCTTGTCGTGCGCTACTAAGTACATGCATCCACATGCCTAAAAAAGCAAAGGAAGGGAGGCTAGAGCATGATGTTGACAGGCCGCTCCGAGTCTTGTCAGTCGCACATCAAGAAACCTTGCATTTCTCCGATATTCTTACGAATACCGCATGTCATCTAACTATACCCACCTAGAGGCGGCCTAAGTGCATGTGCTCACCAATTGCCATTCACTCTCCCGGGCTTGAGATTGATGCCACGCTCAAATGCTTGGAGGTCATCTGACACTTGACTTTGGCATGTCTCGACGACAACATGGTGGACTTTAAATGATATAGATGGTTGATATGATTGGCCGGACGTCAAGTTGGTGATGACGGCGGCCCGTAACAGCAATGTCTGAATTCTTTAAATACCATCACGCACTCAAGGTTTATTCCCCTTGCTCGACTCCTTTCATTCTCGACGTCTTTCGCGCAAACAATGGCTTCTGGATCTGATGTCAAGGTCGAATTCGACCCTAAGAACATGCCTTTCCGCAGGCTCGGCCCTAGTGGTCTCCGAGTCCCTGTCTTCTCGCTTGGTGGATGTGTGTTTTGTGTACTATTTCGTGTTTGACGGCTCTAAATGGGAATTCACCTAGGGCTTACTCTTGGTGGAACTGTGATCGGTGACCCAGTGAAGGTAAGCATTAATTAAACTCCTCAATCTTCATAATATCAGAGGATCTAACCCCCACCAAAAGGATATAATTAAAGTCGCATTCGACAATGGTATCAACATGTTCGATACCGCGGAGGCTTATGCAAAAGGCAAGTCCGAGGTGGAAATGTGAGGTTCTTGGACACTTCAGCGAGCGCCGAAGCTGACTGTATGGGAAGGGGCCGTGTCATCAAGGAGCTCGGCCTCCGCCGGACAGATCTTGTCATCACTACCAAATTGTTCTGGGGTCTGCGCACTGGTCCCAATGATGGTGGTCTCTCGAGGAAACAGTGAGTTGTTAACAATTGCACTTTAGAGAGTGCTGACCTAGTTGCAGTATCATTGAAGGAACCAAGGAGTGTCTCGAGCGTCTTGGTCTTGACTATGTCGATGTTATCTTTGCGCACCGCCCAGATGTCTCAGGTATGGTTATTCATGTATGCCCGAAGGAACCAAATTAGCTCAACTCAACTGTTTAGTCCCCATGGAAGAGGTGGTACGCGCATTCAACTGGGTGATTGAAAAGGGTTTGGTATGTCGTCTGACTAGGAAAATAACAGTGAAGTACTCACGGTATTCTAGGCATTCTACTGGGCAACGTCAGAATGGTCTGCATACGAGATTGAGGAAGCGCAGCGTGAGCTCTTTTGTATTAGGGAGTTGTGAATGCTGCTGACGAGTGATTGTAGACATCGCGACGAAGCTTGGACTCCATGGACCTATCGCTGAACAATGTCAACACAAGTAGGTGTCCCTCATTTTTGCGACTGTAGATTTCTGAGTCCTTGATCAGCATGTTCCATCGCGAGCGCCCTGAGAAGGAGTACCGGTGGGTTACTATCATATTCGTTATGATCAGTGGCTGAGACGAATTTACCGCAGTCCTTTGTACAAGAAATACCAGCTGGGCACCACCGTCTTCTCCGCTCTTGCTAGCGGTCTTCTTACTGGAAAGGTGTGCTACTTCCAGCAAGCCAACAATCATTTTCTCATGTTGGATGCAGTACAACGCCGGTATCCCAGATGGGACCCGTTTCTCGACTCACTCCAACTTTTTCAAGGGCACAGTGGACAGCTTGCAAAAGGAGGAGGGTCTCACGAAGATCCGCAAGGTCAACGAGTTGAGCGTACTCGCAGAACAAGGTATTTCCTCCCTTTGTTGTCATACACGATTGCTCGAACTGACACGCACCTGATAGAACTTGGTTGCAGCGTCACGCATCTGGCACTTGCGTGGGTCGCAAAGAACCCGAACACAAGCACTGTCATCCTCGGGGCCTCGAAACCTGAACAAGTCGTTGATAACTTGAAGGCTCTCGACGTCATTCCCAAACTCACCCCTGAGATAATGGACAGGATTGAAGCCATTCTGGAGAACCAGCCGGCTGACCCGGTAAATGCTTGCCTTTGATGAGTAACTTTATGAAACTGAAACTTCATGCTTGTAGCCAACATTTGGTCGCCCGGCACTGGATCCCAACGGTCGTCTGTGAGAAGAGATTGACGGAATCCGCCTCGTGGTCAGAAAATAAATTCCCAGTATCAATAAGTACTGAGTAGTGTCGATGTGCTATATAAGTGCCGTGATTGACCTATGTGAAGATCAAACATTTGAGTCCGTCTTGCCATAAGGTGGGGGAATACGGAACCCCGTTGTTGGACAGATGTCTTGTGCCCTGGATCGCGTTGCGATACCACATGAAGGTAAGCATGATGCATGAGTAAGAACTCACATCTACCAAACAATTGGAATATACTCAGGTCGGAAACCTTCGCTTCGTACTTACATTACGGTACAGCGTGTTGGGCCTTGGCGTTTATCGGAAAATCCTTGGGTGCTATCTAGAATTTCTATATTTATACAATATTTACATACAAACAACGGAAACTGGTGAGGTGTCCTGAGAGAGAAAATTAGTCCGAACAGCTAATGATCCGTTTTTTTCTAGCTCGCGCTTGGGCGTCCATATGGACATTTAAATAACGGACCAAATACGTTCCCATCTAAGACGCTCTCCCACTGGCAGGGAGCATGTCGGCTGGCTGACAAACGAGGCCGAGCCGACACGGTCCGAAACAACTCGCTGATGTGCTCTCCACACAGCGCTGGACGTACTACAAATTATTTGGTGTTGCGCCAGGTGTCTGTTGGCATTCTGAACCAATTGCAACTATGAACGAACGATGTGAAATAATTTGGACTGTACGCGTACCCATTTATGCAATTGCCGCATCTGTGAGTGACACCCCTATCAATAGTGTCATTGCGTTTTGACACGAACCGGAGACAGTGTCGCTTAGACATGTGCTATGTTCACATACGTATATAACACGAGTTGAATCCATTGTAAAGTCCCATGCAATAGTCACCTTACTGCACACCACACTGTATCAACCATGTCCGTCAAAACAGAGTTCGACCCCAAGAACATGCCCTTCCGCCGTCTGGGCCCCAGCGGCCTACGGGTCCCGGTATTCTCACTTGGTGGATGTGAGTAGCTTGTTCATTAGGACAGTATTGCTATGGTGCTGAGAATATGTCGTAGGGCTGACGCTGGGAGGAACCGTTGTTGGTGACCCTGTCAAGGTAAGGGAGCCTAAATCTTGAGTGAATGAGGAGCCTCAACTCGATCTCACAATCAGGAAATCGTCAAAGTTGCCTTCGAGCATGGTATCAACATGTTTGACACCGCTGAGGGCTACGCAAAGGGTCACTCCGAAGTTGAAATGTGCGTGCTAAAGGAATCCTCGTCGGATGAGTCTAACCTGGTCTCTGCATAGGGGTCGCGTCATCAAAGAACTTGGCTACCGTCGCTCCGATTTGGTCATCACCACAAAATTGTTCTTTGGTACCCGTACCGGTCCGAACGACACTGGTCTCTCCAGAAAACAGTGCGTGTCAATAAAACTTGAACCAGGTCACGTGAACTTATCCTCGGCCTAGCATTATTGAGGGTACCCAGGAGTCACTGAACCGCCTTGGCCTTGACTATGTTGATGTCCTCTTCGCACACAGACCTGATTATACAAGTATGTGTTAATTTGTGAACACAACCATAGACATTGAAGACATCATCGTTTGCAGCACCCATGGAGGAGATTGTCCGCGCTTTCAACTATGTCATTGAGAAGGGCTGGGTGAGTCTCAAGTCTCAAGTATTTTTAGTCCTGCTCAAGATATTTGCAGGCATTCTACTGGGCCACGTCAGAATGGTCTGCAAGGGACATTGAGGAGGCTCACCGTACGTTTCATCTGCTTCTTGAATGTCCCAAATTTAATAAGCTGTCCAGACGTCGCTGAGAAGCTTAACCTGATCCCTCCCATTGCTGAGCAGTGCCAGCACCAGTGAGTCGACAAAGATATTGCGCGCGATCCAGTTTCCTGATGGGTATCTAGCATGTTCCACCGTGAACGCCCCGAAAAGGAATACGCACCTATCTACAAGAAATATTCCATCGGGACCACCGTTTGGTCTGCATTGGCTAGCGGCCTCCTCACCGGGAAGGTAAATGACGTTCCAAAGATAGCCTGCAGATCAGACCGCTGATGATTCGCGATCTCCAGTACAACAATGGTATCCCGGCAGATTCGCGGTTCGCTGCCCACTCCGATTTCTTCAAGGACACTATGAAGAGCCTCAACGAGGAGGAGGGTCTCTCCAAGATCAGCAAAGTCCAAGCGCTCTCCAAGCTCGCTGAGACAGAGTTAGGATGTAGCGTCACACACTTGGCGTTGGCCTGGATTGCAAAGAATCCTAACACGAGCACCGTCATCCTCGGCGCCTCCAAGCCTGAGCAGGTGGTCGATAACTTGAAGGCACTGGACGTTATTCCCAAGCTAACGCCTGAGATCCTAGACAAGATTGAGGCAATCCTTCAAAATAAACCTGCACCAACGGTGAGTGATGGTGTTGGAATTTGATTGAATTGAATCACTGATCGTTACTGCCCTGCCAGCCTACCTTTGGCAGGCCATCACTTGATGCCTATGGTCGTCTATGAGGTCGATGATTTTCTGTCGGATTTTATGGTACGAAGGATTGACAGCCAGACCGTGAAGCCGTATAATAGATGAGTACACCTAGGACTTTATAAGATTCCAGGACGTATACACATCAACAATTTCTGAGAGAAGATTGAGTATTGAGGACTGGTTGTTGGGAAACTGCGATGTAACGAGAATAGAGGCCCAAACATTCTGTATTCCAATTTCCAGGGTGATTCAGTTAATCCGAGTCTGTACCTGCCGCTTCAGAATCATTGTCCAGTTGGCATCAATGCACTTTCTTCCAAAGAAGGTGGCGCAGAATTTAGCCAAAGAGGCGGTTGTGCATCGCCCAATACTGGAAGTTCCTCTTTGTCTGATCGGATACAGCCTCCAGATGATGCGTGTGTCCCACACCGTCCACATCACGTTACCATGCCAACTGCACAGCCGACCATGACACGCGTTAAACAATCCGAGTATTGGAATACCAGGAAGGCAAACCAAGAACAGGGAAGATGATGCTGGTACAGGGACGACATTAGATAGGTGAGCAAGTAATTTTAGGTTGAGTAGACGTACACCCTCAGGAGGAATGTGTTCAGGTCATAAAGATTAGAAACAACCTAAACCAGATCGATGCTCCAACCAACATGTGTTAGCTTACGGCATCCTCTGCAGACTCTTGTTTATGCGTGCGATTATGACACATGAGAAGCAAGCCTAGAATGATCGCACTGACAATGTTGATAGTGGGTAGATAGCTGGATATTCGGACGACAGTATTGACGTTAGGGTCATCGAGGAAGGCGATAATGACATTTAAGATCACTGTGGACTGCAACAGAATCATGGAATCATCAAACATGTGGTAGATAAAAGAGGTAACGTACGTATAGGGTGAAGGCCTCCCATTCCGAGTTGAGTTTGTAAATGAACTGCTTCCATAAGGTGTGATTTACGGGCTGGTCCACGCATATGTCATTCAAGCCTTGGGCGTGGATGTATGGTGCACCGAAAAAAAGGGGAGACCTATGGCAAGGAGGATGGATATCAGGCACCGGCCTCTGAGGTAGATAGTTTGGTCAACATCCAAACGAGCTCTGACTTACCCACAGAAGTTGAGCAAATACATGAAAGACCTGCAAATCGTGAGCATGAATCGGGCTAAGAGCAATCGTATTATTGATCAGTACTGTTTCAAACAAATTCAGCATCAACATCGCATGCACGATAACTTCCTTCACTTCAAGAATGAGAGGCTCTTTGACAAATTAGGGTTCATGAAGATTATCTGCAAGATTTCAAATGCAATGTTCATCAACATGAGAATGTGCCCACCTGCTCGGCGTTATAAAAGTATAGAGCGCCTTCCGGGTAAGCTTTCCAGCCGAGAGAACAGAGCGTTGCACACGAGCCTAAAGTTCGGCTTGAGACGAGTATGCAAGAACAAGACACTCCCTCGGAGAACTTATTCCAGGCTGGATCGTGTAACTAGAATGAGAACTTCGTCTGTGAATTCACTAATATGAGCGAGATGGTCGATTGGCGGACTGTTTAGACCTACATTCAATTTTATTGTTGTATCTCATGACTGACATGCAGGAATAGGGATGAGGTGGCGAAGTATTGTTTCCAGAGGTCGCTCACGAGATTCGATTCTCACCCAGGGCGTTTGCACAGGCAGAGTACTCTCAATGTCGGCGTCCAACGGCTCATACGTTGAGTGTAAGTGCATTGGCAGTGAAGTCTGAGTGGGCCCGACGTTGGTCATTATATGCGATCCTATTCTGAAAAGCAAGGAAGTGATTCGAGTCGGAATCTCCAGGGTGACCGGGCAATGTAGAGACAACACGTTGAGGGACCTGGCGCAGTTTCGAAAGCTGGAGCCTACTGGGCAGTGGGTATGACTCCGATGGGCTCTATTTCTTGGGGAAATGCCCTCTCCCTTAGATCCCATTCCAGCGTATAGAATTGTCACTCCAGCGAATCATGTCAACGAGGTCTTGAGCTCGAGGCCTGAGGCTCCAGACTTGGACAAAAAACGTCCTATCCCCAAAGAATCTTGTGCCCAAATTTTGTTGATAGCTCTTAATCATATATGATATCGGAGAATTCTGACGAATCAATTGTCAGCTGATGAGGCTCTGCAGTAGAGGCATGATAGAATAAATTGAAGGAACGTCTAGTCCGAGTCTGCCTGGTACCAACTCGACAACTTGGGGTTGTGACAAATTACAATGCTGCTTCTCATTTTTGCTGGATACAACTTGAAAGGTCGGCAGCTCGACTTCCATTTACGCGGTTGCTACAAGTCCTGAAGGAAACATTGTTGGGCGTCTACGATGCGGCTGTGGATTCCGGAATCCTTTAATCAAACGTTATTCTTGACATGCCAGCAGAGACCTGCCTGCTTTCACATCCACAGCAAATACCACAGCATCTTTCATATCTGTATACCCTTTCAACGACAGGACACCAGCAAAGCAACCTAGGCCACGGCGTAACATATGGCGAGCAAGGTTGGTGATAAATGGTTCCAAATTAGGCGCTCGCACTAAGAGGTGTACAGACGACTAGAACGCCGAAGAGAGTAGAAGTAAACCAGCGCGCGCTGGTCGATAAAGTGCTCGCTCGATATCCCGAAGAGTTTACAGGTTCGTCAAGCCACTGTTCTGGGTAGCGCGGTTGACTAAATGTGCTCAGTGTTCCGAGAACTATTACAGAATGCAGACGACGCTAGAGCCAAGAAGGTCCTAATAGAGTTTCAGACGAAGGACTACGCTACACATTCTGCTGGAGCAAACGGCAAGACAAATGGAATCAATGGCACGACCGATTTCCCGGACTTGCTCACAACGAAGGTGAGCTCGGGGCGGTGCTGCCCTCGGAATTACTAATGTTCAGCATCCTAACAGTTGTACAAATGGGTTGTTCGCAACAATGGTGATTATTTCGAAGATAAGGACTGGGGACGACTGACGAAGATTGGTATGATGGTTCAATTCCCAAATGATTCACGCTGACTTTTACCCAGCGGATGGCAACCCGGACGAACAGAAGATCGGGGCATTTGGAGTTGGTTCGTAGAGTTATATATCACCGTCAATTGGCCTTCTCATGAAGTTATTCTCTATAGGGTTCTACAGCGTCTTCGGTATCACCGATAGCCCGCAGGTCTTCTCTGGAGGTAAGCGCCAAGCTCTTTCCTTGGCTAGATCCACCGTGCCAATCGGAACACCTGATAGGTAAAAGCCTGTCGATATTCTTTCAAGGCGATCAGGTATGCCCGGAAGCTCCATAAGCTCGGTAAAAGCTCGCAATACTCACATATCTCTGCAGCTATATACGTTGGACGATACTTGTCCCAAGAGCGAGTGGACTTCCATCGAGATGCAGCTGAAGGAAGATATGCAAGTTCCCGTCCCGAAGCCATTCGACTTGGCCAGGTTCTTGGCAGCTACTATGACATTCATGTCATGTGTGGAAAATGCCCATGTTTCTTTCAACGACAAAATCTTCATGAAGATCGCCAAGTCCAGACAAGTACCCAGCTCCATTCGTGTTCCCAAAGATATGATACCGAGGAGCAAGGAGGACACCATGCATATCAAGGGACTTTCAGTAGTTAGTGGGTTGCACGTCGTATTCTCGGCACGTGAAGCATACTGATTTGCCCCGACAGCCCAAGAAATTTCTGTTGAACTCGCGGAATGGGCACGCGCCGCCGGAACGAAGATGATATCTACGCATCGCCCTGGCAATGAAAATCTATCAAAGGATCCTGTGAAACGCAAAGGTTTTTGGGATGGCTCAAAGCGCGAAGTCCCAAAAGCTGCCAAAGCCACTAAAGCTGTATCTCGAGCGTCGACTTATGATCACCCGCCCTGGGTGACCCATCGTGCCAAATACGCGGTATATTCGGCTGAAGTTACGACTACTCCTAGCAAGGACCTTCATAAGGGCTTACGAGCAATGACGAAGAAGGATCCTCCTTCCCACTTTGATTTTGAGATGGTCTACGTGAGCCTTCCAGCAACCTTGTTCTGTACTTTGTACTCATCATAAATACAGTTCTCCAAAGAGGAGCAGGATGCAAGAACGGCAGAGGAGAAGAGGGATCCGGACATGGGAAGCATATTCAGAGGACCGCAAGGTCTATTTCCACAACTAGATGGGTATGTTACTTGTTTTTTTGTTTGTATTTGTGCACATCGTCATGTTGTCATCATGTTTTAGGGAATACATGTCCCGGATCTTCATCGTAGGCTCTACATGGTAGTCAACATGAAACGTGCTGATGAGTCGTAGGGACAAAGTACAGCGCAAACGACTGGTATTGGTGGGCACATGTCTGGCCGGTTTATTCCCACTGTCGAACGAGGATCCATTGATCTGACGTGAGTGCACATTTTTTGCACGTAAAGTTATCTCACGATTGCTTAGAAACGGTCACATTGCAAGTTCGTGCCAGCCTCTCGGTCGGTTCCCGTTGAGGCGTACTGACAATTCACACAGAATGGAATCAGGAGCTCCTGTATGTAGGTGGGTTTCTTGCGAGGCTCGTATATGAACAGGAGATTCGCAAGGTCTGGGATGCTTGGCCTATAGTCAGCGGTGTTGCTGTCCCAACTGCTGATGCTCGGGCGGCAGCTTCAAGAGAAAAGGCCACATATGCTATGCGCTACTTCACATTCCAACCGTCCACTCCGGATGCCAAAGTGTCGAAAATCTTGCAAGATGCATTTTATGACTGTTTCGACTATTCCTCCAACGTTCATTTCCCCATCTTGACGAATTCGGGTATCTGTCACACCAAGGACGTTCGGGAGATTCACCCTGACTTTACCTCCTTCATGAAAATGGTGCCTACACAACTTCCGACGTCACCTGGCGACCCACCTAATTTGGTTGACACTCTCCCTGAGAAGTATGGTGTCCGCATGTACACGTTTTCGGACGTGGTGAACGAATTAAAGCGAAGGATCTTACAAGAAGAAGAAATGATCGGTTGTCTGCGGTGGTGGGTCAACTTCATAAGTTCGCTTGAAGACGATGAAGAGAGGGAAAGAACCCTCACATTTCTGCCCAATCTGACCGATAATGCCAAGTCGCGAATTGGGAATTCAACACGCGTCATAGAATTTCGCAATATCACCAAGTTTGTCGATTCCAATATTTGGCTCCCTTGGCTTCAGTCGGACGATGCTCTTCCCCCAGACACTATCCCGTTCTCGTTTACCAGACCTCTCAATCGACAACACATTTCCCCATCTCTTTTGTGGCAGCCAATGACACTTGTGGACTGGCTGACTCATTTGATAAGCCCTCAGATAGACGCAGCCCATGACATTCGCAAAAATTCCACGTATTCCAACCGTGTCTTGGGGGTCCTGGGGAACATCTGGCCCATGATGTCCAGTGACATAAAAACTCAGGCAAAGGATCTCATGCAGGACGTCCCATGGATCGCAACGAATCTGGGATTCCGGCCCCCTGGTGGAGCGTATTTTCCAGAAGCAGACGTCTTCCATGATTTGCCTGTTGTCTCTGTCAGCCTGTTTGATCCACAGATTCTCACTGTACTTGGTGAGCTTGGGGTCAAGCGTCATCTTGACTTTGAAGAGTTGTTTGCCAAGTGCGTTCAATTTCAAGACCTTGATTCAACATTGTTGATCAGTTTCCAGGGCGGACAAATTGAGCACGTGGTCAGCGATGGAGATGATCCGGTATCTTAACACTGACCCAGACGCCATGGAGAGGCTGGAGGAAATCAGGAAACACGCTGTTTTCCCTTGCGATAAAGGCGAGAAATACTGCATCACTGACTTGTACCTTCCACATGCGGAGATACGTCCGTTGGGCCTACCAATTCTCGATTGGTCACGCAGGATCGATAAAGATTCTGAAGATGGTACCTTGTTTCCTTCCCCTATATTTTCTCTCGCTTTCAGCTGACTCTACTACAGAACAACTTCTGACCGATATGGGATTCCTTCGACACCCGCCTTTGGAGAAGCTCATTGAGATTGCTGGAGACCCCGATCCTGAAGTTCAACGTGCTGCCTTTGGGTACCTTGCAAGCAAGTTCGATGAACTCTATGATACAGAATATGATCCTTCGAAATACGACGATATGCCGTTTATACCAGCTATCCGAGATGGTCATGAATGTGTTGGCGCTTACGAGGAGGTAAGATCTTTTGCTATTTCATGGAACTGATACTGGAAACTCGCATCAAGGTTTATTCTGATTCATCATGGGCGTTGATGGGGTTCCAGAAAGTCCACCCTTCTGTCGACAGGAAGATCGTTGGCCGACTGAGGATGCGGGAAGCGCCATCGGCAAGACAAGTGATCGATGTTTTCAGGACCAGTCCGCCCAAGGATCGCAACACAGCGATAAAATGGTTCGCCTTTCTTGCAACAAAGCAAGGTCAGACGCGCTACTTGGCTAACTCTCAGTCTCTAAACGGTTTCCTCATCTTATAGTCCTCTCTCCTGGAGATCTTCAGCAAATCGCCGAGATTCCTATCGTTCCCGTAGAAGGTTCCATCGAGCCTCGCCTGGTGCCACCTCGGGAGTGCTTCATTGGTGGTAGTCAATACGGAGATGACCACCTTTACCGACGACTGTTTACCTTCGTCGACTTTGAGGAACGTGCAAATCGGTTTCTGAAAGCTTGCGGCGTCAAAGCCAAGCCTGATTGTTCCGACATCCTCCACATCCTAATAAAGGACCCTAAGGAGTTCCTTAGAAAAGCTGGTGCAGACCCTGAAAAGTACGTAAACATCCTGCAGAATCACCCTTATGCTCATCATCAATGTAGATATCTTGTTGAGCTTCGTGGAATTGCGGTTGGGTATGAGGGGCTCTCCGAAGAGGATAAGAAAAGGATGAAGAATGCGCCGATATTCGTCGGCTATCGTACCTTAAGGTCCTTAAATTCAGATAACACCACTCTCGTCGTCAGGGACGAATTCCAACTCGTTACAGCATCTAAGATTCTACTTGCTGACGACATGGAAAACCGACGGATCTTTGGAGAGTTTGTCTGGTTGGCTCCACAAGATGAGTTGCTCGAAAGTAAGCTAAGCTAGTTTTTCTTTGAAAGTGGACCCAGCTAACCAAGTCGCAGAGCTCTACGAATCTGTGGGATCTGGTTATTTGAGCGCCCATATCAAATACAACGTGAAACCAGATATCGAGCAACCTAGGTGGACTCGCTGCGAGGAAGTTCGAAAGGCGATTTTGGAGAAGTTACCCATCTTTATGCATGAGTTTGATGAACAACGTCTCAAGCAAGGCTCGGTGCATCGGAAGTGGGATGAGAAATCACGCTTTCTCGTGAAAGGATGTAAAGATCTCAAAGTGGACAAGAGACTTGAATCTAATTACTGTATCTCTACTGAACGTCAGAGAGAAAGTAATGAATTCTATGTGTCCGCCGAGATTACTACAGAAGAGAGCGGTCGTGTTGTGCTATGGCTCAAGAAAACGGACCATCTTGACATGTATGAGTGAGTGAATTTGAATTCATGTTTCTCCACACACTTATCACTGATGGGATTGCGTTAGCGTCGCTGTCGCACTTTGCCGTCTGCTTTTCAAGACTCACAAGAAGCACGATGTTCTCAGTTTGATGACCATATTGGAGACGGACAAGGAGGTCTTGAGGAAACGAGGCTACGATGGTAATTTTCACGACTTTCTTGCAATGTCTTTGTCTCACTTGTAGCAGTGGATAGGATTGAGCAAGCTCACGAAGCCGCTAAACTTGAGGACAAGAAGAAGGAAGAAGGTATCCGATAAACTTTGAGTCGACTACTCGGGCTTATTAACCAATCACTCTCCAGAGCGCGAAAAGGCAGCACGCAATAAGCATTCAGAGGAGTCCGGCGGAGGGCAGCATAATGGTGGCAGTATCCACCTCCGAACCAGATTCCTTGATTTCTTCAGGTGGCAGTCGGGATCCAAGAACGCCAATAGAGTTAACGTCGGCGAAATTGGTATGTCTCGTATTATACCTCAAATACATTCGCAAACTTGTTTCATGCAGACGATGCGATCAAGGAATTGATGGATCAGTGTGCCAAAGGACAAGCTACCCCAGAAGAACAAAAAGAGATCCGAAATAGAGAACACAGGGGTGCAGGCAGGAAGCAGAAAGACGTTCAATACTGTACTGAGCTGAAGAGCACCGCTCTGGAATCCGTCGGTACGTGGGTCGTTGTTGATAGCCATGTTTTGATATGAACGAACTCCAGATGTGGGTGGTGCCGCCGGTCTCATACCCGTTTGGCGACAAAGTAAGTCCCCTCGTTTCTTGGCGTCAGCATTACTAATAGTCGTAGTCACTGCACAAGAGGCAATTCCAGGCGAATTAACAGAGTTTGCAAACATAGTCCATGGACTCAACAGAGTTTTGGACCTGAGTAATAACGAACACGGCATATTTAATATCTTCTGGCATCCGGAGGATCGTGACTTGATGGGATTCAACCGCAACCGGCTGATTTTCTTAAACCTTGCACACTTCACCCAACGTAAGTAAACCTTCATGCTGTTTATCAAAAACCCTCACATGTTATGGTCACAGACTCGCACATGACGCCCGGTCAGGCATACATTCACTGGTACGTAGACGTAGAGAATCACCGACCACGATGTGCTCATACAGCCTTACCCCAACAGGTACTATATCGTCGTGCACGAGATAGCCCACAACAAAACGCCTTTCCACGACGAAACTCACGAGTTGTTGGTTTCGGCACTAAGCGCTCAGTTCCTGCCACGTTTGCACGACGTGGAAGAGGTCCGCGAGTATCTCAATTGCGCAACAAACATTTCGTAGCGAACATTTGGCTTGGTTGCCACGCATGGGACTCCAGAGACATTAATAGGTGTATTTATGAGTTGTGTTATGCATTAGCTTTGCCGGCAGCAACCTTGTTTCACAAGTGTTTTGTACTATCGACACATTTTTTGGGGAAGACATGTAATTCATGTAGATCATTCATTGCACATCAGCAGTATGCTAATATTACAACAAAACTTTCAAGAGTGGCAAGCTGCAGTCATAATCAGAAAAAACTATGCCAACTTTGTCATCTGAATACAACGCGATGCTACATTGTTAGTACAACACATGACGGTTTCTGATAAATGGTTGTGATCAATCGTTACACGTTGTTTCGATTCGAAAATAGTGTTTACCATCAGTCGTGAAAGGTACGTGAGCTCGTTTCTTTCCTTTGAAAGGAAGGCCCAGCGCCCAGTTGGCATCGTTTCAGCAGACCGGAAGGCATGCTGGCCCGGGAAGGTGGCCGTAATACGATCGTCTCGCGAAGAGCAGCGTTGGAAATGTGATGTTTAGGCCTTCTGATGCTGATGGTAAAAAAGCTAAGTGCACTTCGACCACATCATCACGCAATTTGCTCTCAAATTGAGCTAACGGGATGAGTTTGCAATCCACCCTCACTCACTGGTTGGACCTAGGATTTCGAGTTCCAAACCTTGATCGACACTCCTTTATTGAAAGGAACGACTCTTCCTCCGTCTATGAAGGGCTGTCTGATGGAGGCTCGAGTTGCAGCAGGATTGAATATCGATATTGAATCTTCCTGGTCAACATGACAACTTGAACCCTCTCCTCAGGCTTTGAGTACAGCAGTCTGATGCATGGGATTTCAACACTACACACTTGCACCTTCTGAGTTTGTGTGGATGAAGCATTTCAGGTTGAGCTAGGGTTGAGACTGTGCATCAAAAACTAGGTTTGTGCGTGTGTTGCGAGGAAGAGTGCGTGTAGGTGGCTGTACTGCTGGATTACGAGTCCCACATGTTTAGCGGTGTTGATCATATTTAGACTCGACGTTCTTCGTATTCGAGAATTGAGAGAACAGTGCAACACTAGGCACACGACCCATTCAAGAGCTAGTAGTGCTAGTGGTGGCGGTCTCCGGCATGCTGTCAAAAACTTTGTAACACAGCTTGAGGCGGTACTATGACTAATCGTGGCAGTGCACCGTGCACTCTCGTACCCTGCCATCACAAAAATTGCAGGACCAAGACCTGGCAATATATGGTTATGTTTTCGGTGACTACCATGTCAGCAGTATCGGGTCCAGAGCCCAGTATATATTGCAATACTAGGGAACTGAAAAGTCCGACGGACGAGTGCTTGTACGTCGTAGAGGAGCACATGACTTAATGTTTCATATAGTTATTTCAGATATTGTCGGACATTAATAGTCAAGCAGATAGCGAAGACATTGCATGATATTATCTGCAGAAATGAGAGTACAAAGTATTGCTATGCGACAGAATGTAAGGAAACTTGAGTCATAGTATCCAGATACTGTGTAGGTATCTGTAAAGTACACTAGGCAGCCGGGAAGCGTGAGTACAAATAGTTAACTTCATCAGGTAGAGAGAAATGCGACACGAAGCACCAGAACACGAGAGCATCAAAATGTACCTTAAAATAAAACACCTACTTCCGGCGGCGCGCTTGCCGTTTGGGATGTCGAGCAGGTTCAGATGGCTGCTCATCATCTGATTCCACGGCACGCTTCCTTTTCCCCACAGCCTTGGCTGCGACCTTGGCTTTCTTCCCAGCCGACTTCCCTTTCTTACTGGTACTGACTTCGAGTTCTTCATCTTCATCCTCCTGCGTTAACTCACTTAATCCAGGTGAAGAGGGAACAGTAGGACCTTTCTTGCGCGGGGATGTACGACGGGTTGGGGTGGGAGAACGAGCATGACGGGGTGGAGTGCCGTTCTTCCGTGGGGATGTACGACGGGGTGGGGTGGGGGAATGAGGGCGACGAGGTGGGGTGGGAGAACGACGACGGGGTGGGGTGGGAGAACGAGGACGACGGGGTGGGGTGGGAGAACGACGACGGGGTGGGGTGGGGGAACGAGTGGTGTCAGGTACCATCGGAGCAGCCCGTTTAGGCGGAATCGGATGAGGATGGACATGCTTGTGAGGAGAAAAAGAACGTCCATGGGAAGCAGGAGAGTGCCTGCCATGCGCAGGAGTAGGAGACCGTCCACGAGGCACAGGCGAATGGATCTGAGGTGAAGGGGAACGAACACGAGGATGATGAGAATGGCCAAGAGGAGAATAAGAACGATCACGAGAACCAGTACGAGGGGTGGGAGAACTGGGAGGATTACGAACACGATCTCCCCCCAAGCTCTTGGCGGCACTAGCACGAGCGGACATCTGTGCCCGCATCTTGGCGAGGCTGTCCATTGGTGCAGTGGAGCCCCTGCTAGAATCATTAGCGGAGACTCCGTCAACTGCACCTTCCCGTCCATGTTCAGTTTTGAATAGTTTCCTTCCAGAAATGCTCAGCATCATAGTCACGAAAGTAAAAATCACGTACCTATTCCACCATTTTAAGAGACCGTCTACCCAATCCTTATCTTCGCATTCTCGGAGAAAGTCGATAATGTTCTGGTAGAACTCTCGATAGCTGAATTTGCCGTCGACTTCGGCCCACTTATTCCTGCTGCTAATCCCGAAGCGAGCCTCAATAGTAACAATTGTAAGATAAAATCGTCAAGTATACGAAAACACTTACCTGAACACAAGCATATGCAATGTGTTCTGGTTGGACCGTGGTCATGTCGTGCAATGAAGCGTTGCAGGAACGCGTTGCACGTGAGTCTTCACCTAAGGCAGTAGACGGTCCTGTGAATATATGACGCATGATCTGATATATACAATGAGTGTATGATATTGACACGTTAAGTAAACAGTTGAAAACTTACGCGGACGAGAAAATACCCTTTGAAAAGTCCATCAGTCATGGAATCGTCGTCGTAGCTTTCCCCCGGTGGAGTTCCCTCCCAGAGATAAGCAGGAAAATCAGCTGCGGACATGATGATCTGTCCGTTTGCCAATTTTTTTCGCGTCCTAAAATACAGAACCTCAGAATTGAATATAAACGCAAAATACTACTTACTCTGCTGGATCCTGGTGGTAATCTTTGATCGCTGTTATAGGACAAAGAAACGAAGCCAACACAGGGTGATTAACACCCAAGTGTGACCTAGACGAGGTGCCATTATTGACAGGTGGGCTTAGAGGTTCCTTTGCCGGTAAGGGAGCCGCATAGTGGCCGATTTGTGACTTGAGACGAGTTGAATCGTCAGACCGTGTTGCACTAATGATGCCATTCATCTCCATGATGCGTCAGTAAATCATAAGTGCGCATATATGCAGTATATGCTAACCTTTCGTGCGATCCTAGCAAGTTGCTTTGACTTGTTCTTGTTGTTGATGAGCGCTCGTAAGCCGGGAGCGAGTTGAAGAAGTTGATGATAATTCCGTTTATAACGATCACGTACATAAGTTGAGCTAAAACAATAAATCAGCGATATACAACCTAGCAATGAACAAAACTTACAGGCCCTCAAGTCTCTTTTTGCAAGACACCTTGTCGGCCTCATCTTCCTCGAGATCTCCCTTATCGGCAGCCTTGTCTTGCTGCAAAAGGCACCCAATCTTGATGAGCTTCTCGACCTTGCAAAATAAGTCATAGCAGCGCGTCATAGCACGCGCAGCAGCAAAATACTCGTCGTCTAAATCTTCATCCGTGTCCTTGGATATATTCACCTTTCTGTAAGATGAGAAGTAATGTAAGCGTCAATGGAATACAAAATATAACTTACTTTGGTGTTGCATCTCTACTTTGAACAGATTTGCGTGATCGACCGCGTTTTTCGCATTCTTGTGGGTTGGACTTGGAGAGCGTCGTGAATCGTTCAAATCACTTGAGGAATCAGAATTTTCAGATTGAGAAAAACTGGGGGATCACTTGCGACGCGCCATAGTGGTTAGAGTTACAAAGTTGCATAGGGCATTCACGCGTCATCGTACATGTTTTATTTGGTTCTGTTGACATGTTATCATCATATTGAGGCGCAACAAAAAAATACATTTAATTGTACAATTACAAAGTACGTACTTATCGTATACAGACTGCAAAATAACAAATGCAATAGCAAAAACGCACAGCAAAAAAAATAACCTAAGTTAAGTCAGCTTTAACCAGAGCAGGCACGGCTTGCAGGATAAGACTGTCAACGGAATCCTTATCTTGCACGTCCCTGAAATGGTGAGGGCGGCAGGGTGGCCAAGTAGTACTGCTGTCGAATTTGAGTTTGCGCGGCTGAGGATTTGGGCGGGCTCCCAACAAGCGCACTGGCTTCGCTTTGACGGAGTTATTTCTGTAAATCAAAATTTGTCAGCGTGATGAGCCAGTAAATATAAGAAAAACTCACCCGGAACTCTGGGACATGATCTTGAGGCGTCCGAGATCTTCTGTGATCTTGACGGTATCGGCCGAGAACCTAGAAAGTTTAATGTTAGTGAATGTGACGCGCAAGACCAACTCACGTTTTGATTTTCTTGCTCTCGCGATCGGTCCTGTACATTGAGTTAGCAATATATTTGTGAGAAGATCGGAACCAAAAGACACACCTTTTCCTTTTGCGACTGCCTGGTATCAATAACTCCGCCTCGCTATCGGTAGATTCCTCAATATGGACCATCTTGACGGGATCCTTGAGCCGGATGATTAGTTTCTAAATCAAAGTCAGTAAGTAATATGAAAAGATCGAGATGACTCACCAATGGGCCCGGGTTCTCGGGCGTAAACTTAATCTCGTAAGTCGGCCAACCGGTTAGGAGATTCTCGATATCCATGACAATGACATTGTCATGAATAATGACCTGGTCGGTCCCATTAACGAGGATGGATTCGGTTGACATAGTAGTATATGATTATGAAAAAGATTAGTGGTATTGATAAGAAATGAATATGAGAAACGCGTAGTCGCGTCTTTTTGCATCACCGGTATTTGCCGGCTGACTTCGAAAAGTCACGTGATGTTTGGAACCAAGATTTCGAACCAACAAACTACCAGAGACATTGACTATACGCCCGCCGACTTTTGGTACGTTCTTCCAATGTCCAAGTTGCCGTCCGCCCTCACTAACCCTAATAAACCACCAGAGATATTGACTATACGCCCGCCGACTTTTGGTACATATTTCTCAAGATGAGCTCCGTCAAATCCTGACCCAGCTGAGATCTCTATCACAAGCCCCTCAACCTGCCGCGGCCGCTCCTCCGACAACTACTACATCATATCAATACCAAGCTCAGCCTGCATACACTCGCCAAGCTACGCAATCTGCATTCTCACCTCCAGTACCACAACACTCTTCCTCTACTACTTATACGTCTTACGCCTTGCCGTCCATTAATCAACCTAAATCTGAACCGGTCAACTCTGCATCTCTTTTAGGCCATTCTCACCCGCTTACACCCGCGAGATATGTGAGTCATTTCGTCTACCTATGTTGCGTGGATTTTCGTTAATGTAATCACTGTTTCTTTTGATATCATACGCATGTGCGTCCGGACCTTTGCCTCCCGGTACTCATTATATTTCACTGTATTCTCTACAATATTGAATGTCAATTTCTAAATGAACGATGTTGCAGTGTGACTTGTGATTCAGAGACCGAAGGTCTATCTCCACCTTTAGCATCGAAGCTGCTTCCAATACTTACCTGTGGTGAATCACCTCATGACTCTTATCTTGCACAGGGACTAGAACTGTCGCATTCAAGTGAATCTATGGCGACTATAAATGCCTCCAGAAATGCCCAGGTATGTATATCCCCCTCCACGTTCTCTATGTACCTATCTATATGGATGACCTCGTCTGTCTAGGATGCAGGAAGGTTTTCCCGTCCCAAAAGCGCTTGAGTGGTCATGAGGCCCGGTGCGAAGCCGACAAACTTCTAGATGCTGACGTCTACAAGAGTCAGTGTCGCCTCGAGAAGGGGCGTAAGAAGCGTAGGAAGACGAGAGCTCGAGATGAGACCAGGTCTCCGGAACGCAGGCAAAGGAACACCTCTCCCGAAGCTGATGTGCAGATGGACCTGGGTGACGACCATGTCAATACTGAGGTAATTTTTTTTAAATGTACTTGATTTGTATTATACTGATACAATAATTGTATAGTACGGTGATGTCGCTGGACCCTCGGGATATATTCCAGAACCAGAACCTCCAGTGCCTACCCCAGACGCACCTGCTGTTGTCTCTGCCCGTTCTGGGCGGCGAATACGGATGCCTGCACGGTATATTGACTATATCCCAGGCTCGTCAACTCACCTCGCTCACATGCCCCCGACGAATCGTCAGGAGCGCAGACGACCTATCGTCGAGGTCCAGCCTGAGCAACCACAGGCACCAGATAGTCCTGCCTCCAAAGACATCCCTCACCAGCCCCCCCTCGTCCCATACCAAACAGCCCCTGATGCGATGGGACTTTTCCGTATCTACTCTGCACGTCCTACCATGATACCAAAGGGTGATGCAGGTCTTGATGCAGCCGTCGATGCTCCTACCCTGGATCGTGATCCTAGTGTCGGGAGTTCTCAGATTGCGACTGGACTTCCTTCTCCAGAGATTGGGCCCGACAACCTTTTCTCTGCTTTCAGTAGCCCGACAGCGGGGCTCCTCATGTGCTGGCAGTACTCTGGGGTTAATTCCAAGTCGAATGCAGAGATGAAACGCCTCACAAGGAATTTCCTCGACGACGATGAGTACAAGAGAGAGGACGCGCGGATTTATGACGACGTACGTGAGAAGCGGCTTATCAGTGTCTATCTCAAGGATTCCTCTAACCCCTTCCGCGCTGAAAATGGCTGGCGTGAGTCTACAGTCCAAATCCGCCTGCCAAAGGAGAAAATGAAGTGGGCATCAGAGGATGAAGCACCTGTGCTTGAGATACCTGGTGTCTACCACCGCTCACTCACTGATGTCATTACGTCGGTCTTCCAGGATAGTGTCGCCTCCACCTTTCACATGACACCCTTCCAACAGAGGTGGAAGGTGTCAGAGGAACGCACCGTCAATGTCTATTCTGAGGCATACTCGTCCCCTGCTTTCTCAGAAGCTTATGAGGAGGTCAACTCTCTTCCTAGGGAACCTGATGACGACCTTGAACGCGTTGTTGCCTCCCTCATGATGTGGTCGGACGCGACACATCTTACGAACTTCGGTGACGCTTCACTTTGGCCATTTTACTTGTTATTCGGCAATCAGTCTAAATACACGAGAGGGAAACCGACGGCATCTGCATGTCACCATGTGGCGTACATCCCATCTGTAAGTCCTGTCTTATAACATGTCATCGGATACTTATCTTAACAGATCCCCAGTGACTTTCAAGACACCTATTTCAATATTTTCGCCGATGCATCCTCAACTGACGTCTATACGCATTGTAAGCACGAGCTTATGCAGGCCATCTGGGCACTTCTCCTCGACGAGAAGTTCATGCATGCCTACAAATATGGTATTGTCATTCGCTGCGGAGATGGGATCACATGGCACGTATTTCCCAGATTCTTCAGTTACTCCGCGGATTACCCTGAAAAGTAGGTTTCGTGATTGACCTTCATCAGATTGCAGTATCTAATTGAGTTCTACTATCAGGATCTTACTTGCCTGTATAAAATTCCTTGGTGAATGCCCGTGTCCACGGTGCCTCATCAAGAAATTCGATATCCCTATGATGGGCACCAAACTCGATATGAAACGTCGTGAGAGGACTCAGCGGACTGACAACGAACGACGACGCCGTCGTGTCGAACAAGCACGAGCAATGATATTCAAGCAGGGAGCTAGTATCAATAGTCAGCGCGTCCAGAATATCTTGAATGAAGAGTCGCTGGTCCCTACTCGGGTAAGTCATTCCTCACAAGATATTGGTTTTTAAGATTGATTTGTTAGTAGAATGCCTTCTCTGAGCGCCTCGCAGAATACTTCTTCAATTTCTTTGTCTTATTCGTAGTCGACCTACTGCATGAGTTCGAACTTGGGGTTTGGAAGGCTATATTTATTCATCTTATGCGTGTCCTTTTTGCGGCAGGTGGTGCTGCAGTTCAGGAGCTGAACTGGAGGTATGTACTTAGGAATTGCGGTCATACTTATGCTCATGCGGCTTTTTACAGATATCGAAGAGTACCTACCTTTGGACGGGGAACCATCCGTCGGTTCCACAACAACGCATCAGCAATGAAACGTCTCGCAGCCCGAGACTTTGAAGATCTCCTGCAGGTGAACTTACACTCGCCTCGTTTATTCATTCATTTAATTCTATTGTAAACTAGTGTGCTCTTCCTGTCTTTGAAGGAATCCTCATCGACGAGGAATCAAAGGACAAGGAAAAGGCTATCCATAACAAGATTATATTGGACCTTCTCTTCGACCTTGCAGCGTGGCACGCATATGCCAAACTCCGCCTGCATACTGACGACACCCTCACATTTTTCGATTCAGCAACTGTTGCTCTGGGTCAGTCCGTTCGCAAATTTCAGCGCACTGTGTGCAAACATTATCACACAACGGAACTTCCGCACGAGCATGCTGCCCGTGGACGTCGACAGGCTGCACTCGCCTCAAAAAAACCAGGAGCATCGCATACTGTCTCTGGTCCAAAGGTAAAGAGATTGAATTTGAACACCTACAAATACCATGCGCTCGCCGACTACCCTAACACCATCCGAGAAAGAGGTACAACTGATAGCTTTAACTCACAGTTGGTATGTACTAGTTTAGTTCATTTACTATCGTCTTCTAATGTGCCCCCAGGGAGAGCTTGAACACCGCCTGTCAAAGCGCCGGTATCCACGAACACCCAAGAAAAAGGATCAAACGACACGCAGTATGACCTCTCAGGATGCAATTGAACGCTTGGTGAAGAAAGTCATTGCCGCACATGAAACCATTGTCGCGCAGAAGGCCAATCCCAGACCAAAGTGTCTCCGCACTTCCCCCATAGATCATTACTACATCGCCAAGTATTCTCGTGAAAGCTTCGATCTCACGGCTTGGTTAGTAGATTTGGCCGATGATCCAGCGGTTAAGGTATGTCTTTCCGTGTATACGTTTCACTCAAGTTTCATTGCATTTTTTTCAGAACTTCATCCCTCGCCTGAAAGACCACTTGCTTGCCCGCCTCCGTGAGCTTGAATATAATGGTGATGAATACAACTTTTCCGATGAAGACCGCGACTCTGTCCTCATTGGTGAGAACAAGCTATTCCAGCATAGCACATTGCGTATCAACTACACGACATATGATCTACGATGCGAACAAGACACTATCAATCCGCGAACTCGTGCTGATGTTATGGTACTTGCCCAAGAGGATGAGCGCACGCATCCTTACTGGTATGCCCGCATTATCAGGATATTTCACGTCAATGTAGAGTATCGCGAGAACGAGGAGTCACACTATTCACGACCTAGACGCATGGATGTCTTATTTGTTCGTTGGTTCCGACGTGATGGATCACCCGCCGGCTTTACTGCTAAACGCCTACAGCGCTTGGAATTCTTTGACCAAGACAGTCTTGGGGAAGCATTTGGATTCCTGGACCCCGAGTCCGTCATCCGCGGGGTACACATTATCCCTGCATTTGCCTACAGTCGCACTGACACACTGCTTGGACCGTCCTTTGTCCGAAAAGAGGAAGAACTTGATACGGACTGGCGCTATTACTATGTAAACATGTATGTGCTTATTTTTTTTCTTATTATATTTCTCATTGTAGTACCTACAGGTTCGTTGATCGCGACATATTCATGAGGTTTCGTGGGGGCGGGATTGGTCACAAGGCCATGCGGGACTGGGACGAATTCCTCCAAGGTGGGGGATGCAACACTGAATCAAGTCCACAGGAAGACTCTGAGATGCAAGGGGATGAGTCGGATTTGGAAGACTTGGAGGAGCAGGACGAAGAGGGTGCTGACGAGGAAGAGGATGCTGACGAGGAAGATGGGGCTGACGAGGAAGACGGCGTTGATGAGGAAGACGGCACTGACAATGAGGCTGATATAGGTCAGGATGACGACGACGATAGAGTTTTGGCCGATGAGGGTGAGGAACTTGACGACGACCTGCTCGCAGAGGAGGGCTATGGCGCACTTTAACTTAGCTTTTGTTTCATCAGTAAACCCCAATTTTCTCCACAGACATAACATTTCCGACAGTTTCCCACAGTAACCCACAGCGCCCCACAGCGGCACAGAGCTCACAGTAAATTTCTCCCAGCATCGACATTTTCTGATACTAGTTCCTCACAGTAACCCACAGAGGGACAGAGCTCACAGGATGTACAGCTGCTTACAGTGTTTGTCAGTAAAATACTAGTAGTCACCATTTCTCAAGCGCTACTACTACTATGTAGTTTGAGCTACTAGAGCTATACTTAGAAAATTAAAACAATTTGAAGCACATCCGCCAAGGTCAAGACATAAACAAAATTTCATGGCCGAATCATATTTAGTGAGAGTACTACTGCCAAATACAATGTTTCTATTTGATACAACTCAAAAGAAGGTACTTGTCATTAGTCCAACTGGATGGCGACCTGACGGCAGGATGCGAATGAGTCTATGATACGAAGGTGTTAGTTGGTAGTACTATGTAAATGATAGGCGTACTTACCGTGAAAATTGTATGGCGCTGGGTGGTGAGAAAGACCATGTTTCCTGAATGTGATGCGCATATGACCCAATCCTACATCTGCCTTGTCGACCTTGCGCTTAGAGATGGCGGACTTGTGTTTTGAAAGAGTCGTCAAGACTTCATGTTCTCGGACGATGCAATCGTTAAGTGTTTTCTCTGCATCGAATACATCACGTCGGGCCCTTGCAAGGTCCATGATGAGGTTGGCTTCAAGATCATCAACATCGTTGATGGTCTGTGGGCACGTGAACGAGCATTGCCTAGTAAGATATCACAGTCACTTACCATTGAGCCAATAGCGTCGACCACTTCGTACAAATCTGCGATACCACTGCCAGAGTCACCCAGAACATAGCCGGCTTGCCACTTATTGCATCGCGGGCGCATACGTGACGCCGATGATATGTCACTAGAGACATTCAGATTGAGATGTATTGGTGCGTGGCTTGACTCGGACATGAGGGATTGAAAAACTAATATGTTCGGATTCCGGAATCAATACCTTTACAGTTCAACGTCTCAGAATTCTCACGTGCACGCTATGTCATCATTCCAGTGTCCTTCATGCGGCAAAGGCGGTTTCAAGAACGACGTCGCTGTTGCTCGTCACATGAGCCAACCTCGCTCTGGGTGCAGTACGTGGCTGCAGGATTTGGTATGCTTGCGCTCCGAGCCTGATGACTCTCGTATGGACTCGGATGATGAACCGAATATTTCCATGGATATGGACGATGGACCGAATATACCCGACATCGAGTCTGGTGGTTTTGGGGATTGGGATCAGATGTCTCGAGGGAGTACTGGTGGTAGTGAGAGCCAGGGAATGCCAACTCACAACTCGGAAGTTATCGACTCATATCCTGACTGCGCTCAAACATACGGCAATGGCTACACGTTCCTCGATCTATTCAATTCCGACAGTAACAGCAAACACCGTGCAACGAATCCGTATTACCCATTCAGCAGCCGGAAAGACTGGGAAGTTGGGTCGTGGCTCCTTCGCTCAGGATTGAGCATGGGGAAGATAGACAGTTTTCTTTCACTCGAGCTGGTGAGTAACAAATTCGTTGATAATATTTACAAATTTTCTAAGTGATTCAGATAAAGACCCTTCCGTTGTCGTTCCTGTCGGCCAAGGAACTCCGCGGTAGAGCGGAAATGTTGCCCAGCGGTCCGTGCTGGATGTCTCAAATCATACCTACAAAATATCCTACGAAATTGCCCGTTGTGTTGTATTGGCGCGATCCCCTGGATTGTATTTCAAGCCTTCTCAACCATCCTGCCTTTCATGATCAGCTGGACTTTACGCCTCGCAGGGTGTATACCACTGCACAGAGGTTGTGTCGCGTGTACTCGGAATGGGCGACAGGTGATGACGCGTGGAATATGCAGGTACGCATATTATCATTCATGCAAGTTGTCATACTTATCAGTTTTCGGACAGTCAGCCCTACCAAAAGGTGCAACACTCCTCGGGACCATCTTATCATCTGACAAGACGAATGTATCGACCATGACGGGCGACAGAGTTGCACATCCCCTTCTCGTTAGCCTTGCTAACATACGCATGTCTACCCGACTCAAATCGTCTTCGAATGCCTTTGTCCTTACTGCTCTACTCCCCGTCCCAAAATTCATCTACAAGAAGAAACGCATGCGAGGTGTACTTGAGGATCGCCTCATTCACGAATGCTTGGATATAGTTCTACGTCCACTCAAGGTAGCCGCCCGCGAAGGGGTCATGCTGTCAGATCCTGTCGGACACAGTCGTTACTGTTTCACACCGCTCGCAAGCTATATTGTTGACACCCCGGAGGCCATGATGCTGGCTGCCGTTGGCGGGAAAACCTCTCCGGTTACTATGGCCATGTATAAACAGTTTGGAGATTCTTTCCATCACGAACCTCGCACACGAGCAACTACACTCTCCCAGCTGGCTACTGCACGGAGTAAAGTTGATCCCGATGACATCGAGGCTTTTTTCGTGAGGCACAGAAGTTTCGTCTGAATGGCGTCAACACACCATTCTGGCTGGATTGGCCCCTCAGTGATCCATCACACTTTCTTACTCCCGAGTTTCTTCACCTCATCCATCGTGAGTTCTACGACCACGATGCAAAGTGGCTCATTTGCGCAGTCGGTGACACAGAGATCGATTTTCGGTTCTCTGTGTTGCAGGTCATCACTGGGTTCCGTCATTTTCATGGCGGGATTTCAAAACTTAAACAGGTTACAGGACGCGCTCAACGCGACATCCAGCGCTCAATTGTTGCGGTCAGCGCGGACGCAGTACCTAGCACCGTGATGACTGCTGTACGAGCTCTCATGGACTTTCGGTACCTCATACAGTCACCCGTAATCAATGACATCCAACTCACCCGTATTTCCACGGCCCTTGAAGAATTTCACGCCAACAAAGATGCAATTATAGACGGCGGATTTCGTCGTGGTCAGCGTGGTGGAGTCATTGAGAACTGGTACATACCAAAGCTAGAGCTCATGCAGTCCATAGTTCCGAGCATAAGGAACACTGGAGTTCCTCTGCAATGGACCGCCGACACCACCGAACATGCGCACATAACGGAAATCAAGGATCCTGCTCGCTCCAGCAACAACAACAACTACGATCCCCAGATATGTCGCCATCTTGACCGTACTGATAAATGCCGCCGCTTTGACCTCGCTATGAGTCTGCTCAACAATATGACAGACTCGAAGTGGCAGGGTTCAGATGACGTTGGCGATGTCAACGACAACATTGATCTTGATGCAGACCATGATCACGATGATGGCGATGTTGATTTCGATGCAGATGTCGATCATGATGTCCCAGACCTTCTGGCGATGAGCAAATACCCTGGGCATCCACGTCCGACCACTAATTACTTCGAAATTGCCAAGGTCCTTCGGCACAGGGAAGCGGGAACAGTCCCTGTGCCATTGCGCTCATTTGTTATTGAACGCACAGCGTTCCACCTCGCCTATGACCCATCCATCAGAAATATATCTGTTGACGATGCTGCCATTAAGTTTGGCCTTCCCAACTTACGACCAGCCATTGCCGACTTTCTTCGTCGTGAGGATACTCACGGGAGGGATCACATCCATACTATTGGGGGGGCTAGAAGAGCTGGACCCACTACTCCACTTCCCTTTGACAAACTACAAGTCTGGTTTAAGCTTCGGCTTCAGGACACTGATGTTCACGATATCAGCATCATACGGCCTGCACAGACCCTCAACTGCGCACCCCCTTCTGATCCCTGGACCTCTGGCCGGTATGACACAGTCATCATCAATAACGAGGCGAGATGTTCATGGCCCGCAGATGGTCTTCACGGTATGTTATTCTTACATTGTACTGAATATTTACTTATTGTTAAGTCGTAGGTCATACTATTGGTCAGATCAGGCTTCTCATGCGTCCTGTTGGAAAGAGTGGCGCAAATTGGTCATGGAAGGACCGCTTTCTGGTATATGTACATCGTTTTGACATTGTTCCCCAAAGCTCCGGTACCAATGATCGTGAGCCAAGTACGCAGCTCCACTTGCTCAAACGAGCGAAGCGTTCAAATGGTACTCGGGTGGGTGACATCATCCCTGTGACACAGCTCAGAGCACTTGTCAACCTCGTCCCTTGCTTCGGTGCAAGTGCGGACAACCGCCTCACCCCATATAATAGCATGGAACATGCTTCGCAGTTTTGGCTCAACAAGTATTGGGACAAGAACTCATATTTTCCTCTTTCCATGTAACTTTGACGTAGTCACGGTGTCACCCTTTTTTTATGTAATGTTCGAACTTCGCGTCGGTTGTGTATCTAGCCCATGGTTATTCTAGTCTATCTTATTCTTAGATCATTGGTCCAATCCTTTGATGGCGCTGTGAGGCGCTATGTGGCGTGATAAGCTGGTCGTTTATCTCACTATTGTCACATGCAAAATGGCTTTTTTTTCAGGACCGTTGACAACGGAATCAAATTGTCATCACTTGTGTCTATTCCCGATGTCACTGACGTCCCTGCTATGAACAAGATCACGTCCAATGAGCTTAATCGGCTGGTCACTCACGAGGATACACCAAAGGCCTCACAACCGATACTAGGACACTTACTCTCCCAAATCTTCCAGTCTTTCACAATTCCTCTTCCCGATGTGTCCGACCTTAAAATACCTTTTGGAAAAATCCTTCATCACAACCAGCGCATCGACGAAAACTTTAGCAGTACATCACCAGATACTCTAGTGCCGCTGTATGACACTGAAGCGAAGACTTGGAACTGGGCTCTTCCAGTTGACCCCCCAGAAAATGGTAGTAATCCAGCTGGGGTTGACTCGGGGTCAGACTCGGAGGACAACGCCACACAGGAAACAACTCACGAAGAAAATTTTGCAGCGTTTCTCAATGCTTTTGCTAGTTGCTTGTCACGGTCGCGGTCCGAACTTGTAGCAATGCGCTTTGCAACCGGCACATGGAGTGCGGCCAATGCACAGAAGGCATTGCCTGGCAGCGCCATCAAGCGCAAGCCAGATATTGTCCTATCTGACGATATATCTGCCAAGTGGGGAAACATCAGGGTATCAGCGGAACTCACGCACAGTCGATACCGGCCTGCGATGCGACTCGGGAAGGCCGCGGATACCCATGCCTATATTATGATGAGTGAACAGCCCTGGAGGCGCTTCGCTCTCATATTATCATTCACAAATAAATATCGCCACCTTAGGGTCTTGATGTATGACCACTCAGGTGGTGTTGTATCCCCTCGCTTCGATATTTACACGCAACCCAACACATTTCTACACATCATCGCTGCTATCATGTTTGGGAGTTTAGAGTGCGTCAGTTATGACACAACAGTTTCCTTCTCGAAAATTGTTTCACCACCCCGATCCAAAGATATCCACGGCTATCGTCCCATCAGAAATACTCCTGCCCGACGGAGTACTACGACAAACCATGCTGTTACCACATCGAGCTCTGATTCTCTTCCAAATCCTGACGTATCATCCAGCGAAGCTCTTGAATCGGTTGTCTCCGATGACTCCGATGATTCTGAAGACTCTGAAGACTCTGATGAGTCCTCTAGTGATTCTGCTCATGACTCAACTGAAGAGAGTCCGAGCGCCTTGCATGACTCGATGGATGAAGAGAATTCCTCCCCCCCTCAACCCACTGCAACCCGCAGCGCTCCCCTTCTTAGCCTCATATCGCAAATACCCCAGGCTGAGATGACCGAGAGCATCTATTCCGTCACCCCTCTCCCTTCCCAATTCCCTTATTCTACTCAATCACCCGAACCTTGCGGCAAGATTCGTGTAGGGGAGAAAATCTACACTATAAAGAGAATTCTTTTTGTGACCCGAGGCCTCGTTGGTCGCGGAACCGTTTGCTATTTAGTCACCTTGGATGATGAAGACTACATCGTCAAAGATCATTGGGTTCTGGGCAAGGACGATAATGTAGTCCTGAATGAGATCAAGATGCTGGAATTAATGGACAACGTCCCTGGCGTTCCAAGGCTGGTGGATTATTGGGTTGTTGAGCGGTCAGATGGTGAGCCCGACATTACCCGCAAATATCGGCACAAGGAACGCCGGAGTACCAGAGGCACCAGTCGTACTCATGTGCGTCTTGTCTTGAAGCCATGTGGTCGCCCCCTTCACATGTTTCGAACGCTTAAGGAGTTCGTGCGAGCACTAAGAGATATCGTTAAGAGTAAGCATCTAGTTCGTGGTACAGGTGTCTTCAACTGATGCTCTCGGATTTTAGTCCTACAAACTGCAGTGGAGGAACGTCAGATTTTGCATCGGGACTGTAGTCTTAACAACGCGATGATCCTCGACGAGCTTGGCAGTAGTGAAGGGTTTCTTATTGACTGGGAGTTCGCGGTTCGTATTGCCGCGGATAACAAATATCCCATCGGTGGTACAGTAAGTACACCTTATTCATTAAATATTCAGTTTATTAATTCATTTGCCAGGGCACAGTCCCTTTCATGTCACGTGGGCTACTCAACCAGGTCGCAATCCTGCAGCAACAGGCGAACGCGGAATCGATGAAGAAGAAAACTCGGGCACATAAATCAACGAAAAAACCGACAACCCCGAAATCATCGTCGGATTCTTTGGCTCTGCCAATATCATTTGTCGTTCACAGTTTCGCGGATGACTTGGAGTCTCTTTTTTTTATATTCGCTTGGGTTTGCATCAAGTTCAGTGGTCCCAATGGCATGGTGCGCCAGGGGCCCTTACCCAATTCCTTGCTGGATCGATGGACAAGCCTTGACTTGGAAACATGCGCTGCCTTCAAGATCACCTTTTTCGCGAATCCAGCAGAAGAAAAGTGTCTCACTGATGAATTTCACCCGTACTTCACGGACCTCATCCCCCTTGCAACAGAGTGGCGTAAAGCTCTGGTGGACAACATGATTCACCCCGTCACCTTCAGTACCATTCTTGGTATACTCAACTCGCATCTTGACAAGCTTCCCGACGACGAGGAGCTCGCAACTACTGTGAATATGCTCAAGAATGATGCTGCCGTTCTCGCGGATCGTTTCAAGGGGAAACGGCTTGCTTCAGAGTCTTTCTCTGTTGTGGAGCCTAAGCGGCAGAAGTCCCATCATACTGGAGACACTGAGTCTGACTCAGCATCGGGCAGTGACGCATGACCAGGAGGGGAAAGGTGATTCGATTTGTCCACCCACTCATCATGTGTTATCTTCTTCGTCATTAACTTGTTTGCACTGGCATATGCATACCTAGAATCTCATGTACTGCGTTACGTTATTATGATAGTTCACCTACGAGCACCCTACTGATTTTTCTCTTTCTCTTCACAATCAGACAGTTTCCTTTACGTACTACTATTCATCTTGCCAATGATGCGCACTGACCCAGGATTATGACTAATGTTTTTGCTTATGTAATCGAAATTTGAATGTAACTCTGAAACATTTTCTTAACTGACGTCAATATGAAGCACATCTTCCCTCGCTAGTCCCATCTGAATATCGAGTACGAGTCATGATACACAACTCTTGCGACACATTGACTCAGGTGTGTTGCTCTATTACTATCATTACTCACAATGAAGTTTTTCTCTCGCTAGTCGTCCGAATATCGATTACTGAGATATGATATAAAATCCTCGTGAGTCTGGTATAATTCGTCAGTGTTGCCTCTTCCTGTTCTTTATTGCAGTGATGCCTCCCCGTGCCGTTGCCAGTCCCAAGAGGAAACAATCCAAGCGCAAAGGATCTGATGCTTTGAAGACCGGCTTGCCAAAGAAGTCACGGGCTGCAGACATTGCCGAAGTACCCAGCATGGTACCTCTCGTGTCCCTCGGCCTGGCTGGAGCAGAAGCAGCAAATGATGCACCCCGACGTTCTGGCCGCCCTAATGCAGGAACTGGAGGTAGGAACGCCCAGCTGGAGAAAATTGGATTAGCGCTACAATCTAAGCCTCGAGCTCACGAATACAAGGGTAGGACGTCCCTTGGTCCCAATGTTCCAGTCAATCCCCAAGCCCCAGAGCCACGTCGTAAAGGTCGAAAGAAAAGTTCTAAGGTAAGTGTTTAATAAATGTTGTTACTCATGTTGATTGTCCCATAGGCGGTTCCTCCACCGTATAGCTCGCTCGTCAGTGATGCTCCAGATGCCTCAGCCATGGATATTGCCGAGCCCAGCTTGACATTACAACAACCTGGCAGAAGGTTTGGATTTACTGCTTCAAGCACCACAGACTTTGTTCATCCCGGTACTGCCAAGCCCAATCTTCAGGGGTCGGAAAACCCATATGTCGCCGTTGGGATGAAGGTCGCTGAGCAGCGAGCTAGGGACGTTATTGCTGAGCAGCGAGCTAGGGACGCTATTGCTGAGCAGCGAGCTAGGGACGCTATTGCAGAGCAGCAAGCTAGGGATGCTATTGCAGAGCAGCGAGCTAGGGACGCTATCGATGAGCAGCGAGCTCGGGATGCTATCGATGAGCAGCGAGCTCAGGACGCTATCGCTGAGAAACGAGTTCGGGACGCTATCGCTGAGAAACGAGCACAGCATACCCAGAGGTCCGTCTTTTTGGAGCACAACTTAGACCCAGCTCTGCGCCAGGAGGATGACACTGTTAGGGCTCAACGTCGTCTGAACCTGCCAGGACCCGAGGAGGATAGCGACTCCAAAGGCAGCAGCAGCAACGACAGTGATGACAGTGACGACAGCGACAACAACGATCCCGACGGAGAGGCTGACGAAGAGGATGATGAAGAGGGGGAGAACGATGACACTGTCAGGAGCTCGCAGGAGTTTGGTTGGGGGGAGGCTGGCCGGCGCCAGAAAGAACATCCAGGTAAACATCTTCGTGGCATGATTTCCCTTCACTAAATCGATATCATAGGATTTTCAAAGGATGCACTACCTTCGCAACCTCCAGTTGCTCGTCCACTCACACCTGAATTTGAATTCCAGTATTCACGTGATGAAGATGATGTCATTGCCCAGACGAGCCTTGATAAAACCTCCGTAAGTTTTCTAGTCTAGCCAAGACCGACTCACTTCATTTTGTTCGTCCAGCGGAACGAAAGCTCTCAGGTATGATCACGTCATTTAATTGTGACACGCTTACATTTCTTTTCTTTCAAGGGCCCTCAGGACATCTCACCAGACCTACAGCGGCAACAGTCCCAACATATTGAGGTGAGATTGGAAATTGTTCTAATTGGCGCTCACAATTCAGTAGACCATTACCTCGAAGCCCGA